ATAAAAAAATATATTATTAAACCAAATATAAATTACTTCGTTATTGTACATAAATTAAATTATAAAAAATTTGGATTAAAAAATACATAAAAAATGAGAAATTTTAAATAATTAATTTGATACTAATATCAATATATTTTTGTCAAATTTTTATGATATCGTCAAACATATATTTTATTCAAAAATAGAAACATCATCGCTTTCTCAAAATCACATAAATTCATATTATAACATCGACCGAGATAAATAACAAAATGAAATATTAAAAACACGATGTATCTCGCTGCATTGCGCGAGTACGCTTCTTGTATAGATAATAGTTAATTATTTTGTTAGAACTCGATAATTATCCTAATTATATTTTAAATCTTTTATATTTTAAAATGAGATGTTTATCCTCTATTTGGTTATGTTTATCTACAGTTAGTAACACGAATTCAAAAATGGAGCTATAATAAGTAGTATTTATGCATAATTTACTTGTAATCTTGAATTTTAAGTAATATGCATCAATATACAGTACTTCATGCATAAACAATGGGTTTTAAGAGTTTTTGTCAAATGCTTTATAACATAGTATATATATATATATATATATATATATATATATATATACACACACATACACACATTCTTTATATCCCATATATTTCTAAACAAGGCAAAAACGGGCATATCATTCTAATGAAATATTGCCTCCCAAAACATGATTACCAACACAAAAAAGACGAGGGAAATTGATAGAAGTAGTCATTTTTCACGGATCAATTCACCTCCTAGCCCTTCCTCTTCCACTTTCACTCAAAAGAACAATTTTGAGATAGGAAGTGAACATTGATTGATGTTATTCATCTCCTTGATTTGGTTTTCATGTGTGGGAAGTGTCCTTGCCGCAAGTGGAGGAAAGCATATAAAAGTAAAGTTTAAATTTTTTTAAACTTATCAACGCCCCTCCGCAAGTTGCGACAAGGGCACTTGCAAAGATATTGATAAAATGGAAAAATGAGCGGGGCTGCTAGGAGGTGAATTGCATAGGGTCAAAATGGTTGACATTAATTTCCCAAAAAGAAAACCATGGTCTTCTTCACAATCACAAACACCTTCAAGATGGCTGTCTTCTTAAGATTTGTTTATCAAATCTAATACCAAAGCCAGAAAGTCATTTTCATCAAAAGCAAATGACACTTTCCCTTATAACCATAACATTCAACCTGTACAGATTGTAATAGAAGACATTCCCCATCATAATTCAAAGATTAGAAACCTTCAAGTAACTATAGTTTCGAGTTAAACATCAATAATTCCCAGTGAAAAAGGTGAGGCAGATCAAGTTAAATTACAGGTTAATGATACAAAAAAGAACAAAATGTTTGCAAATGTGACCATTAGTAGCTGCACACACCTGAAATTATCTTGCTATTTAAGCAGGTCTCCAACAAGAAATGGCATAAATGATTCTTCCTTTCCATCCCTGCAGAAGCCAATGATTATCTTCGTCTATCAAGAAATCTTTGTGATATAAATTCACTTTCTTCCCTGCCACTTTGATGATAAACCTAGATAATGGTACTGGAACTAACCCTACCCTCAGATTGCGAGCATGCCATTGTTTGTATGTCTCTGGTCTTTCGCTCCTTTCCCATCCCTCACAGGCTATAACATTCAACGCTTCTCTTCCAAAGATTTCTCTCTCGAGCAGCATCCTCTCAGCTCGCTCACGGGGAACATTGGTTTCCAGCATATCAAATAACGCTGAGAAATGAAATAGAGCCTCGCGGAATCGGGTGAGGAAAAATGGGGCGTTGTAAGATCCGTTCAGAATTCCATGGATGAAAATATCCGGATTAATCTTCTTTATCAGGTTTAGAACGATATTTCTGGCGCTGTCCACCACCACAGTCTCGTCAAGCAAGTTTTTTGATCGATACATACAGTTAACAACTAGAAACTCACCTTCATCAAGCATAAGATCCTCAACTTTAACATTTTCCCATCTTTTAGCAATGGAAATATACTCAAATGGCACATTAAAATGGCGAGCATATTCCTCCAACCGACGACCAGTCTCTTCAATTCTTTGTGCTGGCCGAAACCCAGGTTGAGGAAAGTCGATTCCAGTTATCCGAAGCCTTGGCGGCCCATTCTTTCTATCTGAAATACGTTGAATCAAAGTGGGCCATTGAAAGCCATAAAGAATACCAAAATCAACTATGTGTATCCTCGTGGCATTCTCTGATTTCTCCCTAATTGTCCTGTTTGAAGCAAAATTCGAAATCTTCCTGAAAGGGGAAGATGCAATATACAGATGATAAGCTTTGATATAGTCAGCCGCACACGTTTTCTTGCTGACCAACGCTTTATGAATCTGGCTACCGGTGCCAGCCAAACGTGCCTCAAGACCATTAGCGAAGCAGTGAGCTAACCTCTGAGCCCCGTCACCAAAAGGAGAAGCATGCTGCCTGATTTCTTTCAAAAGTTCATTCGCTGTCATCCGATCATCAGCTGCAACAGCCTGTGCGCAAGTAATTAAAAGGGTTCTCAAATCTATCACCTCTTTTTTTCGGTTTTGTTTCCTACCACGTCCTTTGCCTTTGCCTCTCCCTCTCCCTTTCCCTTTACTTAAACTTATCTCTTCTTTATCTTTTTGTGTATCCTTTCTTGTTTCTTGGCGTAAGGTGTCACGAAACGAGTTTAAAGCATCCTTACCTCGTCCCAAACTAGAAAGGAAGATCAAATCCATCTCTTCAGACCTCAACGTTGGATCTGGGAAAATCGCCGCCTGCTTAATACTCCTTTCTTGTTTTTCTACTTCAGCTATATCATCTCCATCAGAATTCTTTCTTACCCTTGAATTTGACGAGATTATCCCCTCAACATTGCCCAGATTATTATCTTGAGGTAAGAACCCACCTGCGTTGGAAGAAACTAAGAAACTGTTGCCACTCGGAAGGAACTTGTTTGCTTCTTCGACACCCTTTCTAAACTGCCACATCATTTGATTCTCGTTACAAAGATCATCCAACCCTCCATCAGTGACATAATTTGTGTTGTTTGATGATCCAGATGAAGCATACGATACGTTCAGAGCTCCAACGTTTTGTAGATTTGAAGCATCATGTGAATAGCCACTACAACTACTGAAACTACCAACATAAGTGTTATGAGCTAAAGAGGGAAAATCATCTAGGCTCTCTCTAGAATGGTCAACAGAGGTCAAAACTCCTTCAGAGGAATGTGATGGCCATGGGGATGGAGGGTATTTCTTGCCAAGAACATCATAAAAGGGCTTCTCTGCAGCTTGAAGATCTAAAGACTCTTGATGCATACAAGACCTGTCCTCTATGTCTTCTTCCATAAGCACCTTACTAATATATCCCAAAATTGCATCTGAAAAATCACAATCTTCATGAAGATAATCATCCTCTGGAATTGAACCCACAACAGGTACAGGAGGATTGTTCAAATGAGGAAATTTTAAACCTCTATAGCTTTGATTGTATATAGAACTTTGATACCCACTACTACCTTCATTCACCGGATCATAAATCGAAAAAGTATTTTCAAGTATAGGATCAGTATTTAGATTCACATTATCCTGAATAACAGGCATAATTCCTTGCCCAAATTGAATCCCATTTCCATTTCCATCTCCATATCCATCCTCAGAACTAAAAGTTTTCTCATATCTTGGATCCATACATACCAACTCGATAAGAAAAAAACCCTTCCCTGGTGGGTTCTACAAAAAATTCGGGTTTTCACAAGATATTCAATTTCTAACGAACATAATTCATATCCCTACAGACACCATTAACAGTTTCACAAGCTCCACGAATCCCTTTACAGTCTATGACAATAGATACTCCAAAACCCAATAAAAAAATTAGGGTTTTAACAGAATGAAGGGATAAGTTCTGTTAAACATTCAACGAGTAAGAAACAAGAGAAAAAGTCATTCAGAAGTCGGATGTACCTTATTGCACAACATATTGATCGTGGCTACTAACCCTATGGGTTGTATAACTTGAAGCTTCTCGCTGACTGAAAGGATCAACGTGAAGTATGGTGGTAAAAAAGGGAAGGTGGATGGAATATGAACATGGCGCGCGTATCAACTCCGATAAAGAAGAGAGGAAGGAGGTTAATTGGCGTTTCTTTGACGAAAGTGAAGACTGCCAGGTGAAAATCCACTATTCTCTCGTTATGCCCTAGAAATTTGTTTTATTGCACTTTAGTCCCTAAAGTATTGTACCTCCAATTAATTTTTAATTTATTAAAAAACAATTTGCATCAAAAGATGTGTTTGAATGAGTATTTTTAAATTGATTATTATTATTTTATAAATAAAACTTATAATTTAATTAGTATTTTATTACTGGGTATTACATAATGATTAAGTGGTCAGAATGATTAAAAGGTTCTTACGATATAATATAAAATGAAATATAATTGTTTGGTAATTATTTATGATGAATGGTTAAATGAAGTACATGATACAGAAGCATTCAAAAGATTTTGAAACTATTAAGACACGGATTTTTTTAGCTAAACAAAATTCACCTCTTAATGGAACTATTAAGAGGTAGACAAACAACCACTAGTCGTTGAGTGGCTGAAATAATGTATTTTTATATCGGTGTTTTTTAGGCGATTTCTGTGTGTGACCTGTTGGGGATGGGCACAGCTTTTTATGATATCTTTTTTAACACAACTTTTGTATACATTTAATTATAAATTATATTTTTGGGACGACTAGTGAACACGATATATTATTTTATTGGTTTGTTGTACTTTGCTACTCGTCTATTTATATATTGATAAATAAATGGTATATTCCTTTTGTTTTATAAGTATAAGGGGCTGTTTGGCAATTGTTGAATGGTTTGATGCAAAATGATGAAGTGGTAAGAATGATTGATATAGTGCAAAATGAAATATAATTGTTTGGTAATTGTGTACAATGAAATTAGGGCTCTTAATGGTTAAGAGAAATCCAAGATACAAAATCATTCAGAGGGTTTTGGAACCATTAAGAGACAAAAAAAWTTTTGCCAAACAAGATTCACCTCTTAACGAGGTTGCCTCTTAGTGGAACTATTAAAATATAAACGAATAACCCCTAAAAACTTATTTGTTCAGATAAATGTTCATGGATAATATGAAAGCCCATTTGGTTTTTTCTGAATTTCTTTTATGATAATCTGTTTATAGATCAAACTGATTGATCAATAAGTGTAAGCTTTTATTTGTTTAAAAAAGATGTGTCAAAACCCAGTTGTTCAAAATACAATAACCAACTATTATACAGTTATCCTGGAAAAATAGCTTTCTTCTAGTAACTTCTTATTTATTTATTTATTTATAAATTTTGAAGATTTAAGATATATTCTTACCCCATTAACTATGCAATAATCGAAGCTAAAATAGGAAAAGGGAGAAAAGGATGGTACAAATCTCTTAAAACGTTATAAACAAAGCGCCTTGAATAATAGATCTTAAAGCAAGGAGTCAGTGACCGTTTTGCCGCTTCAAAAACAAGCTGCGACCACATTCATTACCTACATCGTACAGAGAGTCACATGTGTAATCTCGTGAGACTGGTATGCAACTATGCAAGTATTCTATGATCGTAGTGTATGTGAATTAACTCTTAGTTATTGAATTTGATAGTATGCAAGGAACTTGTATTTTATTTAAGCGCTTGTGACTCAAACTTACTGACCCTATAAGTTAATTAGTAACATGTATCTCAGAGATAGGACTGTTTATGTTCCCCTCGACTGTTTGGACAAAGTCAGACAAATATTCGCCAAAGGTTAGACAAATAGGTAGCTAAACTTCCAAATTATGGCACAAAGCAGCAAAGACTATTCGGTTATGGCCAAATGTCACTACCACCACCGTTATCACCACCACCACTATCATATTCAATGAAAGAAACATATTCTTTTGACATATTTCATTTAAACTACTATTAGTCAAACGATGGTCAAATCGAATTAAATTCCATTTCCATTTCAATTTCGACAAATTCCTAAACCAAACACCACCGTATTTTTTGATTTGAAAACCAAACACCCTCTTAGCATTCTTTACTAAACATTTACCGACAAAAGTCATCATTTTTACTTACCTTTTAGAGTAACGCTTTCAACTATTAAAATGGAACGTTATTTACCCGGTAAATATTTATCAGATAAGAGTCTTCTTCATTGTTTAACAGATAAAATTCTCGGTCGATAAAGCAAGTAATACCCGTTACCGGATATGGGTTTACCCTTGATCTTTTAACTCATAAAAAGAAGGGAGACAAAGAAAATAGGAAAAAGGGGGAAGGATGGGGGGGCAGTTTTTGGTTTTGAAGAATCAGATCGGATCCTTTGGGCGTGCGATTTCTGTTTTTCCGACGTTGTAATAAATAAATAGCTTCCAAAGTCAGCAGATATATCTCCACTTGGAATTTCTATCAACTTGGCATCAAAATTTCTCTTCCCCAATTCGTGGTGGGGTTAGTGAGAAAAAAAAAATTACCACTTTAATAATATAAAATTCACCAATTCTTCTTCTTCTTTGAGTACGAGAATCTAGAATGTGGGCATATGTTTCGTTTTATGCTGGATTGAGCCAATTTACAAATCCATACTCCTGTTCAAGATTTCCTCGAGAAACAAATGGTTTGTTTTGATACGAGGAACGTTCTTGAAGATTTGTTGTTGCTGATGATGCTGCATGGAAGAAGAAGAAGCTAAATCTTTTCTTCCGATGCTTCCCTTTCAGGGTTTTGTGTCTTTTGGTGAGTTCTTCTTCATTCGCATCTTCTTGACCACTTTTCTTCGTGATGATTGTTCCCGATTCGCATTTCTTTAGGAGGGTTGGTGTCGGAATCATGAAACTGTAATTAGAATGCGGGTTACAGTTCTGCTTTATCGATTTCAACAAAAGGGTTTTGATCTTGATTTTTTTCTTTTCATCATTTGTGGTCAATTTCTAAGAAGGGATTTGATTGTTTAGTAAAAAGTTGCAATCTTGACTGATAAAAATGGGATCAAATGGCCGTCGTGGTGGTGGGTCTCAACCTCCAAAGTCTGATGGATTGGCTAGACAAAGCTCTTTGTATAACCTAACCTTAGATGAGGTTCAAACCCAATTAGGGGATCTTGGAAAGCCACTTAGTAGTATGAATCTTGATGAGCTTTTAAAGAGTGTTTGGTCTGCTGAAGCTAATCAAGGGCTGAACAGTGGGCAGGCTGACTATTCTCATCATGGTCAACCTGCTTCTGGTTCGTCTCTGGCTCGACAATCGAGCGTTAATCTTTCTCAAGATCTAAGGAAACGAACAGTTGATGAAGTATGGCAAGATATCCAACAAGGTCAGAAGAATAATAGTAGTACTAGTAGTAACAATAACAATGGTAGTAGTAATAGTAATCTTGATAAAACGGGTAGTAATCGGGAGCGACAACCGACACTAGGTGAAATGACGTTGGAGGATTTCTTGGTTAAGGCAGGGATTGTTGCCGGATCTTCACCTGGAAAGAAAAACCCGGCTTCTGTGATTGGAATTGAATCAAATGTGTCGCATCAACAGAGTATAAATCATCAACAAGCACAATGGATGCACTACCAAGTCCCACCAATTCAGCCGCAACATGTGTATATGACAGGGCATCATCCAGTTCAACAGTCTTTGTCTATTGGTGCGAACGCAATGATGGAGTTGGCTTATCCCGAGACCCAAATAACAATGTCGCCTTCGCATTTGATGCACAATCTATCGGATACACAGACGCCTGGACGGAAAAGAGTTGCCTCTGGAGATGTGATAGAGAAGACTGTGGAAAGGAGGCAAAAGAGAATGATAAAAAATAGGGAATCTGCAGCACGTTCACGAGCAAGAAAACAGGTACGTTTTTTGAAGCGTTGACAGTGATCCCAAGATTCCCAACTAGGTATTGTTTTCTTTCTGACTTGTAAACAAGTAATAAGAGACACCTTTTATGGCTAAACAGGCTTACACCCATGAGCTGGAGAACAAAATTTCACGTTTGGAAGAGGAAAACGAAAGGCTTAAGAGACAGAAGGTATGATTGTCCTCCTTTCCCCCAACCTTTTACTGTGTGATGTTTATTTGTTCCTATGATGTCATTTTATTGTGTTATCATCCAAAAAACAAGAGCAGGTAGGTAGAATAGCATGCATGTGTCCCCAATCGGCACTTGGGGGGGGGGTATTTTTCTTGCTCTATATTTACCTTTCATAAGATCGGTTTATCTTAATTTACATAACGACTATTCTAGAGGATAATAGTTGTCCTAGACTGCAAGAAAAGATAAAGACATCTGATTCACAACTGAGGGATGCGATCCTTAATTTTTAGTGGCAAGTGAAAAACCTTGCTTTGGTTATCTTTGTTCCGATATGTTTGGTATATGCTTATTTTTTGTTAGGTTTTTACTTGGATGTTAATTAAAGTTGATCTCTTTACTGTAATATGTGTCATTTTTGCTTCCGTAGGTATATCAGAAATGCATCTTTTGCTTCCTTTGTATAGCTTTCTTGGTTCTTTCTGGGTTCTAGTTACAGGACTGATGGAAACATAACTACCTGGCTTGAATGGGTTCGAAATACTGTGTTTGCTTGTGCTACTAAATTCCAATTTTGAGATGAATATAAGTTATAAATAGTTTCATACAAAGCTTGACTGCCAGAGCACTTTGGTCCTTGGTTTCATTAGTATGGCTTGTGAGCCTTGGTTAGACATCACAAGTGAGGATTAAAGAAGCTTGTTTTAGACTTCGAAGCATCACATAGCTTTTGGATGATATCATTGAACGGTGAATGGTTAAGCCTTTTGTATCACCAACCGGTACTAGTCGTAGGTCATTCTTGTGGGCTTTTTCTTTCACTAGCTCCAAGGCTTTTCACAATAATATAATTACACTGTACAAGCTTTGAAATTCCAAAGAAAAAATTTTGTTCGCCAATCTTGAAATATGCGAGTTTATAAAAGAAGATTCTCTATGATCTCTGGCTTGAGCTTGAGTGGTTTTGTGAAATCACTTCAATATCTCCCCAATTCTTAAATCCTGAACTTGAATTACACATACAATCATACTCAATTCGATGGAATTGAGTTTAGCTGAGCTAATCTTGCATTCAATCCTTCTTTTGAGCTGATGCAAGATTGGAATGTAATACGTTTTTCGAACATGAGCCATATTGGAGCTATGGTCCCAATTAAGGAGCCACTTGATTCTCGCTTCATTTTGGTTCGTTTACAGCTCAACTAATGCTAGTTTTGAATTTTTTTTAATTCCATTGAATGCATGTCTACTTGTGTTGTTTTTTTTATTCTACCCTCTATTTAAAGGGCTTTTAATTTACAAAGCAAATCCTAGTTCAATTTTCGTCTAGTCCAAAGCATATAGGAAGACTGTTGATTTGGGGTACACAAAGATGAAATTACAACAATTTAAAGGAATTGAATTTAACAGCTCAAACATCTTGGAAGTTAAAGAACTGGTCTTTCATGGTTAGGGAAAACAATGATCATTAATCAAACTCTCAAACATCGGAAGTTGGTAACTCTTTAAATTATCCTTTCTGAGTTCCCTAATACATTGAAGTATGTCATATTTTAGTCATCAATATCCATTGTTGCTATCCAAAATAAACTGAAAATGATGACATGTAGAAGCTCACTTATACAATTATGAAATACAATATATATATACATACATACATACATACAATACATAGTTATATAGCAGATCAACAAGGAAAAATTATGAAATGTTAAACGAAGCATTATAGGCCTTGCATATCACTAAAAGTAGCTCCATAAAAGGATGTTTGTGAGTAATAGCAACCACATTCTCTTGAAGAAAGGAGAACCTATTGCATGCTTGATAAGCTGATATATATATATATATATATATATATAATATTATATATATATATATATATATATATATTGCATATCTGGGATTGTGCATAGCTGCCTCATTATCATACTATATCTTTAAAAATATCAGTCTGTACCAAATGATTTACCTGTTAGGGTCCTTAACAATATCTGTAGGGGAAAGTCAGAATGAGTAATGAAGAAGCTCAGAAAAACAAGGATAAAAGGCCCAATTCAAGAGGAATAGGCATAAAAAGCCCAAATAACCCTGAAGGAGTTTAAGGTGTGAAGGTAGTGGCGGAGCCAAGATTTGGTCCAAGGGGGAGCATCGAACGTAGATAATAAAATAAATTTAAAGAAAGTAACCACACAGTCGCTAACCATTGATTTTCCATTCTATTGGGTAACCTATATTCTTCACAACGTTCATAGCTTAAAATGGTCTCTCAGCAGCTGTAGTCGCGATAGATAATATCATTACTAGTTTTATAAGCAAATATCTGTAATCCAGTCTGCGAAAAGATGGGCTAGTTAATTTACGTACGACTTTGTTTACAACCATCAACATTATTCTTATCTGGCATAAGAATCACTGGTTGTTTTCTCTTTATTAAATATTTATACATGGTTGTTAAATAAGGTTAATCACTAAAATAACCATTTTGGAGGGGTCCCATTACAAAATAACCGATTTTTGAACTTTTATTCATTAAGATCTCTCTTTATCGTTTGCCTTATCATGCGTAGAGATGTAATCATCATGATTGATCCTCAGATTATTGAATAAAAGTAGTTTCAAGTGTTTTTTTGTTTGAGTGAAAAAATCCCGCTTAGGTGACATGCCATTAGTTATCTTGGTTACGATGCTCAACAGATCCTAGTTGTTCTATGATGTGAGACCCCTAGAAATCTAGTTTGTTCTTGTTTTCCAATTATTCTTGCTCTTAAAATCAATCATGCATCAGTTTGGTACACATGGTTCCTCCATCAGCTTTTCAGTTCCTTGGAGATCATCAGAGGAATAATATTGTAATCCTGTTGTCGAATACTCAGAACCTAACCATCAATATCATCTCACACTCTAGCTGTCACAACTATATGAGCATCATTAGACTCTAGTTATCATTGCTGCCACTTTGGAGGACTGTTTGTAATTCACAAATTTTGTTGAAGATCATAGGCTGGCCTGCAATTTTGGAAATTCAGTGGATCTATAATTTCTAGAAGTTTGGACAGTTTTGTAAAATCAAAATTTCAGGGTATGCTTTATAATTTTTCAAATGCTAGGCTCCATGCATTTCTGAAAGTTTTGAGGGATTTTCTGTTTGCCGGTTTAGATGAAGCTTGATGTTGTCACTTCTTAACTTCTTTGAAAGGATAATCTGAGACCTTAAGATGACTATATTTGTTGTGATGACTTTCCGATGAATGTAGCCAATGTAGTATTCGGAAAGTAATGGATGTATCATTTTCATGTATGCATAACAAAGGAGGAGATTCTTTTAGCTTTAAGTGAGGGCTAAGCAGAGTGGGTTAGTTTCCAGCACAACTAAATAGGCGTGTTGCAGGTTACCATTCGAGAACCAAGGTTGATGAACAAAGCGAAGAGTTCAAAATTGGCGGTCAATAACGAGGTAGCAAAGGAATATTATTAACAACAAGACTCGGGGCCTGTTTTTTAGCAGCTTAATGGGACTCACAGCTTACTCACTCAGTGATACATGACTGTTTGGTAGTGGCTTAATAATATAGAAAGTGGTTTATTCAATAAGCTTCTAGGGGGAGCTTTATGCAGAAAGCCAAGTTTTTTCCGCATCTACCCCTCCGAATTAAAGAACTATCCATGTCGCTGAGAGCCCTCACAGCCCAGGCGCAACGACGCAATTAAAAATTTTGTTTCGAAATTTCATCCTTCCATCTATGAAAAAACCCTTCCAAACAAAAAATCTTCTCAATCTACTCGGATAGATAAATCCACACAGACAACTTTATCCATTCAGGACTTAATGGAAAATCAACCAAACAACGCCTCAAAATGCAAATAGAAAGGTAAATCGAAGGGAGTGAAAGGCCGTTGGAGGACTTATATGGGGTTGGATCATTCAAGGTAAGTTTGGACAATTTTGTAAAATCAAACAGTTTTATCCATACAAGATCTATGCTTGGTTGGAAGTTGGATTATGATTCTTAGGATAAGCTTCTTGACATTACAGACATATCAGGAAGCCCATCTTTCGTAAACGAGAAACCAATAGTTTCGGATTGACTCAAAAAGTGTTACTCTTTTATAGGATGTCCAAACATAAGAGGGCATTCTTGTATGTCAAATTGATATTTGGTCGTTTTGTTTTGAATCCACGGGGTTCTTTTTCTTGGTGTTTTTTCTTTTATTGTTTTTGATTTGTGGCTAGCCGTTGATGTCTTTGGGAGCCTTCGGTTCCATCTTGTTTTTTCTAGTGGTTAATCTTCTTGTATGGGAGATGATACATGGGTAGTTCCATATCCATTTCCCACATCGGTTTCCTTTTTTATTCTATTTTTGTACGCCAAGTGTACCTTGTTTTTCCCATAGGTTGCCTTCTTTCCAGAAATAATAAATCAATTCACACTCAACACAAAAGCTGTCGAGTCAGACTGGCTTTCATGAGCAAGACCACCAACCAATGATTCCGAACAACAAAAATTAAACCCCATTTGGTAAAAATAAAATGATCAAACATTGATGTTAAGGCCAGCTTCAGCTATGAAGTCAAAGAGAATTTGTCAAGGAACGTCGAGAACAGCCTTAAATGGAGGTCAAGCATATTTTGCAGCCCTTTCAACCATGTCCTCTTCATAATGCAATCTTCTCTTTCTCGCCTTAAGTTTCAGATAAGAGCCCAGTGTGATGATAAAATAGCCCTAGCCCTGCCGCAATGAGCGGTCTCCATTGCAGCCTCTAACTGCCTTCTGTTCTCACCTCCTCATGGCAGACGATTGCGCTGATTATTGACTTTCAATGTAGTGATCGCCTTTTGTGGTTTTTGTCTCGGTTTGAAACATTCTGGTGTTCTGGTGTATAGATTACATTGACGTGCAAGCATTCCTAATTGCTATTGGTCTATCATCATTTCTTGGTGAATATTGAATCCATTTTGGTTCAGACTCATGGTTCGGGCCGGATAACTCCTGTTTGTGGTCTTCTAGAGTGAACACATATATAATTCAGGAACTTGAGGACCAGACATTGAGTTATGGGCTGAATGGGATCCATAGTGTCATCTAATGGATTTGATTGGACACTAGAGTCTTGAATAAGTTGTTCAGTCTGCATGCCAAACACAACATCTTTTCCGTCCTCTGTCGTATCTGGTGTTGTTTTCTTTTCAATCTGTGATACTTGTATGGACTTATATGATGTGTACCGTCTACTTATATGCATAGTTTTGTGGCTGAATGAAAATAAGCCAGTGTTTCCCGTTATGGTAACTATTGGCAGTTCGTATTTGCAGGAGATAGGGAAGGTTTTGCCAAGTGCACCGCCACCCGAACCAAAGTACCAGCTCCGAAGAACAAGCTCAGCGCCTTTCTAACACGAATTCTTGGTGTCAAGGATTATGTAGAGCCATTTTGTCTTTTCATTCTTCTTTTTTTTCTTTCCAATTTTCCATAGGAGACATATGGGTTCTGATACCTTGTGTTGTTTCCTTAGTTATCTTGCAGACTGCTCTACAATGCCACTCACTTTTCCTTGTATGTATATTTTTAAGACAAATATGAATCTCTTCAATGCCAACCTTTCGTTATTAATTGTATCGATATTTCTTCTTATATGACCAAGTAGTCTCGTTCTTACCAAAGGGCTTTTTGTCTAGCGGTATCGTAGTCTTTGGCCTCCTAGAAGGTCAACGGTTCAAACCTCACCATAGGTGAGGAGGTGTGTGAGTTTATTTGTTGCATTTGTCGTATATAAATATTATATACTTAAACATATAACTTTGGGTATAAATGAGAATTACCTACAAAATCTAATCACGTACGAAATTTTAAATAGATAAATCCTTACTCTCATTCCCATACAACGATAGTCGAACAAAAATTCTTTAAAGCTTGAAGAAAGTAGAGAGTAGAGAGACTCGAGAGATTTAGGGGCCGTTTACTAAATGCTTATTCATTAAGTGCTTACCGGGTAATTTTCTTTTCCAAATGAACATGGTAAGGGTTTAGAATCTTACCCGGTTAGAACGGTAAAAGGATGGAGAGTCTTACCCGGTAAGAGTGGTGAAAGGATGAAGAGTTTTACCCAGTAATTGATAGTGAAGACTCTTACCTGGGTAAGCGCTTACCGGGTGAATTGTTGTATACTATATCGTTTTGATGCACTACAATCTTACCCATAAAAATAAATTATATTGTTGACTCATATCAGTAAGTACTTACCAGGTAAGCATTTGAGTAAACGGCCCCTTAATCTCGATTTTGAACTCTTGATATCATTTTCTTATAAACTCGAAATATTTGATATATTGAATCTTCTTTTCCTTTTAGTTTTATAACTTTGAATGAATTTAATTGTTCTACAAGATTATTCAAAACACTAACGTACACAAATATAAAGAGCAAATTGTATGAAAAAGTAACGTATTTTAACTTGATTCTGATTTTGGGCAACGTACTCTCAAAACTTCTATTTTGGTACCTATGATATAAAGTTTTAAACATTTAAGTATCTGAGTAACCGGTTGAAGAATTAACAGATTATCATGCTGATGTGGCGAGTGATGTGGTATCCAACTCAGTATTATTTGCTGACGTGGTTAGTGACATCAATTTTTTTAATCTAAAATTAGTTTTCAACTTGTTACCCGGGTACTTAATTGTTTAAAACTTTAAATCTTAGGTATCAAAATGAAAGTTTAAAAATACATTACCCAAAATAAAAATCAAGTTAAAATACATTATGTTTTCATGCAATTTGTCCAAATATAAATATACATATATATACATATGTGTGTATACATATGTCACCTCAGTACATGTCTTGAAAAACGTCATGATCTCATTGTAACTCGTAAGACTTGAAGTTTGACACCTTTATTTTATAGTAATCAATTTTTTGAAACACACGGTAATTAGAGGAATCTACAGAAATAGTCAATCTCCCAAACTCTTTTCACTTTATAGCCATTTTCAAACATCAATTCAGTTTTTTTAACTGATCCTTACGTAGAATTCCACTTTCTACCGTAGAAATAATCAAGGAGTACTTCTCACGAATCTGATCTGGAGAATACTATCATTTTGATTCCATTAGTAATAAGAATTCAGAATATCACACATTGATCAATCAAAAAGGGATTCAACGTTTTTCCGTTTCTTTGTTCCGACCCGCTCTAAGGATCGAACGACAAACCCTGTTGATTATTAGAAATTAAGGGGGTGTTTGAGATTGGTTATTTGAAACAACTTATGTTTTTCTATAAAAGTACTTATCAACTTATCATAAGCTAGAATAGTTTAACTTATTCAAAAACTCTTTATTATCAGTTTTGTACCAATATAAATTGTTTATTTAAATACTTAAAAGTGTTTATTACCGATGTCATACTGAAATAAGTCAATAAGTTATTTTTATAAAGAAAGTATTTGAAAAAAAATAATAATCACATCTTTCGGCGTTCTTCTACATCAATCCCCTATCCACTTCACAACTCCACCGTAGTCGTCTCACCTCCCTCACTCCCCATCGCCATTTTCATTCTTCCGCTTCTTCATCAATGGCTGCTGCTGCTACCACAACTAGCAGCTTCCAGAGAACACCCGCCCTTCATCTAACTCTAACGCCAAATCGGCTTTCGAAGCTCCCCTCCTGTGCATTTCCGCAACGCAGCAGACAGTCATGGCCATCACAACTTCCTCTTATATCATCTTCCTCAATCTATTTCTCTTATAAGTTGTCTCGTCTCCCAGTTGGTTTCTTTTTGTGCTCCGCTTCTTCACATGACGAAACCCTCGTCACTGACGAACAAAAGGATGTCGTCACTGATGAATCTCAGCCACAGGTACTGCCATTTGGTTTCTCTTTAATAACTATGGTTTAGTAATTCAGATTGATATCTGATATTAGTTCACCTGTTTATATTCCGCTTTTGATTGTGAACAGTGTTTCCCAAATTGAAAATCCAATTTGATTTCCAAAAATTGACCTAGTATCCATCAAAATCCTAGTCACATTTTATTTTGAAAACTTTGCAGATTTGATATTCGCACAAATAGTTTAATTTGGTTATCAACTTGAACAAAAAAACACCAAGGTTGATTCAAGTATGGATATTTCGGGTCTGAGAGAGTATAAATTTAAAGAAATTCATACGATTAGTCTAGGTAATAAGATGGTTGACCAAAGTACCTTCTAACAAATACAACTTCAAGAAAATGTTGAACCTAAATCAATACCACCAATTTGTTTTTGCAGCTATATAATTTCAAATTGAAACCTTCCAAAAAATAAAATGCTAAATTTAGAATTTTAATGGAGACATTCCACAAAGGAAAGTGTTGTGATTTTCATAGGATGGCAGGAGTACTACATTTGACCATTAAAATAAGTAGGGCATATTTTTTAATTTAGTGTAGTTGATATCATTGCTAAGCTTAACCTTTTGTGGTTATGCTCCTTGCTTCCACCTCAAACTCCAAGTTCCTTAAATTTTATCATGATTTGAATTCGCAAACTTTAGCAAAGTTTTTTGAAGTTAGATTGACCTTTTGCAAACAAAAATTACTGATATAGGCTGCAAGTGTGGAATGAYGAGCACTGGGGTCTAGTCATAGTCATATTCTATAGATATTTTTGGTCTGATAAGTGATAACCTGTGATTCCTTTAAAATTTTACGAACCTTGTTAGTAATGTGTGAAGGAAGGGATCTTTTGAGTATTGAAATGTATGAAGCTCACCAGGATATGAGGTACCAGATATTTGTTAAACTAAAGATGGCGTCAAAGGGCAACTTTAGGTTCTTCCCCTATTTTAAATTTGGTATGTAGGAGTGAGGATAAAGATAAATGGATAAACATTGTGACTAATGGATATTAGGAGCAAAATTTTAATTGCTATGGACCCCAAACTAATTTCTAAATTGTGATTTATGATTACTATTTCATTAGGTGGTCATGATGTCACATTTTGGCATTGTGTGGACAAACCTGTATTTATTAGAATACACACACTTTGATTGTGCATGAACAGCTGACCTGTGTTTATATTGATATCTATGGGACCCAAGTTATAACCCAACCTGAAATAAAGTTGTTGCACCTTAACACAGGAAATTATCAGGTTTTGTGTTGGTAGTAGAGGGCTTCAGCTGTAAGAGGAGGTCTAGTGTTGTTATGTAGCAGTTGAATTCTTGGACCATCATCTTTTGATCATCTTTTTAGCATTTAGCTTTGCTAGGGGTTTGGCGTTTTTTTCTTCTCTCAACATCTTAGCATCCAGATTTCTCATAATGAATATTCCAACCTTTTATGGTTTTTCCACACAAAGGTTTCTCTATAAATCTTGGTTTTCAATTATCAGTAGACTTTTTCCTTTGATTTGTGCTTTTGTCATGCTAAACTAGTCTAGAACCTTTAGCTTTTTTTGTTGATTGTGGTTATGGTTTTGAGGTCATTGACAGAATTAAATGACAGCAAATTTGAGACCTCTTGCTTTGATGTTTATCATGCTAGGGAAAGCTCATTGGTGTTTATCTTTCATCATTGAATAGAGCCTTCCTTGTCAACCTAAACTGAATCACCACTCCCACAACCTTATCTAAGACTTTGTCCAATGCCAAGCGTAAATGTAAATACGAAGGTATTAGAAAAGAATAGAACTTGGGAACTTGTAGAGCTAGCAACAGGTAAAAAACCAGTGGGCCATAAAAAGGTGTACATGGTGAAGTATAGAGCAGATGGATCAATTTGGAGATATAAGGTTGGAAAGGGTTTATACTCAAACCTATGGTATTGATTGTTTAGAAACATTTGCTCTTAAATACTGTTAGAGTATTGTAATCACTTGCAAGTTGCAACTAATTTTTGTTGGGAGTTGTGGCAATTTGCGTCAAGAATGGTTTTTGCATGGCGAACTTGGAGAGAAACTTGTTTGTAAATTCCATCTGGACATGAAAAGAATGTGGCTGCTCATGCTGTGTGTAAGCTTAAAAGGCATTGTATGACCTTAAGCAATCACCTCAGGGCTGGTTTGGAAGTTTTGCAAGAGTTATGCTAACCATGGGTTGCAAACAAAGTCTAGTGGATCACGTATTGTTCATTGGGAGTTACAATTTCATTCGTGTAGGTTGATGACATTATTGTGAATTGTGATTAGAAGTGATAAGAAGCAAAAGGTTCTAAGCCAGAGGTTGGCTAAGAATTTTGATGTTAAAGCATTGGTGAGACTAAAGTTTTCCTTGGGATTGAGACTACTCACTCTAGGAAGGGATTTTTTATTTCTCAACAAGAAAGTATGACTTGGATCTACTCGAGGATGCTGGCAACACAACGTGAAAATAAATAAGATCCCATTGATCTTATCTTAAACTTGGGAACACAGAAAAGGATGTTATGGTGGATCGAGAAATGTAATGTCATCTGGTAGGAAGACTCATTTACCTGTCTCATACAGGAGCAAATATATGCAATTAGTTTAATTCGCCAATTTATGCCTAGTGCAAAGGAATCCCATTTACAAGTGTTAGAATATGTGGAACCCCCAAATCACACCCCAAAAGAGCCCTTGAGGAGAAAGGGAGGTTCCAACATATATACATGAGAAATGGTCCAAGTCTAGCCAATGTGGGACTCCAACAACAAGCAATCTGAGTCTCACCAGGGAAGCCATTTGTTCAAGAGAACTGGAGGTTTGATACCAAGGCTTACATCAATGCAGATTATGGAGGATCACTGGTTGATGGAAGATCAACTTCAGGGTATTGCACCTTTCTCAGTGGAAACTTTGTGACAAGAAGTAAGAATGAGCACTTGCTCAAGTCCAGAGGCTGAACTCCGTGCAGTGGCTCGTGGTGTGTGTGAGCTACTTTAGCTAAAAGTCATCCTTGATATGAGTTTTCGGTGGGATGGTCCATTGAGACTATTGTGACTACAATCTTCAACCAGTACAGCTCATAATTTAGTGTAACAGGGCTGAACAAAACACATTGAGATTGACAGGCCTCATCAACAAGAAGCTGGAAAGTGGTTTGGTTGTCTCCGCGTGTGTCTAACCAAGTCTAGGTTGCAGATATTCACAAAGGTATTGAGTAGCTCCGGTTTTCAGAAGTTTGTATCCATGCTGGGAATGGGGTATATATATTCGCCAACTTTACGGAGTCTAGGAGAACAGATTGTTAGAAGCTAAATTTGGAAATAGTTAAAATAAACTGATTTAGGAAATCTCTTAGAATTAGGCCTATATGATGCCTTCCCATTCTTTTAGAGTATCCCGTAAATCATGGGATCTGATTTACTACTTCATGTTCTTGGATGTCAAGTTGTTATACAAGCCTTTCCCCATTCTCTCAACTTCATGCATGATACACCCGACACATACATGTTGATAGATGTTAAAGCTGATGACTTGCATAATGAGTTGGCATAAAATTGGTACCAGGATTAAGGAGGATGAATGCAGATTCTTATGCTGTCAAAATTCAGCCGTATTGTTTGTTTCGTTAAAGCTACGATGTGGTTATGCCTGCCTTGTCGAATCTTCTAGAAGTTTCAGGACTTTAACACCAAAATTTATACTCAATCTCTTATTTAAGCTTTATTATATGCTAATGTGGTTTAAGTTCCGCAGGCCAGCCATGTTACTTCAACCTTCATGAATCCTAAGATGCAATTAAGTACCTTTTTCATATTTAAAAATTACAATGATAACATGATTAGGTAAGAGATATTTTCACTACCATGTCATTGGGATTTAGTTTACAGTTCAGTTGGGAAAGGGATTATTATAATCTGCTGTCTATTTTTCCAAGTGAGGCAAGGTTGATTTCTTGAAAGGTGGAGTGGACACACAATTTTTGGGATTTGGTGGGTTTCTTTGATTGATTAAATTTTGATACAGGCATCATGGGGTTATCATTGAGCAAAAGAAGGGGTGGTGTGAAAGAGTGTCTGAAAACTGAAAAGGTTGAGCAGCCTAGTATCATTTTGTCTTGGAGGAAATGGAGAGTTATAATCAGCCTCTTTCCTCATATCCATGATGAATTTCTCCAGTCTTCTTTCGCTTAGAAATCAAACTGTAAGTTGGTCAATGAATGATGCGTGTTATACAAAGTGATGGTCCTAGGAGCAAAATGAGTTTGATTTCTTAAGGTGAATGCATGATCAGTTCATAGTTGATGGTTATGTAATTGCTATTATGTGTTAGCTTATCATCGTTAATTTCCTTTATTGTGTTTATTATATTATATTGATATTCACTGTATTGATTGTAATGAACATTCTCCGTCTTGTTCACTAATGTATTCATAGCCGGAGGATTCAGAAGGCATGAGTTCGGATGATGATTCATCCCAGGGTGATGATACCATAGTGGAAGAATCGCCTGCAACCATTTTGGCATCATTGCAGTCATACAAAGAGGCCTTGGCAGTTAACGACGAGTCAAAAATAGCTGAAATAGAAACTCATTTCAAGTCGATTGAAGATGAAAAATTAGTTTTAGAAAGACAACTAGCAACACTGTCAGATGAACTTTCAAACGCAAAAGATCGAGTTCTTAGGATAAGTGCAGACTTTGACAATTTCCGGAAGAGGACAGAAAGGGAACGTCTTTCGTTGGTAGCAAATGCACAAGGTGAAGTCGTTGAAAATCTTTTGGGTGTTTTGGACAACTTTGAACGAGCTAAATCCCAGATTAAAGTGGACACCGAAAAAGAGGAGAAAATCAACAACAGCTACCAAAGCATATACAAGCAATTTGTGGAGGTCCTAGGCTCTCTTGGTGTTGTTCCTGTGGAGACAATTGGACAGCCATTTGATCCATTGGTAATTCCTCTTTCCGATTCTTCTCTTGTAGTTATACCCATTGGTCTCACCAATATATAACGTTAACTTAAATCATCTATATGATAAAATGATTTAGAAGGCATTAGGTTTAGAGCGTTCCTAAGGGAAACAAGCTATTTCCAAACTTAAGAGGGATTTTCTCCACATTGGTAGTCTTTGGTTGCACACATGCCTTTTGTTTAACCAGTAATGTAACCCTCTATTCCGTTACCCTTCTTGTCGGTTCGTCATAGTGATCCACCTACTTGATCATTGGCTGCAGGCATATCCCAGAGTTGGCTCGAAATTCAGTCGAGTACTTGATGATCTTTTTCAAAGGCTGGACAAATTTTTTTCAGGTTTTATCAAGACCTAAATACACGATGATCTTTTTCAAAGGCCGGACAAACTAAGACCTAAATACATTTTTTTAGTGCAAACCAAGTCTTGATTGATTCGAGCTAACTCACTTCAAGCTTATGTAAGGTTCCATTTACAACGGGACAAACCTTTCATCATTTTCGTTGATTCATTTTGTCATGTCAGTTATCGGGCTGACTTTTGTACAAAGAGAGTTAGGGTTTATTGAAAAACCCAAACACTTTATGATATAATCTACGTTTATAAGTCGTCGTGTCTTTTGTTTCTAGAGTTGTTCCTCATCGTCCGTTTTGAGAAATTCTAGTAGCTTGACATTTCCCTTTTCCATGGTAAAAGCTGCACGAAGCCATTATGCGTGAAGATTCTACTGAGTTTGATGAAGGTGTAGTAATTCAAGAATTTCGCAAGGGGTTCAGAATTGGTGAAAGACTTTTGCGTCCATCAATGGTGAAGGTATCAGCTGGTCCAGGACCTGAAACCGCTGACCCCGTAAGCCCGTCTGAACCAGAAGCTTCAGTTCCAGGTGCAGAATCATTAGGTGAACCAGAGGATGTCGACAATTATACGGAGGACCAGTCAGAACCAGCTCCATCCGATGATGAATGATATAATACAGTTATATATATATATATATATATATATATATATATTCAGTTAGTGAACCCATAATTTACTTGGCAGGAGGGGTGTCATGCCTTTGCCTCCTGTAGTTGGGGATTGAAGTGGGTCTTTGCAAAGAACTACCATTATGATGCCTGTGGAGCGTCTACTGTCCTAGTTACTGGTATATTTTTGTTTCTTTGCTTTATTTGTTTTTAGCTATAGTGGTGTGCTACTGTGCATGTGTTRCAAATCTCTGAAGGAAATATAACCAATCACACCTCTCTTTGAAGTAAAGGTCTGTGATAACACCGGATGAGGTATGACTGACAGGACATGCAGTGAATGAATTGTGCAAGTTTTTTACGGTTTTAATTTGATATGGGTGGTTTAATAATTTACCAAACTTATCTTTTATCTGGTTGATTCTTGTTCTATCTATTTTTGGGGAGAGATCTATTTTTGTCTTATTTATTGTTTCATCCTGTCCGATGTATCAAATGCATTACATGGGACTAAACAGAATAAGAACGGAATTCAGTATTCCATGTTTGGCATGACGAGGAATAAGACAAAAACTCACTGTTCCACTTTGACGTGACATGGGGAAGAGAGGGATGAGACGTGTGGATGAGACAAGGATGGAGTAAAACTATAATTATCAATCTACTTTCATTTGATATAATCCTAACATGGTATTTTGTTCAACGGTTACCATCATTGCAGCCACCACCCTTTTGGGCGCCACCAATGACTACCTTCACCATCAGCCACCACTACCACCCCACCTCTGTCTCCATATCCACCACTATCTACTATCTCCACAATCACCACCACCACTATCGGCTACCACCTCCACAACCAATTCCGCCTCCATTGGCCGCCAAACCGCCACCACAATCGCCAACCACCTCCTCTTCCATTACCACCGGTAACCCAGTCCTTCTCATCCTTGGGGAACTTATGTAACCCAATCTTGTTCGGTTCTAGTCATGTCAAATGCAAGATAGGCATCTAGCACTATTCTTTTGTCATGTCCTACCTAGGACGTTGGTTTTTATAATTCAAACTTTTTTACTCATTCGGAATTGGTTTCCATGTTCTTGGGTTTTTTTTATCAACTCCTGTAATGTAGCAAAAGAAAAGAAAAATAGAGAAAAAAGAGAAAACACAACCTGTATTACATTAATCCTCAAACTACATACCTTTACACTCACAACTGAAAACACACCATGGGGTTCATGAACCCCAAAACAACCCCCAACCTTAGAATTTACATTTGAAATTAAAAAAAAAATGAAGAGACAAACATATTCTTAACCACCACCACCCACCCACCCCCCAAAGGAAAAAAACACCTCCTCCCAAAGAACACCAAAAGGTTTTCATAAACAAATCCAAAAGTTGAATCCCCAATTGCAGAAACCAGAAACCAGAAACCAAAAACCAAGAGAGTACATCATCTCAAATGCAAGCAAAACCCAAACAAGCAAAAAGCCCCAACACCTTATATAATGACTTCCTGCCTCCTTCCCTTCCTTTCTTCCTTCTCATTCTTTATCATCAGTATTACTTGTACTCAACACATTCTCTCTTACATGGTTAACCATCGCGGTACTAGATGCTTCAGAAGCACCTTCAACCTCAGTGTTGCTAATTTCCTTCTCATCCTCAGCCTTCGTTCTTTCTTCTGCATCTGTTTTAATTTTTGTTTCAGAAATATCGGTGGAGTGGTCACGCTCCAGGGTCCGTGGATCCTGTTTTATCTCACTCAAAGTAGATTCTATATCCTTGATGAAAGCATTTTCATCTACAGAATAGAAAGTTTCAAGACTATGCGCCCCCGAGGCCCTTGGCTCCTGTTTCATTTCATTCAAACCAGATTTCAAATCCTCAATGTAGGAATCTTCATCTACAGAAGGGTTAGTTTGAAGATCATGCTCCAAGGCATGTGGGTCCTGTATCATCTCGTTCGATACTGATCCTAAATCCATAGAAGAATTAGTTTCAAGATCATGCTCTGAGGCATGTGGGTCCTGTTTCATCTCATTCAAAGTGGATCCCAAATCTTTGGAGTAAGAATTAGTTTCAGGATCATGCTCCAAGCCATGCGGGTCCTGTTTCATCTCATTCAAAGTCGACCCTAGATTCTTGGAGTAAGAATCTTCATCTACAGAAGGGTTATCTTCAAGATCAAGCTCCGAGGCATGTGGGTCCTGTTTCATCTCGTTCAAAATCGATCCTAAATCATTGGAATAAGAATCTTCATGAGCAGAATGCTTATTTTCAAGATCATGCTCTGAGGCATGTTGGTCCTCTTTCATCTCATTTGAAGTTGATCCCAAACCTTTGAAACTGAAATCGCCAACAGCATCCAGTTCCACTAGTAAATTTTCATCAATCTCGTTAATCTCATCTACATCATCAACGTTATTGGGCGTGTTCTTACTTTCAATACTATGAACGTCACTTGTATATGCCAAAGTTTCTGGTGCTTTAGTTTCAATACCAGCAACTTCAACCACATCAGTTTCAGGATTCAAGACACAGTTGATACTTGGTGAAATGTTGTTCTCTGGCTCTTGGATCTGCAAATTGACAGATTTAAGGAAAGTTAATCCTACGGTCGTCAATCTTGAATTCATCCAAATGATACATATATGTAGAAACAAAAGATAATCTGATGCATGTATAAGCCAGCTAGAAAGCCTCAAATATGTTTTGCTTCAGCATTGGTTTGTTTTCCGAATATCTTTAAAAATATATGTATATACATTAAAGGACTTTCTTATTCCTCACATTTTACCAAGGGAGAATACAAATATAAATACTCAAGGAAGAGGGTTCCATTGTGTGTTCTGTATATATATATATATATATATATAGGTTCAAGGGGAAAAAGCCAAAAAAATGAAAAACGGAGGAGGACCCTGGTAACCGTTCATCTGGCGGTATGCACATGTGCATACAATTACCATGGTCGACAGTTATGTTCAGTCATAAACAAGTTCAACAAGAATACAAGCGCTCTGTGTGAACCAGGACAAGAGCCTAAGATGTTTATTTACATTATTTACCTCGCTCTCCATTTCGTGAGAGTCGTCCCATTCCCCTCATATTAAGTAAAAGGATCCATAATCGCATTCCATTTCTCCTCCGGTAATACAAGATAAAACTAAAATTTCGAAATGATAACGCCTAAGTGATTAGAAAGTATATTTAACAAGATGAGACACTCATGCAACACCTTAACAGCTAATTTGTCATACAAGTATCAGAAAACAACCCGCAGAAGAATTCATTCACAATAATACCAGATAGAACATACGTAAAATGGAATGATTATCAAAATTTTGAAAAAAGACCTTGGACATTCAAATCTTACCTGCAATACTTCAGGATTCTCTTCTGATGGTTTGTTTGCAGATGGGAACTCTTTATGTGGTTGTAATATCGCTTCTTCTTCAGATTCGAATTGGTGATGCGTAGGGAAAGGGTTTTCATATGTTTCACCATGGACAACCTCCTCGGATTGTACTTCACTATTTGATGAGACGAAGTGACCTCCGTCAAGCTCATGACCCTGTCACTTACAAAGATTAGGCTATTTGAGTACGGTATCATGTTAGCATGTTGACACCGTTCTATAGGGGGGATATTGTGGATCAATAGGTAAACTATGGTTTGACATTTTTTTCAAAAAGAAACCATATCTTTGTACTTTACCTGCAATTCTTCATGATCCTCTGCCGATGGTTTCTCCATGGATCTACCTAACAGAGATGACTCCTCTGGTTGAGATATAACTTCTTCTTGGTGAGTACCTTCAACAAATCTTTCATGATAATTGGATGGGGGAACTTCAACCTGTTCTAGCTGATGATATGCATCCATATCCAATAGACCATCCTCTGTTTCAAAAAGGGGCTTATTCAATAAGGATGTTGAAATGCTATCACCAGCCGACAGTGGTTCTTCGTTATCTGGTACAGCTGGAATTTGGTTTTGAGTATCCCTAGTTTCAGGACTAGAAGAATCTGTAGAATTCCACTTGAGATCTGCAACAAAGCTTGATTCTTGATGTTGGTCCTCAGCATGCTGAAAGTCGATCAAATTATTCTGAACAGATAAAGTATTAGCATCACATCTTAACATACCAAATATCTGAGTGTTAAATTCTCTTACATCTGTAATGCTCCTTGATTCAATCTCCTCTGCTGCATCCGGCTCTGATGAATCTACAAACTCTGCATCATTATTAGCGCAATCCGTCTCTGTTTTCTGCACAGTTTCTTGAGACTCTCTGCCAGAAACAGAACTGGTTCTCTCTGAATTTGGCAGCGACTGACCCTTCTCGATTACGTCTGTTTGCAGATCAGTAGAAATTGAGGAAGACGAGAGGTTCTTTGTAACACCTCGAGGACTTGAATCGTATATAGGTTCCTTTGGCTGACTCTCTTCCACCAATAAACTTGTTATATCAGACGTCTCTATCGAGTTACCACGATCCATGAAATAATAATCTGTTTCCGCAACTGATGTTGGCATCTCATCATCTTCTTTCTCGTCATATATTTGGTCACTCACTTCATAAGACGATGACAAACTCGATGCACTACTATGCAATTCTTGACCACCCAAATTCAAGTGAGCTACATTCTCAGTTTCAGGAAAATGCAATGCTACTTCTTGTTGACTTGTCAAGTTCCCAACACTTATTTCAGCCTCATCAAGTTCGTTATCTTCTTTTTCAACTTGAATGGATTCCACATTGCCATCATCTTCAGAAGACACGTGCTCAGATACATGTTCGTTTGCCTTCGGAGCATGCTCACCTGTAGAAATTAACTCCAAATGTTCTCTTATCCTGAAAGGATGTTCATGGTCTATTACCGAAATCAGTTCCGCTTCTTGAGAAAGGTCATCTTCAATCGGGTCCTTATTTTCAAGATTTCCATCTGAAGAAATGGACTCTGTATCGGGTATAGAGCTCACCTTCGAGTCACTGAGTTCACTCATTTGTCTGTGAAAGGCAGAAGCAACCTGCTCAGGTACAAAGTACGGTGTTACCTGAATAACATCATCAGATACATGTTCATGCTCTTTTTCAGAAATCGGTTCTGGTTCTAGAGAAAGGTCGTCTTCGATATGGCCCTTATTTTCAAGATCACCAGCTGAAGAAATGGACTCTGTATCAGTCACCTTAGAGTCACTAAGTTCACTTAATTGTCTTTGAAAGGTAGAAAAGCTTGTCCCATCAGAAGCAATTCGTTCGGGTACAAAATAAGGTCTCAGCTTCGTTTCTTGCCTCTCGCTTCTTGAAGCCCCGAAAATAGAAGGACCTACGTTGAAACTTTCATGTCTACGGAAGAATGGTTCCTTTGGCTGAATGGCTGCAAATTCTTGTTGGAAAGTGTCTCCAACCAAATCAGGTTTCTCTTCGCTCGGGTCATAAGGGAGATCAAACGGATTCCTTCTTTGTAACAAAACAGATGGAGCAGAACCAGGAACATTGTCGTTCGAATCATAAGATATATCAAAAGGGTTGTTTCTTGTAGTTGAAATGGGAGGAATGTTCCAAGGAATATCGGAACTTTCTAAGTCTATCAAATTCTTTTCAGCTTGCATCCTCATGGTTTTTCGCGCCCTTCGCCTTGCAATTAGATTCTCCAACCGCCGGTTTCTTTCCAGCTCCGATGTTCCCAAGTTCATAAGATTCTTTTGGTCATATTCTGTCCAAGTTATAACAGATCTGATCTCGTCCTCTTTGTCAGTATGTTTTGATTCTTTATCTTCGTCATCTCCAACTTCTAAATCTTCATGGTTTTCAATATCACCACCACCATCATCATTATCATCATGAGACTCACTACTGCTGTCACTTGATTCAACGGAATGTTCTGAAACAGCATCAATGGCTGGAATGTGAGTGGAAATGTGATCGGATTCACGAGTTTCTGATTCTTCAGCAAGAAGTGGATGGAGTTCATCAAGCATTGGGATGATATCAGCCATCGACGCGTCTGGTGATGAACTTTCAGCAAGATCAGATCCCGAGTCTGATCCTTCATCATCCTCAGAATCGTCACCTTCCATTCGTTTCCACAACAAACCAGAATCAGAATTCAATGGATCAGCTGAACCCTCCCATAACTTATCATCACTTTCCGACTGCTGAAGCGGAGTGTAATGGCTTCCCAAAACATCTTTCTCTTCATCCACATCAATCCCATGATCACCCATTTCATTCTTTGCTTCTTCTACTAAATGTTCTTCCCGAAATTGCAGATTTTCACTCTTTTCTTCGGTTATGAACCCATTATCATCAACCAAACCAACAGAAGGATCATCATTAACAGAAGTTCTCTCCCCAATCTCAATTCTACTCCCATTAGTTTCCACAGAAGCAAAACTTCCATCTCTTCCAACAATTTCAGTATGACCCATAACCTTAGTTTCCAATTTCTGAATCTCATCTCTATCAGATTTCGATTCTTTTTCGATTTCGGGTATGTTTGGCTGACCAAAACTTAACAGAGTTCCAAGAAGAACAGCAGTGGACACGATAACAGGAGAAGCAGATACCAGAAGCGAAAATAACAAAGGAAATAATCGGTACATCAAAATCAAAAGAAAACCCATACCAACAAGAAACGGATGCTTCACAACTGATCTGTAGCAAATCATCACCGAACTGCTAACATACTTTCTGAACAATTCAGCCCCCATTTTCAACTTCACAAGAACTGCTTCAGATATGCAGCAAACAAATCAGAAACAAAAAAAAAAGGCAAAACCCAAATAACAGATGATGATCACATAGTTGGTACCTGGAAAGTGAAAGGTAGTAAAGACCCCTGTGTCGGGATTCACTTTAAGTGGGAAAAAAAGAAGTTCAGAAACGACTGGAAAGATGGGGATCAAGATTCATGAAGAACCAAGATCGTCTGAATGAATTCAGTTTGTTTAAAGAACCAAGAACCTATGTCGGGATACACTTTCCTTCCTTTGGGGAATTCACAGCTAGGCATATCAGATTGAAATGGAAAGAAAGGTCATGGAGGTGCGTGGGGCGGTGATGGTAAAAAGGACACTTTGAAAACTTTCCCAAACACCTTCGTTTTTCCATGGCTTCCTTTTTCTTTTTCACTAAACAAATAGTGTTCCAAGAAACCACCAAGACTTTGGTCAAATATCATCTACACCACACAATTAAACAATCAACGATTGTGATTATTCGGATTCGAATAAGAAGATGATCTACGATTATGATTAAGGGGTGTTTGGGATTGCTTATTTGAAACAACTTATGCTTTTCTACAAAAGCACTTATCATCTTATTATAAGACACAATAGTTTAACTTCTTTAAAAACTCTTTAATACTGGTTTGACACCGGTATAAGTTGTTTATCCAAACACTCAAAAGTGCTTATTACCGATGCCACACTGGAATAAGTCAATAAATTATTTTTGATTTTTATAAGCAATCTCAAACACTCCCTAAATTCTTTTGGGTTGCATTACTTGCAATATTTGAAAATTTTGCATTTGATTTACATTATATACAATATTGTTATGGGTTTGTTATGGGTTAGGTTCCAGTGAGAAGGGTATAAATGAATCTTCACCTTTTGATCAATCATAATTAAAGAGTTCCACTAGATCAACACCGTATTAATTCCTTTCTAAAACGTAATTTATGTATAGCTTTAAGATTAAAAGTGATCAATGATCTAAATCTCATCTTAGACTTCTCACTTTGACTCCTATTTCTTACTCCGTTTTATTATGTTGTAATTATATGGTATTTGATAAAATTTTGATTTTAGTTTTAATAATTGCTATGATATTTTAAATACTGGTATGATATCATCATGAACATAAATATCTAGACGCGTACTGTTTTCATAATCTGTCTAACTATGTGGACTCGTGAATAGAGTTGACTCTCGTTTTCCATTGAAATCTGTATGGATTAAGTTGTCTTTGTGGATTAATTTAAGCTGCTAACAAACAGACTTTTAACCCCCTGACATGCTTGTACCCCATACATTAGTTTGGTCTTTTCAAAACTCGTCATTCTTAGTTTGATTGGTTGTTCAAGTTTGATTTTTAGGTTTTAAGTTAAAGCTCAAATTCACTAATTGGGTTTGCTCGTTTGCGGGACCTGTGTTCATAAATATGGTAAAGTGTTACCTACACCTCCAGGTAAACCATAATAATTAGGTATTTTTAAGTATTTTGCTTAGCTAGTTGGGAAAATAATTTGCATAGCCATATATAGTAATACAGTTGGAAAGGTGTCAAGGAAGAAAATGGTACAACGTTTGTATCGGTGTACGTTTACGAAAAAATGGGAGTCTTTGGAAGAAAAAAAACCTTATTTGTAAGCAAGAAAAAATGTGTAGTTAACCACAAGGATGGTGGCTGATTAGTTTGAGCTTAAGCTCCAAAGGTCAAAAGTGTCTGGAGGTCCCAGGTTGAAATCCAAGGAGGAATAAAAACCCCATTGTGGCCACGGAGATCCAAATGCAGTGATTCTGGGCTACCCGCAAAGCAGGTGGTCGTCTTGGAATTAATCAGCTCGTATAACGGATTATATATCCAAGTTAAAAAAAAAGGTGTAATTGATAAGGAAAAAAACATATGGCAATCAGACCATGAAAATGTGCAATGAACATAGCTCTTGTTGTAAATTCATCGATCCACGTGTAACTATAGAAGATTTTGCTGCCATTGCGACCCTGTTGCTTCTTGATACGAAACTTTAGGCTGCGAACTTGCTCGAATTCTCAAAATGCTGCCAAAATATCGATATGATTTGGTTTTATAGTTAATGTATAATCATGAACACCGGTTTTCAATTCAACGCTTGCTTCAATGGTTGTTCTTCCGACATGAATGCTTAAGAAACATGCCCATCAGTCACTAACGAGCAACATCATGACTGCTTGATAAAAAGCTAGCGACTCATATCAAAATGACGTGCATGACCATGCGCTACAAAAAATGAACTGGCGTGTCACGTAAAAAATTAATTGTTATCTAGTCTAAAAAAACTACAATACCAAAGACCCAAAAAGTATATTTAAAATCACTAGGATCGTGCCTCACTTGTTAAGTGTCGGTCTTTAGGTGGATGCAGTGAAAAAATTCATTTAGCTGTCAAAACCTATGTGTAACATACACTTTCGCAAATACGTTGCAATTATCTCCTTTATGCGTGCTTATGTGATCAAAACGTAAAATTTAGAAGCAAACCCGAACGCAATAAACTATATATGAAATAGTCGGAACCATCGTACGAGGCCCGGGACAAAACAATTGGAAATAAACGGTCAAAAACACCAATATCTACGTTACGGATACATAAAAGCTTACTTTTATTGGAAGATATTTTCTAAAATATTTCTAATGTAAGTTGAAGATTGTCTCTTTACGAACGCGTGAGCGAAAACCACGTCAAAAACAGAGGTCCGAGCGAAAAGTTATGCGATTTTTAGTGATTAGTGGTCAAACCGAGTTTTCAGCCGAGTCAACTCAGCCCCAACTCATAAAAGTCGAATATACATGATGTTTACCTCCCTTTTCACCCAAAAGAGAGTCTCATCTCCATACTAACAAGGGCGATTTTGGCTTCATAGGGATGAATCAATGTTGTTTCAAGGGTTTTTTTCTTGAGTATTGATCTTGTAAACAATAATATAAACATGGTTAGATGATATTTTGATTGTTGGAATAAAGATTGAATCCAAAATATGGATTTTAGCCTATTTAGTTGGTGAATTTGACAACACCGAATATATCCGAGATGTTGTTTTGAATGTGCGATAACTTCTTATCCGTAGCTTGGATTGCTACAATTCTAGACATTTTAGAAAGCTTATATGTARCTCTAAACCTATCCTTTAGACACTTTTTAGAAATAAGGCTAAAGGTTGGTTATAATTGTGTCTAAAAACTGATAAAAAATTGATTTTGAGTTGTGAATTATAGTAACTAAAATGAGTTTAAATTAAGTTTGGTTAGTTATTGTTGTCGGATCATTATGAAACTTTGAATACATATTACAGGTGTTAAATAAGCTCACTTGGTTCTTCCAGAATGACCGTTGGACGACGTTTAAATATATATGGACGTAGAGCCTAATTTGGCTCGATTTTTGAATATCGAAAATCACTGTGAGTTTATGAGGCTACTTAACTTGCTATTTGCTAAACATGTGTTATCTATTTGCTACTTGCTTCCACACTCATCCATGTTATGTCTCCTTATCAATTTCAAAAGATTATTGGCTATTGCACTTCGTCCTTCCATACGTGCTACTCGGTGGTTACTTCGTGTTTCACCCGGGGAGGCACGCTTAAGCCCATATCGGTTGAGATTACTCGGGTATGGTGCGTATTTGACCATGTTAGAGTCCGGTCATTTTCTCGCTGTCCGGGATAGCTCGGGTGGGAATTTAACTGGCCGAGATAGCTCGGGTGGTATGAAATCTATGATATATATTGTTGTGCTTGCCACGACCGGGATAGCTCGGTGGCAGTACATATCAATTTATCGACTTTCACATGATCTATTTGTTGCATACTTTGATATTCAGATGTATGATTCTCGAATGATGATTACTTATCACATGATTTACATCCTTCGTGATCATTGACTTCCATGGATTACATTTGTGAAGCTTTAGTAGTTACTAGTTCCCATTTACTCGCTAAGCATTATGTGCTTACCCTTTTAGTTGTTCACATTTTTACAGGCCGTGTAGACAAGGCAAAGAACAAGCTCAAGTAGATTGAGATCTTTGCTTTTGGTGCTTCCAGTAGCACGACTCTTTTGGTATTATATAGTTAGTCGAATATAACTATGGATTGTAACTTATTAGTTGTCTTTTGATTGTAACTACAAGTATCTAGATAACGGGTAGCTAATGTCATCCGTCTTGTATATAGTTTAAGCTTCTGCAAATCTATTAAATTTATTTTGTCTGTTTTAGGATATTTTGGAAAACAGGTGCTTACAGAAACGTCATATAAACTAAGCGGACATTTCGATTTAGAAACTCGTAAATATTATATCCCGTTTGCTTTCTAAAAGTTTAAAAATGTAACTTTTGGAGGTTTGTTTATCATTTATAGAAATGAGGTATTACAAACATGATATCATTTATGTAATCTGGATCTTACACTATGTGGCTATGAAAGTTCACCTGCAATAACTTTAGACCATTCGTGGTCGCCAAATTGATTACCCACGGTTGCCAGAAAAATTATATATATGATCCCTATTGATAATTTAAATTAGTTAATTTGATTAAAATTATATAAGTATATTTTGGGTTAAATATAAAGACAAAATGTACGAAATAGCAACCTACTTTTACAAAATTTCTTATTATAATATTGTATTTTTATTTTTTTATTACAACAATATACTTTCAAAAACATTTTAAAAATATATTATTRTAATAAGAAAAATTAAAAGTACAATAAAAATTTATAAAAGTAAGTTATTATTTCACGCATTCTGTCCTTAAATATGCAATTAGAAAAAGTAGAAAGTAATCCTTTTTACGTAAATGGGCTAGACCGACCCGACCCGTCCGACCGACCGACCGGGATTTTTCCCGGTTGCAACTGCACACCTTTATCAACAAGGGGAAAAACATTCCATGTTTGCTACCCGCACTCCCCCTTCGATGCTCAAACATGGTGGTCCGAACGGTGAATTCAGTTTCACTTTTTCGCTCAACCTCGCCGCCGTCGCCCCTGCCACTAGCAGCGTTCCACACGTACCGCCAAATTCGAGCTTTTCAGTATCTACAGTTGTCTCGTCTTTCAATTTGTAAGCCGATGGTGTTCGGTTATTATAACTTAAAAAGCGGTGGCAGTCGGAGTTATTCCGTCCAAAGTTTTGTTGATTCCGTGATGGAAGAGTTTGAAGCATTACGTCGGCGGAGGACAGTTCGTGCTAGTAATAAGTTCGTTCCTCTATTTCATTAGTGTCGTTCTGGATTTAACTTGTCTTCGATTGAGTTACTTTTGTTACGATACATACCTGTGGCTAAATGTATTGCATGTTGTTTAACATATGCTTTAGTTGGTACTTGCATACTCCCCTTTTCGTAGAATTAGTGAGTTTTTCTTCCCAAAACCTGTAAATTGAGCAAGTCGTTAATTGTTTTGATGCATAGCAGTCACGGTGCTTGGACAATGAGCCATGGCACGCCCTTTTTCATATTGGTAGAAATGGAAATGATAATTTTAATATAAGATGATAAAATTACTTAATTAGACAAATCTTAGACTTCCCACAAAAACTTCCCACAAACTTCAAGTAAATAAATAAAAAGTTATCACTCTCATTAGCCAATCATAATATTCTTCTTCGTCATCTCAATAACTGAACAAATGGATCATCTGTTGGATCAGTGGCATTGTTTTTATCATTATTCTCCCTCTGGAAGTCGTATTCTTCTTCACCACCATCCTTATATTGGCCAAGCATATGATCATCATAGTTTTGACCATGTTGGCCAATGAAAGAGTCATCTTCAGAAATTGTTCGTATCTTTATTTTCCACTGGTCTTATTGACAAGGCACTAGACCCATTTCATTTTCGTAGGCAAGGTCGGAAGTCATCTCAACCATTCCCCATGTCAAATCATCAATGGCATTATCGCTACTAATGTCTAGATTAGTGATCCATTAATTGCAATTGCCCGATGTTATACAAAAACAAGTTGCTCAAGTATAAGATTGGTAATCATTCCTGAAGAGTTTGATTGTTTTTTCACAAGTTTGATGTCAATTGTGTTGTAGAATATATATAAGCACGTGAAAGTGAATCAGTATATGTGTGTATATATATACATATTTAATTGTTTTAGCCTATTTCCGAACTTAAGACCAGATGATGACAATGTACCATGTCCACCATTAGGAGACAATTTACAAATGGTAAATAGTTTGATTGATATTTGTGTTGCTTTGATAGGCATGGGCCAGCCTTTTTGGCCCACGTCCGTATCTTGCAAGTTACAAGTAAAAAAATTATCTTTTTACAGTTTTATACCTACAAACTTCACTTAGCATCGTGATCATTTCTACCTTTTGATGCACGTACTGAATTTACTTGGATACATGTTGGTCTATTATGTGATTTATTTAATCATTTTTCAGATCAGTATTGACAAGCAATAAGGAGCTTGTTGAAGATAAATTGCGGAAGCAAGTACTGCAGAAAGGGTTGCTGCTAGAATTTAAGAAAGATTCTGAAAGGATATTGCTTGCTGTAGCTCAGAAACCTGATGGAAGGAAGAATTGGATAGTCTCCGATCAGGTTTTTGTAGAAACATTTACATTTGTCATGTTCAATGGATTGCCAGGTGTTAGGACTTGTCGTTTCCTTCCTTTAATGGTATTAGGAAGGTTTTGATTGTTATCTGGTTTTAAAACATGCAGAATGGTGTTACAACTTCCATTAAACCACAACAGATCACTTATATAGTTCCAGGGATTGATAATTTCGACACCACAAACATATTGGACTTCAATCAGAGAGCTCAGAATAGCTTGGTCAGTTCTTGATGACTTAAATATACCGAGTAAGATATACTCCCATGTGTCTTATAGAGATCAACTAATTTGTTACAGGATCCCACACTCCTTGAATTTGCTTGGACTGAGCTTCTTGAAATGAACAAGTCGGTAACAGTTGAAGAATTGGCTGAGGTATGTGTGCTTGAATGTGATATTTGATGTCTCATCATCTCCCCGTTGACATTCTCACATTCTTACAGATGATTTTTGGCAGTGCTGAACCTGTTGAGAGCTATTGCGCCCATCTCTTGCTATCGAGAGATGAAATTTACTTCACTGTGCTTGACAGCAAAGGCTCTTGTTCTGTTTATGGTCCTCGGCCAACTGTTCAGGTATGCCTTGTGATTGATTCCCACTGTATGTAAAGTTCTTGTTAAGAATAACCAAAAGAAACAGAAAAAATTCACTCTAATGTTTTTCAGGCATTTAGAATGCACGACACTTTCGCTTACTTATTTGTGTTTAGCTGGTGGTTATGAAGAACTAAATCGATATCAACCATACAAAGAAGAGACACCATAGGAAAAAGGAAGAAGATGAACTTATACTGTGACTTTATACTGACAAAGCCTCTCCATGTTGGATTATGCCTTTAAGAAGCCGTTGAGACGTAACATGACCCCCCTCATCACCACATGAATCTAGAATAATTTGGCAGCTTCTCTAGCTTTGGTGCTTTGGCGATTTGGCTGCCTGTTTGGTCATGTTTTATTCTTTCCATTTGCCTAGATGAATGGACTATGTATGTCTGATTTTTTTCTACTCCCTTATTGGAGCTCGTAATTTTTCTTCTTGTACCTGTTCCAGAATTTACACCCTCCCCCTAAAAGGAGATAATAGTAAGACTACATATGGTAACAAACTAAGCTATAAAGCAAAAAACGCTAGTGCTAAGTATTTGTTCATAAGACTAGGCTATAAGCGTGTTCCTGGTGAGTAGGACCAAGGATAAATTTTCTTGAAGTCAAAACAAAACCGGTGGACTTTCAAATGAGACGGAGGAGGTGACAGAAGTTCTTGTGCTATGAGGTAGGTCCTCCATGTCTAATTCTCTATATTCTCTCAAGCGTTGGAGAATTCTAGAATGACCCAAGCTACGATCGACTATTCAATAATTCTATGTAAGAACACTGTTAACACAGTATTCTCAAATTCGGGATGAAAAGAAAAGAAAAGAAGGAAATAAAGTCTTTTATTTGTGTTCTTGAAAGGGAAGGGAAGGGAAGGGAAGGGATGGAATGGAAAAGGAAACAATTTTTCATGTTCTTGAATGGGATAGAAAGGAAAAGTAAGATGTCATTTTTAGTTTTTTTTTACATATATATGCGTTTGGTATGCAGACTGGGTGGGACGGGATGGGACAAAAATAATTAGTCCCATAATCACATGTTTGGCATGCCATGGGACTGAATGAGGTTGGACAACATGGGACAAAAACTTAATTTCATGGGACTATTCTTGAGCTTTTTTGTTCTACCCAAAAAGGTGAACAACATGGGACAAAACATAAAATGACCATGTTACCCCTATAAGCCCAACCTTTTCTCCAAACCATTGATCCACTGGTCATGACCCCCTTCCTATCTCCGGACACCATCACGGGCTCCGGCCGATACCTATCTCTGACTACCCCTCCATTGCCCATCCGTATGTAGACAATCAACATCTCCGATCATTCCTTCCTAACCAATCCCCCCATTTCAACCCAGATTTACAATATCCAAAGCAATCTAAATAAAACAGATCGATTTTTCTAAAGATGGAGGTGGGTTCTCTTTTGAAGAAAAACGAGAAAGTGGGAGGAAGGTTAGGGAGTGGATCGATAGAGTTCCACTGTGGAGCAAATGAACGAAGGGGAAGGTGCTGGGCAGAATCATCTCGATCCAGCGGTGGGTGATGGTGGCGATATGGCAGCACACAAAGGTGAGGGTTTTGTGACAAGTAAAATCCTCTTGATCTCTCTTTGATACAACACTTCTTATGGCGGTGGCGGCTGATTACTAAGAATTTGAAGAGAAAGAGTGTATTAGRTTAGCAACGTGAATTAACATATAAATACTATATTTTTTATTTTTAAAAAACAATGAAGGGAATGGATAAAACCAAAAATATAAATATAATTGAATATAATTTTTTAATTTTGTATAACTATTATATAACAAAAACCAACAAACAACATTTTAGGCGTAATCCGGTCATTTTTAACAATTTTAGTCCAGTCCTGTTCTAGTTGTACCAAACGTAGGACGAACTATTAGTTCAATTTTGTCTTATCCTGTCATGTCATGTCATGTCTAGTCCCATCCAGTCTGCGTACCAAACGGTATCTTATATGTATTTTTCTCACTTTTTGTTATCAGGGTATGTTTGTCATAAAAGATCACATACTTCTTTTAGATTTCCTTTCCCTTCCTTTCTTCCCACATTTGGGAGGAAACATAGAGAACACATGGTTTTTTTTTGTTTTCTCCTCCTTCCCCACTTTCCCTTCTTTTCCTTAAGCACAATGTAACAGAATTGTTCTAGTATTCTATGTGGATAATATAATTTTTGCAAGTTATGAAATAAATGGATTTTGTTGCTATGAAACATTTCATACAGAGAATATGAGACTATGGAGGCATTCAGATAGCCAGACCTCGAGAAGGCATCTTCTTTTTATGGTTTTGACATCTTTGCTCACAGGCATGCTTGATAGTCATGATTCTCACTTACCAATAACTCCAAATATCAAGTTTCACCTTGAGACATAGAGCTATTAGTCAACTCATGAAGATACATGAGACTATTGGGGAAACTAAATTATCTCACAATCTTAAGACCGAACCAAACAAACCCAGTATATCCCACTCGRATTAGGGCCTTGGAGGGATGCGATGTACACACAATTGTCTCTACCCCCAAAGGGTAGACCGGTTGTTTTCATGAAGACCCCTAACCTATGAAAAGGTGCTAGTGAAAAGGCAAGAAGAACTAACAACAATAATAGCAACCAACAAAAAAGAAACAAAGAAAGCACACTGACATAGACTAGTAATAGTAAGCCGAAAAAAGGAAAGAAATAGGTAAAATGAAAACAAGAGAAGGTAAAGAAAAATGTTTATCTCTTTGTATAGGACTTCGATAACCTATCTGCCAACTCTCTAACCCGTCCCCCATCCTACCCTCACCTTCTCAAACTCCTTTCTCCCCGTCCATGCTAGCTACATGTTCCCTAAACCTAGTCCTCTATTCTAGTCCTATGAGTACAAGAACTTCTACTAGATGTCATGTCCTCTGAAACGTGTAAGCCCGCCATGTCCATTTTAAGACCATATATTATGTTTTGAGTGAATGCAGTTAATATTTTGTGTCCTCTCCAATTTATGAGCACTTTGTGTTCTTTTCTCACACTAGTCACTGAGATGCAACTCTACATATCCTAAGACATCTCAATGGTGCTCTTGGAAAGGGTCTTTACCACTTATGAGGACATACTTGAGTAGTTGGGTATAGATGATAGACATGCAGGATGCCCTTAGGAGATCTACTACTTTTTTTTTTGTGGGAGCCTTATATATTGGGAGAGCAAGAAGCAAAATGTGGTTTATTTGTCAAGTGCAGAGTCTAAAGTATCACACATTGGCACTGACGCCTTGTGAGTTGATATTGGCTCCAACACCTTGTGACACTTGAATTGGGGGATCACACATATTTAGAATCTAACATTTCATGAAACATACAAAGCATATTGAGGTAGATTGCCGTATATCTATTAAGCCAATTTGGGTCCATTAAGAGATTCACTTGCTAATACGTTGACAAAGCCACTTCGAGGACAAGAAGTTAGCGCCATATGTAACAAGAATGATTTACATCCATGCTCCTCTTGAGGAGTGTTATAAGAGTCTTAACTCTAGTTGATTATATTTATCCTTGTAGATATCTTTATCTTATATTGTCATATTAGTTACTAATGTCTCTAATGTTTATGAAAGGGATTTTCTCCATAATAATAAAGCATAATTTTCTCTGAATATATTTTATGCCAACAACAATGTTTCCTTTTTGGCAAATATTTAAGCTAGATATACGTAAGTTGCTATAGTAATCTTTGCTACATATTGACAGCATCGCATCAGCAAGATTTTTCTATTTTGTCTTATTGATGGGCATTTAGATATTTGATTTGACTGTCAAACACTTCATCAGTTATGTGCCTTGTCAAAACAATGCATTCTTTTTGGGACAACGACCAAAGGGACTACAGATTGTTGTTGTTCATCAATTGCATAGTAAATTTTCTTGGGCCTCTATTTTACATACTTCTTTGTTCTTGTAAAGAAAAATTTGACGTTGTTTAGGTATTATCGAATGACGTCTTGCAGTTGCTATCGACTAATCACGTGATGAGTGCAGTTTGATGTTTCTTTTGCTAAGTAATTGTTATTTCTTTTGATGCATCTTTAATCATTTGGAGTGATTAAATATATATTTTTTACACAATAATCTAGGTTGAAGAACTTAGACGTAGAATGCTTGCAAAGGAGGCAGCCGATAAGGAATTTCACGAGTTTGTGGAGTTACTAAAATCTGCAAAAGCAATGCCTCCACGTGGAAAACCGTCCAAATGTTCCTGGAAAGTTGAAGAGAAAATCTGGCACAGAATCGAGTCTCTTGAGGCTTTTGCTATAGATGCTTGTAAAGATGAGCAAACGAATATTGCAGGAGCGGTAATTTCTATAGCCTGCGCACACACAACACACATATTTCTTTATTCATTCAATGTCAGTTCTAATGTCTGGATGGGTTGTTTTGTCCAGTATGTGGGTTAAGTACAATCAATATGCACATCTGATGGGTAATGATAACAATTCTATGCAAAACAAGTAAGAATACAGAAATGGGAGGAAGAAGATGATGAATTCATTGAACTTGAATCGGACAGATTACAAAGGAATAAAACTCAAGGAAAACCCTCTCTCACAATCAACAAATTGGAGCTTAAACAACTATGAAAGAAAACAGAATACCCACTCCAAGATCACCCTCCACTATTTATTCTTCTCTCTCCTCTAACAAACCTCAGCCACTTTTCTCATTTCCCGTTTTACCCCTTCTGGAATACACATGCAATATTCTAGGCTTAGTTGCATCATTTTTAATTAATTCCCAATTCGTATCACTACTTCCCCCTTCCGACAAAGTCTTGCCCTCGAGACTTGTTTTAGGAAATTGACTTTTAATCATCAAAGCATCTTCCCATGTTGCTTCTTCCATAGACTTCCCTTTCCATTGAATCAACCATTGCTCAACATCTCTGTTATGAACTCTGCTTGTACGAGTGGCTAGCACTCTGCTTCATAACTTCTTGAGCCTGTGACAAATGAACTCGAAGGTGTCTCAAAGCTTCATCACGATCTTTTAATTCTTCAAGCACCTGTTGGACTCGTATTTCCCCCGGTATGAATTGGGTGATTGTTGGTGGTTTTCGACCATAAACCACCTCGAATGGAGATTTCCCAGTTGATCCATGAAAAGTGGAATTATACCAAAATTCAGCCCAAGGAATCCACAAAGACTAATTACGAGGTTGATCAACTGCAAAACACCTCAGGTACGTTTCTAAACAGCGGTTGATTACTTCAGTCTGACCATCGGACTCCGGGCGATATGCGGAACTCATGTGTAACTCAGTACCCTGGGATCGGAAAATCTCTAGCCAAAATTGACTCAGAAACAAAGGGTCCCGATCGCTCACTATCGATTTGGGAATTCCATGGTGACGGATTACTTCTTTAACAAAAATTTCAGCCACGGATTTGGCGGTATAAGGGTGTTTAAGTAATATGAAGTGGCTGTACTTAGACAACCTGTCTACCACCACTAATAAAGCATCAAACCCTCTAGACTTAGGAAGTCCCAGAATGAAATCCACAGACAAATGTTCCCAAATTGCATTAGGTATGTCTAAAGGCTGCAACAGTCCACCCGGGGCAACTGAACTTGCCTTACACCGTTGACAAACATCACAAGCCCGTACGTATTGCTTAACTCGTTCAATCATGTCTGGCCAATATAAATTTCCTGCAATTCGTCGATAAGTACGGTAATAGCTGGAGTGGCCTCCCAAAGCAGATTGATGAAACTTCTTGAGCAAACTGGGAATAAATTTGGAGTTCTTTGGAATTACTAACCGTCCTTTGTAGTAAAGTATTCCTTTACTAACCGAATACGCCGGATGAGTATCTGGTTGAGCTTTACAGTCACGCCTCAACTTTCTTATTTCTGAATCTGCCTTATGTTACGCCATTAACTCAGCCCCTTGCAGCCACAGCGGTGTTGAGAGAATTATCAATAATCCACCCTCTTCAGCTCTACGAGACAATGCATCAGCTACCCGGTTTTCCCTACCCGGTTTGTAACAAATTTCAAAGTTGTAACCCAACAATTTCGCCACCCAATTCTGTTGATCCGGGCTAGTGATGCGTTGTTGTAATAAGAATTTCAAACTTTTTTGGTCGGTGTAAACCACAAACGAGCGACCAAACGAGGTCCCTAAAAGATAGGAACGCCAATGTTGGACGGCTAAAACCAATGCCATAATTTCCCACTCATAAGTTGATTTGGCCAAGTTTCGATCGCTTAACGCTTTGCTGAAATAAGCGACAGGTTTATGCTAATGTTCTAAGCCAAGCCATACCCAACACCAAATCCAGTTCTCCAGCATCATAAATCAACACATCCACCATGAATTCATGATTTCCCACCAATACTTGGAGATTAAGACATTGTTTATCAACAAGTATTTTATGGCCATCCCCCAATTTGATACTAATTCTCGAACAACAATTAAAAGTTAGAGCTAAAGATGTTACCAAATGTTGAGAAATGAAATTGTGAGTCGCGCCACTGTCGACTAGGATGGTAACCGGAATATCTCGAATTTCCCCTTCAAACTTCATCATCTTGCCCCCTGGTATCACCTCAGTGGAAACCTCAAAATACTCTAAGGCAGCACACATTCCCGACGGAATCTACTCGTCTCCTGTAATGGTTTGTTCGTCGGAAATCTCTACATAACAGAGGTCCCCCGTAGCCAAATCATCTTCATCATCGCCCAACAATAATACTCGTAGCTTCCCTTCGGGACACTTATGAGCCGGTCCAAATTGTTGTCCACATCGAAAACATAACCCTTTTTTGCGGCGTTCTTCCCATTCCGTTCGAGTAAGAGAACGATATCCCCGATCCTTTTGATTACCGGAAGAATTGTCGGAAGTCGGATACCCATACGGACGAAAATTGTGAGAGGATTTAGCATTCAATGAACGGTCCATGGACTTAGGAGTAAATGGACCTCTCCCATCTGGGCCGCCCAATGTAAAAGGGCGAACATCCCCTTGACCCACTGGACTACAATCAGAACCCTGATGATAACGAAAACGGGAGTGAGACAGGTTACCTGATGACGGACGTAGCATCTCTTCGACGTCCTTTGCTAAGTACATCGCATCTAAACGTGACTGAGGACGGTGTAATCGAACCCATTTTTTGACCTCATCTCGTAACCCTGTCACAAAATATCCCAACGCCTGCGCTTCCGGCAATCGAGGAACCAACGATAGAAGGTATTCAAAATCGTCGATATAATCATGGATGGAGGAGCATTGCTTAATGGTAGCAAGTTGTTCGTAAGGATTTTGGATCTCCAATCCACTAAATCGTTGCAGCAACTCAGTCTGAAATTGCTCCCAAGTGAGGGGCTGTTTACTAAATTTTCTATTAAGTCCTGTATGGATAAATTTGTCTGTTTGGATAAATTTGTCTGTCTGGATAAATTTATGTTGCTGTTTACTTTTCTATCTGAATCAACAGTCTGAATAGCAGAAATGACCAATTTACCCCTAAGCATAGGATGGTAGCAGCAAATATTAACAGGTAAGAAAACCTTAAGCAAACAGCAAATACCCAAAAAAAAAAGCAAACAGCAGCTTGAAATTTCTTGTTTCCATGATATATACCATAAAATTGATTTTTGCTTGTTCATCCTCCCTCTCGCCTGTTCGGCGTTCGCCATCTCCGGTTGCTTTGCCGCCACCCCTATTTGCTTCGTCACTGGCGACCGGTCTGAGCCTTCGTCTTCGTCGCCTTCGCCGCTCTACATCGTCGTAGCTGTCGCCGCTAGCTACTCCTTTGCTACTCGTTGCAACAGGTATGGTCGATCGACGGAAAAGAGAGCAACAGCCGTCGATCGATGGAGAAGAGACCAACAGTCGATTGATGGAGAGATCGATGGAGAAGAGATCGATGGAGAAGAGACCAACAGTCGATCGATGGAGAAGAGATCGAAGGGTGTTGGATCGATGGAGAAGAGATCGAAGGGTGTTGGATCGATGGAGAAGAGACTTGAGAGAGGCGTGACTATTGTGTAAGGGTAGGGCAAGTCTTTTACCTTGGCTTAACCTGGACAACACAAGTTTTTCATTTGGGCGAATAAGCCCATTTCTGAGCGAATAAGCCCAAGGTAAACAGCCTTGTTTGTCTGTCCGAATAAGCCGGTTTATCTACTAAGCTCATTAAGCCACAAGTAAACAGGCCCTAAGTGCCTCATGAACCTGCATGACGATGGTGAACCAATGTTGAGCCACCCCCATCATACTTAATTGTGCCAAACGCAGTCTGAGATGGGCTGGGGTACTGTTGATGTCAAAATACAGATTAGCCTTCTGAATCCATCCCTGAGGATCAAAACCAAAAAACTCCGGTAATTTGACTTTCTTCACTGCCCAAGGTAAGCCATCAGCAACTGTGTGAGGATTATAGCCACCACCACCAGGTCCTCCGCCGCTGTTGTGAACATCGAAGAAAGGACTTGAAAATTGATTGCCTAATCCCGAACCACTCCCTGAATCCGGAAACAGGTGTTTTCCTTGTTGTTTCATCCATCCCAACATGATCTTACGAAATTCGCTGGATTCAGCCCTATCCACCTCCAATGTCTGCAGAGTGGTTTTGATATCGGTAACATCCGCTTGAATTTGATGAATGAGCTCCTCATGTTGCTCCAGTCGATGTTGAACAGAACGAGTTTCCATCGATAATCAAACGGAAAACAAAAGAAAATGGCAGTCAAGGGCAGGTCGGACCAATGATGGGTAACGATAACAATTCTATGCAAAACAAGTAAGAATACAGAAATGGAGGAAGATGATGAATTCATTGAACTTGAATCGGACAAATTACAAAGGAATAAAACTCAGGGAAAACCCTCTCTCACAATCAACAGATTGGAGCCTAAACAATTATGAAAGAAAACAGAATACCCACTCCAAGATCACCCTCCACTATTTATTCTTCTCTCTCCTCTAACAAACCTCAACTACTTTTCTCATTTCCCGTTTTACCCCTTTTAGAATACACGTGCAATATTCTAGGCTTAGTTGCATCATTTTTAATTAATTCCCAATTCGTATCAACATCAATACTTGAAAAATAAAGAAACTCGATGCCTTCGATGGTGGGTTGTTGAGTTAATAACTAATTTGTAAAAACACTTGGAAACAAAGAAGTGAAAGTAAATAGGTCTGACCAAAGGGTGCATTTGGTACATTGAGAGGACCGGACTGGACTGGACCGGACGGGATGGGACACGATCAGATAGGCAAGAGTGAGCTAGGCGGGTGAAAGAATTGTGTAAGGTTTTAGGGATTTAATTTGAAGTGTAGTTTAGTAATTTACCAATCTTTCCCCTCTCCCTGATTTTAGTTCCACCTATTTCATTTTGCTGATTTTTGTCTCACTTAGTCTTGTTCTATCCCAGTCTAATGTCACACCAAACGTGGGACAACAGGTTCTTGTATAGTGATATTGCGTACCAAATGCAGGTATACGGAACCCCTTGTATGTATCAAGATCACTTCATTTCAATGAAGATGGAAATTTTCCACCAAAACTGTTATTTCTTAGGAGTTCTTGTAGATTTATATAGTGCTAGAATATGTGGAACCCCTGATTTTGGTAGAGTCCTTATGTAGATCCTATATACAGTTTGATTGGTCCTCATGTAGATCCTACATATATACAGTTCGATTGGTCCCTGACTTGAAGGGATGTGTGCTTTTCCTTACATTTTCTATGTTATAATGTGCCTTACGTTTTTTATGTTTCATTGTGCCCCTTTCTTCTCTCTTCTCTTTCTGATGCTTAGTTGTAACTAGTTTCAGTTCTTACTTTATTTTCGCTCATACTTTGCATAAGGTGGGGGTCTTCACGGAAACAACTGCTCTACTGGGGAATAGAGGTTAGGTGTGTATACATCCCCCAAGACCCTACTTTTGAGTGGGATATATTCTGTTTGTTTGATCCATGACTGCTGCTATGGGACTCTGACACCCTGTCAAACAGAGGCTGGGCTAGATTGGGTCTACTCGAGTGCTGCATGGCTATCTGTATGGTTAAAAATGTTAGATGTCTGAAATGAGTACTTGGTGTATTCTGAAGGGTATTTCTTATATTATTGATAACTGTACTGCCAGTTATGTGAAGTTGCTGAAAATTTTCAAAGAGGACAAAAAGCAACGCCGACTCTTATGTTTTATGTTTACATTTATCAGATCCTGAAGGGAATGGGCTTACCAAAGACGCCTACTTCTGCAGTAAATCTCCTCATAGATATTGGGTATTTCCCAGTACATGTCAATCTTGATCTCCTAAAGTTCAGCATACGTACCAATTATCCAGATAAGATTTTGTCAGCTGCTGAAAGGCTTCTGCTTGAATCACCCGATACAGATAAGGTACTTTGCTTCTTATTTGGAATATTATGAGATGCTTCTCTCAGTTTGTTAAACAGTATTGCATTGGTTTCCATCTGCATGGTCAGTCCCTAGAGTATGGGAGGTTCATAAGTTAAAGATATTACAATTGTAGAGTGCCCATGAGGATGATGAAATCTATAATCCGATTAATCACTTTAAACTTTAAAATAGGTAATGGAGTAGAGGCATTAATTGATATATTTTTCTGTATATCTCGAGAGGCTTCTAAGATGACCTTAATAGCCTTAAAAGCACCCAAGATCCCGGTTCTTGATTCGATAGTTTCTCAAAGGAAACTAGTGGCATAGTTTTTAAATTAAAGTTGCATGCATTAATCGTATAAAGGTCTTAAAATTGCAGTTCAGTTTTTTCTGATATATATTTAGAGAGAGTCGGGTTCAAACGAGAACGGTACCTATTTAAGAGAATAAGAGAATGGTCGTATCACATGTTATTTTACACTAACATCACGTACAAAATCACATGTGACTCCCACGACTTTGCCCGGCGACCTGAAGACGCGGCCAAAGTCGCCCGCACACCTTTTTTGACGGTTAATGTAAAATCATATCTGATTTTGCACGTGATTTGGTCGTTTTCATATTCTCCTAAATAGTTAGCATTCTCGTTTGATCCCCCCCCCCTCTCTCTATATATATATTCTCTGAACCCATGTATCTTTTTCTAATCCTCCTCCCCTATTCTCTATTCCACGAGTCCACATATTCTCTTTGAAGGAAACATAAGGCTTCCTTGTGTACATACATGAAAGTCTCCTAATCAGTGTAGTTATTAATATTAGTTAGGATTGTCAAGCTTTATCTCTTGCTTTAGGAATTTAATATAGCTTATGATGGCTCAGATTTGCTTATGATAAGGTAAGGAAGTGGGATCAACTGTGGTCAATTTAAACCTTACCTTTTCTGTCTTGATCTTTTGAGCTGTACAGTTGGAGTCATTTGAAGCTTCCAATTCCATATTGCTTTCGAAGTGTTTTCATAAATAAGTTGCATAAGGTGGCCCTTGTCACTGATCATCATCCTCAATTTAAGATATAAACATAGTGCACTCTAACTGCTGCATGTGAATGTAGGACGACAGGATAGATCTGACACATCTGAAGGTATATGCAATTGACGTGGATGAAGCAGATGAGGTAAATACACTTTATTATCTTACTTGCATCATTCAGCATGTTGTGTTAGTTTTCTACTATTCATACATATATGAATTCATACATATTAAGGTGCATATGTAAATTTAATGTATAGGATATTTGGGTTTATATTGTCTTTTTAAGCTTGAAGTATCTCTGCTCATTGGCATTTATGTACCTATATGCTATTCGATTCATTCAATTATGAAGTATTTTTTATGCCTACCAGATGAACATGATCTGAAGCTATAGCTACACCTTCATCAGCCGCCAACAACCAATGAAGAGAAATACAATCTTTAGTTAGCATATACTGAAATGTTCCCGAAAATATTGTAAGAAATATACAATTTATACAAGAATTTACAATAGTACAACTCAAAGTAACATGGCAATAAATCAAATCACCAATCCACCGCAACAACAAAATTTGACTGGCACTTCCACAATGATACCCAGTCGCATGTATAATCAATGTAATAATGGAGTATTCCCGAATCTTCCCCTAATGATTTTTTTAGAGGACGGTGTAAGAAACCAGCACAAAGTTATTTGAGAAAATGATTACAAATTATTGAATCAAACTGCCATGCAAAATGTTTTACAATTTCTGGACTCCTAGATTCGACATAAAATAAGGCATTCAGTGGATGAGTGGATGGATATTATGAAGAAAAATGATTATCCAGATAGCAAATTATAGGCACATAAAATTGTAATGAACATACCTAGTGATTAACTAATTTAACTCAGTTTTCAAGGGTGTAAAAACATGTCCAAATTCCCTATAATAACCAGCCATGTTAGGGAACTGCTTCCAGTTAAAGAGTTCTAAAGGTTCACTATTTCCTCCAGTTACTCAGTGGTTTGTTTATTTCCTTAACGAAACGGTTGACATGCAAAAACAATTGAATAAACCACTTAAAGCTTTCAAGCAATTCAAATCAAAGCACTGAGATTAAATCAAGCAATAATGTAGTATTCTTTTGGTCTCTTTATTTTGCGCCATGTGCACACATCCACTTCCCATCAAGGACTGCTGCCATGTTTATTGCAAAGCTGTGTTTTGGGTATCTCCTATATGCAGTTTGGACTTTGATGTTACACGTTATTATATATCTATTTGATTAAGCATCTATCAATATTAACTGCAAATGACTAAAATTTACAGCTTGATGATGCACTAAGTGCGACAAAGTTGCATGATGGCCGTATTAAAGTTTGGATACATGTTGCTGATCCATCTAGCTTTGTTCAGCCTGGGAGCATGATAGACAGGTACATTTGGTTCTCTACAGCATGTAGTTGCGACTTCAATGTTCGCTGAGGTTTTTGGGTATGGTTATACTGTAGAGAAGCAATGCAAAGAGGAACATCTGTTTTTTTACCAACTGCCACCTATCCAATGTTTCCTGAGAAACTTGCCATGGAGGGAATGAGCTTGAGGCAAGGAACAAATTGCAGGGCTGTTACAGTATCAGTTGTATTGCACTCTGATGGCAGGTAAACTTTAATGCTTTGCATGCACAAATGCACCGGTAAGAGTTTGAGTGAAACTGCTTAATATAATTGTGAAACACTATTAGAATGCATCGCCTGCATTTTACTATAACTTGAGGGAACAATTAAGGGAAGGGATTCCACACTCCGTGACCTGGAGCTGTGTGATCCAGATACGGAAGGGGAGTGAGCTTGCTTTTTTCATATCTAATCTCTGTCTTGGTTTAGTTTATTGATATTTCTGCAAGTTGAAGACGGATGGCATGGAATAAAATTTTGTTTTTGTTTAAGGTCATATATTTTCCCAAACCCTACCACAGGTGGGATATATTGGGTTCATTTGGTTTGGTTTAAGGTCATATATTAGGTTTAGAATTACTCTCTTCTTGTGATTGATTTGCTTTGGTCCCAATTCTCTTTGTGTCTACAAATTCAGGGCTTTCCCCTCCGCAAATTTAACTTTCTTTGATCCCTAAACATATAGACAACTGTAGATTCCGAGTATCTGTGTACAAGGTCACATATATGATAATAAGATCTATTATTTATTTAATATAAAATTTAACATGTATTTTTGCTTTTCCATCATTACATCACCTACTCATTAATATGCTCAATAGTTCATTTATAGTGTTTTTCCTGCGATCTTACTATATTACTTGATAACAGCATTGCAGAATATGCAGTGAATAATTCAACCATTAGACCGACGTATATGCTAACATATGAGAGTGCATCTGAGCTGCTTCATCTGAATCTGGAAGAAGAGTTGGAACTAAGGACTCTTTCTGAGGCTGCAAGTCTTCGGCTTCAGTGGCGACGTGGACAGGTATATGTTTTGGTTGTATTGAACATTTACAAGAAAATTTTTCCCCACTCTCAGAAGCGGTATTTATTTTTTAAGGACTAGAAAGGAAAAGTAAGTGCATATTTTTTGTAGTGTATGGTTGTTTTTTTCCCAATTATTACAACGTTGTTTCATCTGTTAAAGCATTGTACACACACAAAAAGGGGAAGGGACGAAGATTATATTTTGAAATTACCAAACCCTTTAGAGTACTGATAGCCTCTTTAATTTCGGTTCGTCTCAATTTGCGCAATAAGATTTCTGGAGAAATCCAAAACTGTCCTGATATGGGGAGGACTTAAGTGGCCTAGGGTGATATCCTTTTTTGTCTCCTTCGATCTGTCTCTCCTGTGTGTGATTCATCAATTTGCTAACTTTAGTTGAGTTTTGCTGATTGTACTTTTGAAAACTGTACATGGTTTAGGGTGCAATTGACACAGGCTCGCTGGAAACTAGAATAAAGGTGGAAAATCCAGATGATCCAGAACCATCAATTAGGTTGTATGTTGAAGACCAGAGAGATCCTGCAATGCGACTCGTTTCCGAAATGATGATACTTTGTGGGGAAGCTCTAGCCACATATGGTTCTGCTAATAAGATTCCTTTACCATACAGAGGACAGCCCCAATCCAACATTGATACATCTGCATTTGATCATCTTCCAGAAGGCCCAGTTCGTAACTCTGCTATTGTGAAAATTATGCGTGCTGCTGAAATGGATTATAGAAAGGCTATACGCCATGGTATTCTGGGTATTCCTGGTTATGTGCAGTTTACATCTCCTATTCGCAGATATATGGACCTCCTTGCTCATTACCAGGTGATTTTTTAAAAGATATTTAGGGGTCTTTTACCAAACGCTTACCCGATTTGCGCTTACCGGGAAAATGTTGCATACAATACCGTTTTGATGGACTACACTCTTACCCGGTAAAGTAGAGTTAAGTGTTTGACTCTTACCGGGTAAGCGTTTGGGTAAATGGCCTTAGTTGATGGTTTTCTTAAAGATATTTAGTTTAAAGTTCTTTTTTCTTTTAATTCCTGTTAAAACCCTAATACCAGCATATAAGCTTTCATGCTTGGAATGTCTTTCAGATGCAAAACTAGATATCATGGTAAATAGGAACAAAAAGTACACATATTTAAACAAATTGGTGTTCGAGGTAGCTTGTTAATTGCAGTAATTTAGAAAACAAAAAAGTATGTTTTTCTTCTTTTTTAGCTAATATAATTTGTCACTTTAAACCATTGTTTTTGTTTTTTCCATAATTGTAATGTTAATTCCTCTACTTTTATAGGTGAAAGCCTTTCTTAGAGGCGATGCTCTTCCATTTACAGCTGGGCAACTAGAAGGGATGGCTGCATCTGTGAACATGAATGCTAGGATAGCAAAGAAGCTATTTAGCAGCAGCCTACGGTATTGGATACTAGAATACTTGAGAACACAACCCAAACAAAGAAAATACCGTGCGCTGATCCTTAAATTCATCAAAGATCGGAATGCATCTTTACTACTTTTGGAGGTAAATATCTAAACTGCTCCTGTACACATCCCAACTGCCCTATTATGTTGTTTGAACGCATAACTTGAGCTGATCCCTCTATGTTTATGGGCGATTTGCTCAAAAGATCTTATAAAATACTCCCTCCGTCCCAAAAAAGTGTTGACAATGTAAGTGGCACACAGTTTTTGATCTGTTTGTTAGCAGTTTAATGGGACTCTGGTCAGCTATACATGACTGTTTGGTAGTGTCTTAATGATATAAAAGTGACTTATTCAGTAAGCTTCTAAGGGGAGCTTTATGCAGAAAGCGAAGGTTTTTCAAAACTTGTCCCTCCCAATAAAAAAAACGCTCTTTCCATCTATGAAAAAACCCACCCAAACAAAAACCTATCCAATCTATACAGACAGATTAATCCATACAAACAACTTTATAGATAAAAGACTTGATGGAAAACCGACCAAAGATCCCCTTACACATGCATAATTATTACACTTTTTAGTTAACCGAATGATAACTTTACCCTTAATTAATTTATCTCTCCTCACAACTTTTAAATATTTGTGTATTAATTAAGGGTACATTTGAGAAGTTAGTTTATCTATTTTTGAAACATAAATAGAAATGTGGATATTTATTTTGGGACAGAGGGAGTACTTTAATCCTAATCTAATCATAATCTGGATCTGTTCACTCTGTCTTCTATTATATTTCAAGCCAACTTCAAAAGGGTATCAACTAGAAACTTCCATTGAATGGGTCCGGAACATACTTGTCCCACATTTGGCGTGACATTAAACTGTGCCAGGACGGGACTAAGTGGAACAAAAATGCATTCTTTTGGTCCCACCAAAATAGGTGGAACAAAGTTACGGAGATTTGACATGATTGGTAAATTACTAAACAATCCATGTCAAATTAAAATCTCAAAACCTTCCATAATTCTTTAACCCATCTACCTTACTCTCGCTCATCCAGTACTATCCAGTCTATTCTCGTCCACATACCAAACTCACTCTCACTGAACTTTCTATAATCAGTTTTGGCCTCGTTCATTCTGCTGCAAGTATGTCATCTCGTTCATGCTGCTGTCATAATGATTCTTTTTTTTTTGTTGCATTTTGTAGGTTGGGTTTCAGGCGTCGGCTTGGGTGTCGATAGGGTCACATGTCGGGGATGAAGTGGAGGTTCGGGTTGAAGAAGCTCATCCGCGTGATGACATCCTTACGCTCAAAGAAGTTGTACAAGTGACATGAATCTCTTTGGGATCTTATCACAATAATACTTAGACACCGGTCTGCGCCATTATATTTTGATGAAGTCAAAAACAACTTATGACGGTTGTTCTTGCAGTTTTGACCCGCAAACAGGTGGACGAGGTTCCGATGGCTCGGGCAGACATAATAGAATCCAAGTCAGACGCCAATAATCGGTAGTCAAAGCCCGGTTTTATCGTATGATATTATAGAAAAATCCATGTCCAAGATACAAAAAAAGGTATATCTCTACTTATTGACTTTAGAATTATATCCAGTAAATCAGTTAGGAAATGTAACCTAAAACCAACTCATTTTTATCGTATATAGGTTGAAATTTTCCCTCTAAAATCACATGGTTTTGTAATACTTGCAATTAGGTTACAACTTCTGTGAACTTTTTCTGTGTTTTCTTAAAATGTATGTTTGGGATTGCTTATTTAAAGTGCTTATAACTTACTTCGGTGTGATACCGGTAATAAGGAGTTTTTAGTGTTTGGATGGAGGAAAACAAAGGAAATGCTTATACTGGTTTGGTGCCGGTAATATGGAGTTTTTAATGAGTTACTTCCTTCTAACTTATTAACTTATTCCAGTGTGGTACTGACAATAAGGAGTTTTAGTGTTTGGATGAGAAAAGAAAAGGGTATCTCTATATATGTTTATCAGTTCATCCGGTGTGATACTGCCATAAGCTAATCCAAACACTTTTTATAGAACTCCAGTTTGCCACCGTATAAGTTGCTAAGCACTTTTACAAAAAAACATAAGTTGTTTTAAATAAGCAATCTCAAACACTCTCGATCTTTTAGGATTATTTTGAGTATGACTACTAACATAATTGTTCGGAAAAAAAAACTTATTTTCAAGCATTTATTTACGTTTCAAAGCTTTTCGACTATTTTTAATTATGTCGTATGTATTTAAGAATCAAATGTATTGAAACTCTTTATTTTTTTAGACTACAGTCACGTTATTGTTGATATTATAATGTATTTGCAAACTTATAATCATTGGATTGTAGGTTTAAAGTGTGATAGGTACAAACACCATAAACCGCACTGTACCGCATTTTGCAGTGCAATTTTTTTTGCGGTTTGAGGTTTATATAATGCGGTTTACGGTTTTGGAAAATGCTCAAACAACTTGATGTACGCTTTTTATTATATATCCAGAGAGTTTCATACGAATGCTTTATAAACGCAACTACGCCGGCAAAGCCTTTAAAGACATTATATATTTCATCGACTCTTTTACATAGGGGCGGACTTGGTATGGTATCAAGTTTTTTTATTTAACATGTACTGATAAATTATAATTGATAAGTGAAATTATATGTTATGTATCAGTCAACTGAACTCATACCAACTTATTTTGGTTGATACTGGTTTTATATCAACTTCAAATTACATATATAAAAACATGTCATTTCTGTTTAGATTTTGAGTGACATTGAGTTTTCTGCTAACATATGTGATGTTTAATGGTTTTTAGTTGCAAAATATAAAATTTACAAACATTTAAATGTTAAAACGAAATAGTTAGAAATTACAATATCTAATATTCAATACATAAAAATTACAAAAACTAATAAATTAAATGTACCAATCAAGGGGCCGTTGCCAAACACGTACCCGGTAAGTGCTTACCAGTAAAATTAATACTAGCATTTACTTACCGAGTAAGATTTTAGTCCACGAAAACAGTATTGCATGCATCAATTACCCGGTAAGCGCTTACCGTGGTAAGAGTCGTCATCATCACTTACCGGGTAAGACTCTTGGTACTTGTCTCGYTCTTACCAGGTAAGATTCTTGGTCCTTGCCGTATTTATCCGACAAGGTAATATGACCTGGTAAGCGTTTTATCCGGATAAATGTTTGGTAAACGACCCTTAAATTTATATATGTAATACGATAAGAAAAACGAAGTAAAATCAACATCAATTAAATTGCTAAAATTGATACCCATATTAAGTGGAATTACATGACCAATTTCAAACATGATAGTTGTCAAATATAGCCTTAAACAAAATCGGTGCATCCTTAACTAAATCAAGAAAGGGTTACACCACTGACCTTCGATGGTGACTACTTCTTTAACATCTCCTCCTTCAACCAGAAGGAACCCACAAAATTCATCTGCACTCAAACCCTCCAACCACACCCATTCACATTCTTCCTCCTTGTAATCAGTCATTCTTTATTGGGTATCATCGATCTTGATCTCCTTCAATCCCAAAACCGAAATGGGTTTGAAGTTTTTCTTAATCTCCTTCATTTTGACATCGGTTATCTTCACAATGCTCTACATATCCACCCACTTAACTTCATTCGATATGAAGATACTGAATCAATCATCAACCACAACTCTGATTATCCCCAAATCAATCAATGACAGTCGGCCATATCCAGTTTCTTTTGCTTACTTGATCTCTGCTTCAAAAGGGGATGCCGCTAAGGTGAAACGAACGGTTCAAGCACTCTACCATCCGGCGAATTTTTATCTGATTCATTTGGAACGTGAAGCTACGGAAGATGAACATGGGGAGATTGCTAGATTCGTTAGGGATGATCCTGTTTTTCAAATTGTTGGGAATGTTTTGGTTGTGGGAAAACCTAATCGAGTGACGTATAGAGGACCAACAATGCTTGCAACCACTCTACATGCCATGGCTATGCTTTTGAGGATTGATGCGAAATGGGATTGGTTCATTAACCTCAGTGCTTCTGATTACCCTTTGGTCACTCAAGATGGTACGGTGAGTACTTAATTTGTTTTTGGAATTATATTCGATTTGATTGGGAAGAATGCTTCTCGATTCTGTAAATTTGAATCACCTGTGATTTCGTTTTTCAGATCTGATATCTGCCTTCTCGTCCCTGCCAAGAAATCTCAATTTCATACAGCATAGCAGTCGATTGGGATGGAAAATGTAAGATGATTAATTCCCATATCAATTTGAATTTTACAGTTTTAGTTTTCAAGAACTAATTTCTTGACCAAATTCTACATTACCCATTTGTTGATTGTACATAAGCATTCTATTAATCTGCAGAAAAGAATCAAAATGGGCAAAACCCAATGAGTTATTCAGATCAATGAATGAAAGGAAAGGTCGATTTTTTTATCATTTTTAGTTTTCAAGAACTAATTTTTTGACCAAATTCTAGATTACCCATTTGTTGATTGTGCATGAACATTCTATTGATCTGCAGAAAAGATTCAAAATCTGCAATTTTAGTACAACCCAGTGAGTTATTTAGATCAATGCATGAAAGGGAAGGTGAAATTTCTTTTGCAGGAACAAGAGAGGGAAGCCGATAATGATTGATCCTGGTCTTTACAGTTCAAATAAATCGGATATTTGGTGGGTAATCAAGCAAAGAAGTCTTCCCACTGCTTTCAAGTTGTATACAGGTTTCTTTCCTTTCATCTTCTTCCATTCAAGTCTGAAATCTTTATCTGATCAAATGGATTCAATTTCTTCTTGGGTTTTAAATCCCAACTCCAATTCAAGAATGGGGGTGCAAATCTTGAATTATGATTTGTACATCATGCAATGAAAGTTGTAAAGGGTTCCACTGTTCTAATTTGGTGTGACAATCCATGTGGGGGCCATCTAACATCATGTTTTCTAACAGTATGTGATAACTTTTATAACATATCATGTGAACTTCTGGAAAAGCACCATATATGATGTCATACAAATCTGATTTCAAAGAGAAAAGCCCCAATTTTTCTTACCCTTCTTGCCCTCCAGACAAAGATAGATAAAAACAAGTCATCACACTTTTCTTGTGTTATAAAGGGAGGATTGTACAACTTGGGTCATTCCAGTGGAAAAATTAACTATGAACATTCTAAGTTTGAACCAACATTTGAGTGTCATCATGTGTATCGTAACTGGGGCAGACCCACTATGGTGCATACAGTGGCATAGGCCACTTCTTCGTTCCTCTATTGTAATGTAAAAAATTAGGGTTGTGAAAGGTGCCAATGTATTATTTTGTTGGATGCAACTGTATATTCCTTGAAACTACAATAATAACATAAGTTTCTCTTGGTAGAGCTAGTTTGTACACGGTCTTTGCTCCCCTTTAGGGTGTGGTGCGCCTTCGAATTCCACTTGTATCATTTTCTTGGTTTTTAGCTTTAATTTTCAGGTTTATTATGCTTCTAGAAAAAAATAAAAATAAAAGACCAACACAAGACTTCACATACAAAAACAAGAACTAACCAACGAACCAAAGATATTTTGTAAAAAATATCTATAGCCTCGGTTTTTATATGCAAATGGTGCCGCGACCATAGAAAATCTCTAGGTCTGTCTCTGATTAATAAGTAAAAAAGCAAACTAAACAAACTCAATACATCCCAACCACAGGTAGGGCAGAGGGAGGGGGAGGGGGAGGGGGGGGGCACATGGATAGTTACGGTGGCATAGACCTCTAAAGGGTACCACTGTTCTTGTTCTGGTGCCACCATATACTTTTNGGGGAAGGACTGTTGTGCTCAATAACCTTGTTACAAGCTTAGTGCATTCTTGTATATGAAAGTGGCATTCTTGTACGTGGGAGTGTACAAGAATGCCACGTTCACATACAAGAATGCACTAAAGTTGTTAGAAGGTCATGGAGATCATAACCAACGTACCCGTATGGGGGTAAGATGTATTTAGACCCTTTCCTATCCTCTACCCTCCTAACCCCCTTCCCCAACTGGAATCCTACATGTTAATCAACTACCATAATCCGGTGCCTCCAAGATTTCCTATCTGAGATCATGTTCTTTTGAAAATGCTAACGCCTCCATGTGTGGGCGAGCGAAAACATTTTGTCGTGTAGGGTTTCCCGAATCTTTCAATTCTTCTAGTTTTAAAGTCTGGTTCTTTCTCTTTCCCTGAGGATTGGAGGGGTGCTATTTTTATTTTATGGATCTCATCCACAAATCTTGGAGAGTTGAATTGAGTTTTAGAACTAACCTAACTTTTATCAAGGATTCTGATAACGACTTGGGTTGTGGCGCACACTGGTTAAGTGGAAATCTCATCTTCCCCGGGTTCGAATCTAAGTGCTGCCAAAGTCCTTGTGGCCATGGAGGTTCATCTGCGATTACTCCAGGTCATTCGTGGTCGACAGGGGGACTAGTTGGTGCCTGTAAGCTGGCACCAAAACCCATTGTTAATAAAAAAAAAAGGATTCTTAGAAGGTTTTCATGTAACTTGCACAATTTCCTGTTTAAACATGCTTGAAAATCTTGCTTATCAAAGTCAGATTTTATGTAGTTTGGGGGACCACTACACCCTACTTCTTTTTTTTATATATATATCGAGAGAGGGATCATCAAATGCAACCTTCGTAAATGTTGCAACCAATACAACTTCATCTACATCACACAATTAAACAACTAACGGTTGGGGATAAGACGGTTACATTTTTAAAAAATTAAAAACAAAAATACTCCTTGAAAGGGGACGATCTATGGTTAGGATTAAATTTCATTCGGTTGCATTGGTTACAACATTTGAAAAGGTTGCATTTGATTTGCATTATATATATATATATATATATATATATATATATTGTTAACTATGGGTGTCTGGGCCAGCTTGCACGCACCTCGACTAATCCCATGGCACTGGAGAAAAGCCACGAAAATCCCCGGTGGCCTTGGACTCGAACCGATGACCTTTGAGAAGAATCCCTAAAGGTCCAAGCCTTGTTGGGAGTTGTTTGTGTGTGATATATTGGGTTCATTTGTTTGGTTTTTTCCTTCTCATTTTCTGTCGGGTTTTCTTTTTCTTTCGTGCAAGCGAACTATTAAAATTCAAAAACCAAATCATACCAAACAAACTCGGTATATCCCGTTCGAAAACCGGGTCTAGGTGGGGTCAGATGTATGTACATGTTAAACCATTTTGACATTTTGTTTCTTGCGTAATGCAGGCTCGGCATGGACTATATTATCGAGATCTTTTGCAGAATACTGCATAATCGGTTGGGAAAACTTGCCACGGACTCTCCTGCTTTACTACACGAATTTTGTTTCGTCCCCCGAAGGATACTTTCAAACTGTTATATGCAACTCAAAGGACTACAAGAACACCACGGTCAACCACGATCTCCATTACATCACCTGGGACACACCTCCAAAACAGCACCCGAGGTTGCTCGGTCCCCGGGACTACCGAAAAATGGTTCTAAGCAGTCGACCGTTTGCAAGAAAATTCAAGCACAAGAATTCGGTTCTTAATAAGATTGACCGTGAACTACTCAAACGACATCCGAGCCATTTCACCCATGGGGGTTGGTGTTCCAAGAGCGGCAGCAGGGATAAAATGTGCTCGAGTTTGCATATCGACGGGTTCGGTGTTTTGAGGCCCGGACCGGGGGCTCGGAGGCTGAGAACGTTGCTAACGAAGTTAACATCTAAACCAAATTTCAGTAGACACCAATGTAAATGATTTTGTGTTCGATGATGAATAAATCGCTTATAATTGTTATTTTTACTCTTTAAGAGGGTTTTTTACAGCTGTTTTCTACTTAATTGCTCAAAATAGTTAAGATTTCACAAGTAGTACTTTAGCAATTTGTTAAATCTATTTTTTAAGAATTTAATATTCATAAAGTATCAGTTCTTAAATTGATACTTGCGAGATGTTGATGTGCCAAGCAGGGGGTGTTATTGAGTCAAGTCTAGTTGCATGTTAATCGAGCTCGGCTTGAATTTTTTTTATTAGGATCGAGCTCGAATAACTTTTTAACAAAAATGTATGCTCGAGTGGCTCGGCTTGTCATGACTTGAATAATTTATTCGAGTTCTTGAACGAGCCAAGTCAAACAATGACGTTATGGAGCTCGACTCGTTAAGATAAACAAGCTTTGGTGTGTGTTCGAGATCTATACAAGCTCGACATTTATTAAACTCGAGCTCGAAATAAATGAACTCAAAGCTTGAATAGCTCGTTAAAAACTCGGCATGTTAACACCCTTAATGACAAGTAGCACTTTAGCAAGTGCGTAAGAGACACTTCCATGTCATTATTTCGTTAGTAGCATTTTAACAACTTGCTAAATTAGCTTTTAATGAATTTAGTATTCATGAACTATCAGTTTAGTTTAGCAGGTTGTAAAAGTGTTGCTTGCAAAATGTGGATGTTGCAAGTAGGACTTTAGCAACTGACATTTTAATGTCATCATTTCATAAGTAGCACTTTAACAACTTATAAAATGTCATGAATGAATCTGTTTGTTTACGTCTTAATAGTTCCATTAAGAGACAGTCTCTGAATCGTTAAGAGTTGAATTTTATTTTTCAAAAAAAAGTCCGTCTCTTAATGGTTTTAAAACCCTCTGAATGATTTTGTATCATGGGCTTCCGTCAACCATTCAGCGTCCTAATTTCATTGTAAATGATTATCAAACAATTATATTTYATTTTGCACTATACAATTACCATTTAATCATTTTGTACCAAACCATTCAGCAATTGAGATACCTATTTTGGTCAATTAAATTGAAAGTAAGATATAAAATGAAAACGGGAGAACAAAAGGAGGTGGTTGCGAGTTGCGACCACGGGAATGATAGTGGCGGCGGCGGTGACCACGGCGGTGRCGGTGGTTTTACTTTTACCCAATTTAATTTAATATTTTATTATGTAATTATTAATTATTAATTAAATGGATTTATTCAATCATGTGCATAATAATAATGATAATAATAATAATAATAATAATAATAATAATAAAAAGGGGTTGGTTGGTTAAGCTGTATCCACCAGCCGGTCCGTCGACCCAAAAAGCAGTGTGGATTTGGTGACCCGGTTTAGTTGACTAAGAATGCTCCATCTCTGCACGTTTTTTTGTCTTTGTCCCCCTACCCCCTCCTTTTTTCTATACATTCCATTTTACCCCTCCATCTTCACATGTTTTTATAAAACACCCCTTTACATTCTATAACGCTTGCTCTTTGTTTTCTTGTTTCAATTTTTACAAAGCGTGACTATGAARGTTCTAAATGGTGTGAAACGTGATGTAGTGATGAGTCTCAAATCTTAAGAGTCATGTTGAGGACAAGATGTCTTACAAGACGTGACTTATGACGGAAAATCTMTGTACATGGATGGACCTAGAGAAGAGCGCACGGTGGCACGTGCCATCGTTTCATTCATCTAGTCGTGGTGTAAAAGTTATAAGGTCGTGAAAARTGTCATCGTATAAATTTGTTGTGCGTCATCGTATAAATTTTGAAACTACAACGAGGATACAAGTTTTTCTTGGTATAGTTGGTTTATAAGGGGTTTTTACTACCTTAGACCCGGGTTTGAATTTTGCTAGTACCATTTTCTTAGTTTTTAACTTTTAATTTCAGATTTATTATGTTTYGAAAAAAAATTACAATAAAAGATTTGAACATAGGATTTCACATATGAAAAACAATGAACCAACCACCATACCAATGATGATTTTATGAAAAATATCACTTTATTTGTTTCTTATAATYAAATAATRYTACCGCTTGAAAAAAWTTCTGGGTCCATYCTGCCTCTCTATCATATATAATATGAGTTGGGTTCGGTGAGAAATATAAGAAGAGATCTYTATCATTGAATCAATCTTAATTGAATGTCAATATTAACGAGGTAYAACAAGATACACTGGATCAATTCCCTTATAATATTAACCAATCTAAATTATGTTACATATCAAAAACTAATAAGTAAGAATATTAAGAACGAGTAAAAAAACCAAATGTCGCATTACAAAAACTGGGTTAGCCCATGGCATGCTACAGGCTTAATGTGGCGTCAAACAYAAGTCTTGAGTCACGCGCACCATGGCGGYTGATGTAGTGAATCTTTAAGAACAGCGGTGATAATTGATGCAAGGCATATATGGGGACTAGTTAAGACAGATCCTCAAACATTAAGGGGGTTTAATGGAAATTTAATTTTGTTCTTTTATCAAATTCCTACCCCTCCTCTCTTCACAAGAGAGTCTTCGTTTCAGCAAACTCTCCCATTTCTYGAATCCAAACACATTTTCCGGCGAGATGGCGGAAACCCTCCGGCCGGACATCCAAATCAAGGTCCACTCCAGACGCGGTCTCGGTGTCATCCATCCGGTTGAAGTTGAATCGTCGCCGACACCTCTGCTCCGGGGGACTACTGCCGGAAATCAAAGTCAAACCCCTTCTCCTTATCGAGAGATTAAGCATTTTAAGAAATGGTTGCCATGGTTGATTCCTAGTTTTGTTATAGCGGATACTGTGTTGTTTATAATCACTATGTATGTCAACGATTGCCCCAAAAATTCGGTTTCTTGCGTCGCTACCTTCTTGAAGAGGTTATCCTTTCAGCCGTTCAAAGAAAACCCCCTTCTTGGACCTTCTTCTTCGACGTAAAATCTCTTAATCTCCCTTTCTAATATCACAATCATTCACTGATCCTAATTGATGATCCATTTTTAAACTTATTTGTAAAATATKTWTCTGTAATTTATAGGATTTTGCCTGAACACATCCTGTTCTTCGTGTAACAAARAAGAAAAATCAAGAAAAAATTAAGRGGATCTTGGATYATGGGTGTTCCCTGTTAGAAACCTCTTGAATCTGTAGATGGTTTTAGTAACAGAAGTCTTTAGATGGAAAGGGAAACATTTGACAAATGGGATTCAAAATCTTGAAATGCAGGTTAGGATAACGTCATCAGCATTGATTACTGGGGTACCAGAAGACTATAGTTGGCTTATATTGCTTTTCTAAGTATARACAAATAGAGTGGGGCCTCTTGATGTGTTTGTTTCTGTGTTTCTGTTTCCATACCATCATTGTGGTCCTTACTTCCATGCTGCCTTCTATTATGGATTTACATCTGGGGCCTCATTTGAAGTTTCAAAGCCTGAAAGTAGTACTGTTATCATAAGAGAAAATGAGATTGCTGAATGCTGATCTCCTTTTCTGCTTGATTCTTGAAGCAATTTATCGTAGACAACCATCTTTACACGGAAGTTATATGTAGGCACTGTAAAAAATAAGTTTTCCCAAATGGGGTTTGTGATATATTCYTCGTTTAGTAACTTCATCAGACAAATGGCTTTGTATTTTATATGTAAACGCTTGACTGRTGAAAGATTAAAGAAGGTAGCTTTCAAGATATGGGAGCTTATATTATTTGTTTAGKAACTTCATTAAATGAATAGCTTTGTAATCTATTTTGGTTCTTGAAGCAATTTGACACTTGTGAATCTCTTTCTTAGGCTAGAGAAGATGGGGGCTTTGGATGTGGAGAGAGTGGTTGATGGTCACCAGGGGTGGCGCTTAATTACTTGCATTTGGTTGCATGGTGGACTTCTGCATTTATTGGCAAACATGTTGAGTCTCTTAGTTATTGGCATTCGACTCGAGCAAGAATTTGGGTTCAGTAAGTACATTGACTATAACTTTCGAGTTATTACAATATCAATGTGCATGAATCACTACTTAGATGTAAATTAGTTGGGTGTAAATATTATAAAAAGCAAAACTGTACAAGATTTAACCTGGGAAACAGGGTATTCTTGAATCCCTGTATTACATGCTTCGGGTGCATTTCTGTAGTCTGTTCTTGACTGTTTCCCCAAAATTTTGCCACAAATACCAGGATGATTTTGGACCTATCTTGAAACCCGGAGAGATGAAACTTTCCCAAGTTATAAATCTATAATTTAGGACTCAAAATCTAAGCAAAATGCTCTCTTATGCATGAAATTGAGAGCAAAAGAGGCAAGATAACACAGCAAATTGTAGCATGCTTACTTGTGTCGCTTGTTTGTTTGCAGTACGCATTGGATTGCTTTATGTGATCTCTGGRTTTGGTGGTAGTTTGTTATCTGCTCTTTTCCTTCAGTCGAATATATCAGTTGGTGCTTCTGGTGCAGTTTTTGGGTTACTGGGTGCAATGCTCTCAGAACTCATAACAAATTGGACTATATATGCTAATAAGGTACTACTACTTAATGAAAATGTTCTATTTCTGCTTTTGGACGATGAACCCGAGTGTTTTTCTGACAGTGATTATGTTGTTCAGTTGGCAGCATTAGTGACCCTTGTGATCATTATTGTCATCAATCTGGCTGTGGGGATTCTGCCACATGTGGATAATTTTGCTCATCTTGGCGGTTTCTCTTCTGGTTTTCTTCTTGGTTTTGTGTTTTTGATGCGTCCACAATTTGGATGGGTTAGCCAAAGATACACCACACCTTCTGTTTATTCTAGGTCTGGAACTAAGCCTAAATACAAGACATATCAGCGAGTCCTGTGGATTGTTTCACTCATCGTTGTGGTGGCTGGGTATGTAACTATTTATGTACTCCTTCATATAGTTTAATATACTTGCATTATGGCTGAAACTTAGCAAGGGGTTGTTTGGTTGGTTTTCCATYAAGTCCTGGATAAAGTTGTATGTGTGGATTAATCTRTCCRTATARATTCGAAGTTCTTTTCATAGATGGAAGGAGTGTGTTTCTTAATTGGGAGGCGTGGGTTTGGAAATTTTTTGACTTTCTGCATAAAGCTCCCCCTACTTTCTATGTCATTAAGCCACTACCAAGTAGGTATAGCTGACTGAATAAGTTGCGAGTCCGATTAAGCTCATTAAGTTAGCACTCCCTAAGACTGACGTAAAAGCAGGAAAAAAGTAAGACTGGCATAAATACGATATGAAAAGTAGGACAAGAACTAAAACTACCACAAGACTAGTATTTGGAATTAAAAAGGGGTATAAATGGTGCAGGTTGATTGCTGGGCTTGTTTCGCTTCTGCGTGGAGTCGACTTAAATGATCATTGTTCGTGGTGCCATTACATGAGTTGTGTACCCACTTCAAGGTGGAGCTGCAACACGGATCCTGTGACCTGCGTGGTTAGTCTCTCCAGCCATATTATTTTACGTTTGTTTGTGTTCTGTTAATAATTGAATCCAGGTGGAATATACTGATCTCGTTGATCTGGTTTGGGTTACTAATTGAATGATGTGATGTCGTGGCAGTCTGAGCAAACGGGGAACCAGTTTACGTTAACGTGCTCCAACAGCAATAAAAACAGTACGTATTTGTTGACGGATCCAAACTCGTCTCAGTTACGAAGTCTTTGTAGTCAACTTTGTCGATGAGCCGCTACCATTTCATTGCACCATCTATATGTATAATATATGATTCCTCCATTTTTTTTTTTGCTGTAAACACACGATCTATGCATTTATTTATTGTAACGGTTTGGTTCAAAATTATAAATTTTTCGTGTTATTTAAAAAATATGYAACTTTTTATTTAAAGAGATAACGGACGTGAAAGTGGAACAATTCCCGTGTCGAAAGTTTCAAACGAATTTAGTAGAAATATRCGTCATTTCGTTTTATTAGATTAATTAAATTAGTTGGTACGAATTGTCAAATTAAGGCAGATAATAAAATAAACAATTTGATTAAGGGGTTGTTTACTAGCTGTCGATCAGGTTGACTCAGTCAGCAGTCACCATGTTTATCAAGTTAGAAATSTGACTGAGATCAAAGAATTAGTGAAATTGGAAAATACTAATGTCATTGTCACAACATCCACCCAACCCCACCCACCACCATGTCACTATGTAATAAAAGGATATTTTCGTCATTTATTAGTATTTCATTTCAGTTTCGAATTTATTACTACCAACCAAACATTCAAATTCCAGTTTTTTTGTTTGAGAGGTTAAATTTAAATTTTTGTCAACCAAACAACAATCAAAATCCATTTTTGGTGGTGTTTGGTTCGCATAATGTTTTTTGATGGAATGGAATATGTTAAAGGAATTTGAATGAAATGTTGTCAGGTTTGACCACATGTTTGGTTGGCAGACATTGAAATGAAATATGTTAAGGAATTAAAATCTGTCTGTTTGATTCACAAAATGTGGCTTTGGAATTGGAATGAAAAATGCCTTTTTTTGAAAATTTTATTTTTTTTAAAAACTAAAAATACTTTAATAAAATAATTATTTAATATGTAAAACAATATAAAATACACAACTCAAATATAACCATAAGYCAARCGACRTTATTGAATCGACGGTGGTCAACGGTGGTTCAGATGGCGGTGGTCGGCAGTGGTTCCGATCGATGGTGGTTCGCGAAGATTCAAATGGAGGTGGTCAGCGGTGGCGGCGGCAATTCAGATCGGTGGTTGTTCAAATCGGCGATGTCCGGCGATGATTTAGATCGGTGGTAGTCGGCAGTGGTTCAGATCAGTGGTTGTTCAAATCGGCGGTGCCTAACGGTGATTCAGATCAGTAGTAGTTGGCGGTGGTTCAGATTGATGGTGGTCCATGGTGGTTCAGATGGCGATGGTCGACAGTGGTTCAGATTGGTGGTGATCAACAGTGGTTCAAATTGGTGGTGATCAATAGTGGTTCAGAACGACAATGGTTCAGACCGATGATGTTTTAGATCGGTAGTGGTCGGCGGTGGTTCAGATCAACGGTGATTCAGACCGGTGATGGTTGGTCGTGGTTCAGATTGATGGTAATTGGCAGTGGTGTTCGACAGTGATTCAGATCGACGGTGGTCAGAGGTCATCGATGATGGTCATATTGGGTTTTATGAGATTAAGATATATTGGGTTAAGAACAAATTTGGTATTATGAATATAGATAATTTCATTCCATCAAAATACTATGTAGTTGCTAAGAAATGTTAAATTCCTTTATTTGTGGAATTTGTATGATTTTGAATATTCATTTCATGAAGAAAAAAAAAATGAACCAAACGAGGGAATAAAATTTGGTCAATGAAATTCAACATTCAAATTCCACCAGAATCTGAAAACCAAACGCCTCCTAAAGATGATAAAGGGTTCCCTTCTTACGCTTCTCGCCTTAACTCTCCTTCTCACACATGATCATTTGCCTATATATATATATATATATTTGTGTATTTGTGTGTGTATAAAAATATTGTTCTTACTTTTTTTGTAAGAAAAAGATAAAAGAATAGACAAAAGGCTAGAATGACTCTTGATTTAACGGAGTTAACAGAAATGTTAGAAAGAGGGATCATTACTAAAACAAATTGAATACCACATGAACTAAATTCACAAATAGACATATCACAGGGACCCTAATAAAAAAAATATATCAAATCACATGGACCAAGTCCATAATTCACTCTAGATGCTATTTATTTAATCGTAAAATAAAGGAAAAAAAACTCAATAAACTATTTTCTTGTATGAAAAAATCATCAATTTTTTCATTTTGAATGATTAAGTTTCTGAACATTTTTTCAAGAAATTAAAGCATCAAACTTTTAAAAAATTGGTTAATTACATTATTTTATCCTAAAAAAGCTACATATAATCGCTTCTCTTTTAATTTCTCCTTCTTTTGATGAATAAAAAATATATTAAAAAGAGGGAGATCGATGACAGGACCAACAACGTCTTAAGCGATATAGAGAACAAACAATGTTGAAGTAACAATGAATGGTGAGGGGAAACGATACCGTTGTTTGCGAAGAGTTTAATTGGTTAGAGTTTAAAAATGGTAAAACTGATTTAGATTTGTTTTGTATTTTAAAATCTTCGCAGCCAATTAAAAATGTATGTTGGATGATTTATTTAAAAACTTAATTATTAAAAGTAAAAACAAATTAATAATTTTTTATTTAAAAAAATAATTCAAAGAATTAATCATTCAAAACTATAAAACAAACAATTAATTTCGAATGAATTTTCTTTTTTTGGCAAGTAAATATGCAAAAAGAGAGTATTTTTGGTTAATGTCACTCACGTTGAATGTCATAAACCCTAGCTAGCCACCCAGATTTCCGTCTCGTTAAATCCTAAAATCTCCAATTCTCCTCGCTCTCTGCTGATTCAGGTTTGCCAAATTTCTTCTTACTTTCAGTAATTTGAACATGGTTTCTGTATATGATCTGCTATCTGGTTATGTTTATATCCCTGAATTGCTACTCTGTTATTGCGCAAAATCATGCTTCAGATCACAAGATATTCCGTCTCGTTTAGATTCTAATTTTTGGTTTTGTGTTGGCTTTTTGTGTTTTTGGGTTTCTGACATCTTTCTTCTCTCTTAATTGTCCAGTTGCAATCAAGCTTCAGTATGCTAACCTAATTAGGTGAGGATAAAGCCTCCCAATAGATGTCAAGTTTCTCATTATTCAAATGGCTTCCCTTTCCAAAAGCTTCCTAAAAGCAAGAACAATCGATCGAGCTTCTTTATTGAGGTGGGTCCCAGGACAACTATCTTCTTCCTTATCCTACTCATACTCCTCCACCGTTGCTGTCTCTGAAATCCAACCTCCACTTCCAACCCCACCCCCACCGCCACAGCCACAGCCAACATCGTCATCTCGACCTCAAGGTTCACCTCTTGTATGCTTGTATAATTTCATTAAAATTTCTCTATTTTTTTTGGCAATTAGTAAGAAGTTTTTGTGATCTGTTAATTGAACAATGCTTAGTCAATATTAGTTTGAAATTTTGAAAATTAGTGGAGTTGTCGATCTTATTTTGGCATTGCTCGACTCTTTTTTTGTAGAGAACGTGAATTTGTTGGTGTTATTTTATGCTTTGATTATTTATCAGTTAAAAGCTATTGGGAACTTCTAAAAAGGGCCTTGATTTAAACATTCATCATCTATCAGAGAAGCTAAGAGGATGGACAAGGTTCCTGCTTTTTGTTCCAGGAGCTATCACTTTTGGACTTGGAACTTGGCAGATCATCAGAAGACAAGAAAAGGTTATATGCAACTTTGATTAAGATCTTTACACTATATGTCTTGCTAAACATATTCACTTGGTGAACCTTGCCCAAGTGTTAATACCCTTAGAGAATAGGCATACTGATATTTTATGGCAAATTAACTACATTTCAACTCAACTCAACTGGGCTGGGTTCCGGTGATAAGGAGAGTTAAGGTGAGAAAGTGTAGGAAGGGATCTCCACTCTTGGATGCACATTAGGATGAGATGCACCGAGATGAGATGCACTGGGATGCACCGGATCAATCCCGTATCAAGTGCAATTTATGGGTGGGGTTGAGATTAAAGTTGATAAAGGGTCCAGATCCCTTCTTACGCTTCTCACCTTACTCCTTCTCACATGATCCTTCGCCTCAACTTCAAATGGTATAACTTTTGTAAACTTCCTATAAAATATTGAGAAAAAGCGTAGAAATTTATGCCTACAAATAGGTAAATGTGCTGTTATATTTGTAACTAATGCATGCCAAATTTGAATCTAGATCATGTATAGAAGACAGTAAAGTACAAGTATACGTCTTGTTATATATATATTAATAGGAAGCATGTGTAGGAAATTTGCATAACAATTTTAATTTTAGATAGACATCCTCAAAGTTAATGGAATAGTCACCATGTAATATAAAATCTTCTAAGCTCCATAATATGTGTGGAAATAAATTAACATGATAAGTCATGAAATGGAATATTTATCACTTTGGAGTAGGTATTTGGCAAATCTTCAGTAGACATGAAAAGGTATTTTTTCTACTTCAGTTAGCTCTTTACATTGCATGTATGGATAAACCTATTCAGTTAGTGAACATAGCCCCTGATCCAAATTCCAACAGTATTCACACCTTAATAGAAGAGGTTTACTATGACTTAAAGGTCTAATGGACTGCATGTAACTTAAAAAAGTTGTACAACATTTGTGAAATTTCTAGAAAATGCTGATAAATACATAAAATGTTGTAGGTACGATTCAATAAGTGCCTTTTGAATTTGTAGCATGGTGGTTACAAATCTTGAATTTTGATTGAATATAGAAACAATCTCTTTGTTCTCAAAGGAGAAGTATTCCTCTTTCTCCCCTTTAGTACCCTTTTTGTGAGCAGAAGTTTTGTACAAAAGTTGGTTTGACTTCTATAACCGTAGACTCCTATCTACTTGCTCGAAGCTATCTGGCAAGTCACCATAAGAAGCATAGAAGCCTTAAAGGGTAGAAATGTGTGTGAATTGGGGGACAGTAGATCAAACGTTGTAAGCTCGTTGCTATTTTTTAAAGCTTGAGAAGTTAGTGGATGATTATAAAAAAGTTCTTGATTTGTCTCAAGCATAAGACAACTTCTTAGCCAATGAACATATCACTTATATGCATAGTTATAAAGAAGTGTTCATTAACGTGACATTTCGAGATGTCTTGCAATAGTTGTAACTATTAGGTAGCAGGATTCCTCCTGCTTTCCAACATATTCTTGTATATTACAAACCCAAACCTTGGTTGTTATTGTATATCACTGTCTGATGTTGGTGACCAGATCGGTTGTGCATGTTTGTGGATACATGGCGGAGGTGGGGTTGGTGAATAGGGGCGCCCTCTTGATTAAATTAATAACTGTAGGTTGATGGTGGCGTATCAGTGTGGTCGTTTTTGGTATACTGAACTTCGTCCACTTGATCTGTTTTATGCAAGAATTGTTGTAACTTGGAAGAGGGACATATCATGGCATGAAAACGCTTCTAAACCTAGGATTGGCTGATTGTAGGGTGATTGTGGCTCATGAATGTGGTGGTAGTGATTTACTGAACAGTGATTTTACTTCACTGTTTAAAATGAAGTGCGTTTTATTTAAAAAAAAATGTTTGTAAAAATTTGAGAGAGGGACAACATATGACATGGAAGTGCTTTTGAAACGCAAGGGAGTGGTTTGTGCCAGTTTCCAGTCAAGTTATGCCAAATTTGTGTCAGAGAGTGTTGATTGCAAAACCAGTTGATTAGTATAAACATATCCTTTGGCAATCAGTTGGTCTGTATGATCATATCCATTAGCTGGGTAAAAAGGTGATTTAGAACCTGACTCCTTTTTTCCTGATATAGATCTGGCAATTTGCCTTTTGGGTTGTCTGGAATAAAAGCAATGTCTCTCTTTTGGACAAGGCTTTTTCTTGTTATTCTTTTATCTTCCTTTTATCCTTCTTTTATCTTCCCCCATCATGTGAAATAGAGAAACCAGCTTAATCGAGTTTTACTTCTTTTCGTGTCATTGATATATACAAATATCATTCTCCTTGATTTTAGTCCAGATGATTCCTCTGTTTTGTCCTTATTGAGGGGCATTGTAGATAGTTTGACTACCATTCAAACAATCTCATTAAAACATGCGTCAAGACATGACATACTATTACAAGCACCTCTCTTCTCGTTATTTCACTAAGAAGGATAGTTCCAGTAACAGCATAACAATCCTGAAACCTTATGATAATGAGCTCGAAAGGGCAGGCCTGGCCAGAAAAGAACTAAGGTACACAGAAAGACCATAAAACCGAACATTTGGGACAAAGGAAAAAGAATAAAATAATGCCCTACATTAGTTTACTACAGCCCCCAAATTTTAGCCAATAATGGCCAAGACACCTATTAACATGTAAATTTTCATTTCTATCTACACTCTTCTCTACCTCTGTGGCTATGAATGAATGCATGTATTCTCTTGTATGATTTGATTGCTTTCAATTCGTTTACTTTGCATTCGTGTTTACCTAATTGTTCCTTCTCATATGACGACAATACATCGTTAGACGATTAACCGAAGTGTTGATTGTGTAGGTGAAAATGCTGGAGTACAAACAGAGTAGATTGGAAATGGAACCTATTAACTGTAACTACATCACTCCTTCAGGTGAAAATTTGAACTCTCTGGAGTTCAGGAGGGTGGTCTGCAAAGGAGTTTTTGATGAGGCAAAATCCATCTATGTTGGTCCACGTTCTAGAAGTATATCAGGAGTGACTGAAAACGGATATTACCTCATTACTCCCCTTATGCCGCTACCGAGCAGTCCGGAAAGGTTAGTTCAGTGTTACTTGAATGGTATACCTGTATTTAAAGTATATTTGCTATTTCTTAGAAACATTATTTTTACTAGTGTGTTAAAACTTTAAAAAGGAGTAAAAGAACATAATAATCTGAAAAGCAGAAAATATCTAACTTGTTATATATAACATGTGTGTATTTATAATCTTCCACTCTGTTTTCTCATCATCAAATGGTCTCTATCTCTTGGATGGTTAATATGTTAGTTATGCATCTTATGAGACTTGAGCCCCACGCCCATAGGCTTCCTCTCTGAGCCTTTGTGTTCTCTCTATCCCCACTATATATCTCAGTCTTCATATCAGATGCTTCTGTAAACACAACCAACTGTAACATCCCGCCAAAACATAACACATAACTCACATATTTTACATATAACAACTCACAGAGATATTATACATTGGTCCAAAAGTTGACACAACAGTTAAAGCTAGTAGAAGTTACTACAAATTTTTTGTTTACATAACTTGTACACGTAGTTCCATAACATTTTCTAACAAGCAAACTTCAGACAAAAACTCCAGTCCCGCATATAAACATCAAGTAAACATTTTAGTCGCCAAGTATCAAAATTTTCCCTTCCCTTTACCTTCTGGATGTGTCTGCCTTGAAATGCACATTTTTTAAAACAAAATAAGGGTTAGACCATAAGGTCTAGTGAGGAAATCCCTGTTAGTACAACATCGTATAAAATCAAATAGGTATTAGTCTATGAAAATAGGGAAAAGTTAAAAAAAAAACCCAACAAACTTTTTCATTTTGAATGGTTTATTCCTCAACTATAGTTTTGAATGAAAAAAACCATTAAACTTTCTCTTTTTGAATGAAAAAACCATTAAACCTTTTCATTTTGATTGATCAAGTTCCTGAACATTTTTTTAATAAATAAACCACCGCACTTCTAAAAATTAGTTACATACATCCTTTTAACTCAAAGAAAGTTACATGAATTGACTAGTAAAAGTTTGATGGTTTATTTATTTTAAAAAAAAATTCAGGGTCTTAAATCATTCAAAATGTGAAAGTTTAATGGGTTTTTCATTAAAAAAATAGTTCAAGGACTTAATCATGCAGAATTAGAAAGTTTAATGGTTTTTTCATTCAAAAAAAATAGTTTAGGGACTAACTATTCAAAATGAGAAAGTTTATTGGGTTTTTTTTGGACTTTTCCTATGAAAATATTAAACAGATAATAACTTCCAAATGATGTAAGTCAACTATGTATAAGATTGATGTGCCACCTTAACATCCTCGTAATACATCGTTGGCCCAACTGGCTCGACATCTCAATTATATACACCGCTCCGTCACATACACCACTCCATCACATACACCACACCAATATATATACTGCTCCGTTACATACATGTAGGTCAAACCGACCCAACTCCACATTAACAGATACAACAATGATGAACCACTTCGTGCCATTCTCAAATACTCATACCACAAAACACATTCTTTCATAAACAAAATCATTTTATAATGTAGGCATTTCAATTCAAAGGTTTGTAAGAAAACTCACCTGGATCACGGTTATACATTTTTTTATTAACCTGGATATCCAACTCGCTATGCGAGCCGACTAATCTCAGGGTGACCACCTACTTTGCAATTGCGGGTAGCCCGGAGTCACCACATTTGAACCTCCGTGGCCACAAGGGGATTTTTATTCCTTCTTGGATTTGAATCTAGTACCTCCAGGCACTTTTGACCTTTTGAGCCCAAGCTCAAACCAATCAGGCAACACCCTTGTGGCAAAATAGTGATTCCCACTATTAGCCTCAATAAATCTAACATCCAAAAATCAAGATGGAAGATTTACCCAAGAATGGAGAAAGTTCAAATACTCAAAACAAGAGTTTAAGGATGCTGAAATTCAACTCATAACAATGAAAACTTTCGACTATGATTTTTAAAACATGAAGAAATGCTTAAAACCAAACTTTCACCAAACACACCGTAACCGACCTCATTGACCTAAACTTTAACCCCATCCAAGATAAACTAAAATAAACTGTAATATAGATACGAATTTAGAAACAACCATGGAAGGAAAATAGTCTTACCTTGGCACTCAGATGGCCATGAAGCACTCATGGTTGGTCGATTGTTCCCCCTTGCTTAACCTGTTGCAAGTCGTCGGCTGGAGATTACTTTTATTTCCCAATTAGATCTCCTTTTCACGGCCAATAGTGTGATATATATCAGTCTAGCATCTAGCGTCTCACAGAGCACCTCTTTCCCAGCTCTATTACTTGAATTTGACAGTGCAGAAGTAGAATTTGATAAACAACTCCCATGGACGGTGCAAAATATGTTATACAGTTCCCTATTGTACGAGCAGGCATTCTATTCACTTAGGATTACCCTTTTCTTCTCTTTTTTGGTTGGAAAATTACATGAAAGGATAATTTCCATACAAATAATCTAAATAACAAAACCATGCCTAAGCATTATGGTCCCTTCCACCTGTCTTCTGTTTATCCTCTTGTACTGTTCATGCTCCCCTTCACCATCTCTCTTTCGAATCCACAGAAAAGTCCACACACTCTTTCTGTTGCAACATTTGGAAATCCTAAGTTGTATTGTGGGTGTTTTGGGGGTATACATCAAGCAACTCAACAAAACCTAATCTCATCTGGTTTGACTCATCACTTTTACATTCGTCAAGGCATGGGCTTGCAATCTCAATCTTCTTTTCATTTTTGAAGGCCTTGAGACATGAACGGAAATACACCAAAATGTGGAGATGAAGAAACACCCTTGCTTTTGCAATGGAATTATTTTCATGACAATTTCTTGTTACAAACTTGAAACCTTTTGCAGCTTGCAGATGCCAATTATAGTCAACAGAGGATGGGTCCCGCGAAGTTGGAGAGACAAGTCGCTAAAAGTTGTGCAAGAGGATGGACATCCTCCAAATGTGGAATCTACTGCTATCCATGAGAGCAGCTCTTGGTGGAGAATTTGGTCTAAGAAGCCTAACACTACTGAGAAGGTGCCGTTGTCTTTCCTCTCTCTTCCTCTTGCTTAATATAGATACATATATGCATGTATGGTAAATAGATGATAACTAAGTTTTAATTTCTTCAAAACTATTTATCACATACAGGGCCAGATTCCCGAGATAATGCTGGACGAAATTGTAGGAGTTATTCGTGGAAGTGAGAAACCAAGCATTTTTGTACCAGCAAATGACCCGACTTCATTTCAATGGTTCTACATTGATGTTGGCGCAATTGCTCGTACTTGTGGGCTTCCTGAGAACACCATATACATTGAAGCAGTGAATGAAAACGTGAACCCCAGTAATCCATACCCAATTCCAAAAGATAATAATGCATTGATTCGCAGTTCAGTAATGCCGCAGGATCATCTCAACTATACACTCACTTGGTACGCTCATGAAACAATATATATATATATACACACACACACACATATGAAACTATGTATGAGTATGCATGCTTATATCCTCTAATGGTTGGTTTGTGTTTGATGCAGGTATTCTTTATCGGCAGCAGTTACATTTATGGCCTTCAAGAGACTTCAGCCTAAGAAGAAAATGAGATAATATTTTTGTTGGTGGCCACAGTTTCTTTTTGTGATAATGGAGGTAACTTCAGTTCTTTACCTATTCGTTTGTCATGCTGACTATTTATCATCATGGCTCTATATGGCACTAGAATTGGTGTTGGAGTTTTTTTAACAAACACGTACACTTGCATTTCCCCCGTGGGCTAGCATCAAGGCTCGTTTTTCGTATTTGTGTGTGTTCGATTCTGTCTTCGCTTCCCCTTCTTTTATCTGCATTGAAACCGACAAAAGGGTTCCGTCTTCCCATCAGAATAAATATAGCTACAAGTCCTGCAGTCGACAGATTTCACTTAGATTTAGATTCAATACTGAATTAGAAACTGACCCCGATCCTGATCCCGATTATATGTAATTGAATTCATTATTCTGTCCTACATAAGTGTGGGGATAATGTGGTATATGAGAATGCTTAGGCAGTTATGATGTTGTTCTGTGTAATGTTGTCAGCAGTCAAATATTTACTAGGATTCTATATCCTTGTAAAAAATTATTAGCAGAAATATATGAAGTGTGAAATGAAGAAAACCCCTGTTAGAGATTGAAGGGCTGTTAAACAACAGAAACTAGTAAGTGTTTACCTGGTAAAAATCACCACTGCCCTCACCGTATTGGGTACGATTCTCGGTCATCAAAGTAGTATCGTATAAGTGTCTCTTATCCAGTAAGCTCTTAATCAAGTAAGATTCTCTGTTAGTAAAATGGCAAGTCCATCATGTCTGATTGGATAAAAACATGTCTTGCCGAGTAAGAGGCGACAAGTGTTCGATGCTTTTCCTATAGGTGGAATTTTATGCAATTTAAATCAAATGATATTTTTTTTATTGAAATTAACAATTACTTTTGTTATATATGTACTTCATAGTCACATGTGTTAACACACGCAAGGAATTTGCCTCGAGTACTGGTTAAGGTCCGGCCCAAGTCGCGATAAGGATTGTATACGTGATAGTGGCATAGGACCGGGAACCGCAAATCCCGGTTTTTTGCATCTCTACGTTCATGTATATGTATGCGTAGATGTAAGTATGCATGCATATTGATTGTATATGTTCATGTATGTATGCATATGTAGGGTGGGTTCCGGTGAAATTGAGAGTTAAAAGTGAGAAGCATAAGAAGGATCTATATCCTTCGATGCACATTAGGATGAGATGCAATAGATAAGTTCCCGTATCAAGCGTGATTCATGAGTTTAAGATTAAAGGTGATCAAGCGTTCAGATCACTTCTTATACTTGTTATATTAACTCTCTTTTTCACACGATCCTTCGCCTGCATATGTATATGTTCAACACACATACTTATGTATTAACAAATTGTGTACTCGTGTTATGCAATAGGGTGCAAAAAATTACCGTATATCTATACTATATTATAAAACATTTGATAAAAACTCTTAAAAACCATTTTTATGCATGAAGTACTATTTATTGATGCATATTACTTAAAATTCAAGATTACAAGTAATTTTGCGCAAGTACAACTTATTAAAGCTCAATTTTTAAATTCGTGCAACTAATTGACAGATAAACATCCATTTTAAATATAGAAAATATAAAATATAATTAAGATAATCTTTGAGTTCTAACATGATATTAATTATTATCTTTATAAATAATTATATTGTTAAACCAAAAATAAATTATTTTATAATTAAATCTAAATTAAATTATAATATAAAATTGAATTAAAGAAGTTACACCAAAAAAATGAGAACTATTAAATAGTTAATTTGAAACTAATATCGATTTATTTTTTTAAAATTTTTTATGTTATCTTCAAATTTATGCTTCATTAAAAAATAAAAACATTATCGTTTTCTGAAAACCACATAAAATCGTATTATATCGATAAAGATAACAAATAAAAACTAGACATTAAAATCGAGATTTATCTTGCTGCATTATATGAGTACCTTTCTAATAGTTATAAAAAATCAACACAAATTTTCATTTAAGAAGTCCGAAAATCATGTTTAAATAAAAATAAAATTTACATATGGTGAAAGAAAAACCTTCAGAAAGTATATTGATGTCAAGCATGGTATTATAAAATCTCATTTTCTCTTATAACTTTTTAAATTTATTATTTAAATATTTAAAAATAAAGATGTAATTTCATTTTGTTTTTATGATTTTCTAAAAGATAATAATTGAAGTATTTTTTATATTAATATGACAACAATTATATCAAAAACCATATATAACCACTTCAAACTATGGAGTTGTAACACGTATTTGGGTACATATATATGTATGTGTGTGTATGTATATGTATATATAGACTTGAGATCATGTGAGACCATCCTGTTTTTGTAAGACCACCACTTTTTTACACTTGAAACTTCACAGTAAAATGCTATAAAGGTGACCTTCACAATGTTTTTGCTGTGAAGGTTCGGTTTTTTACTTTCACAAAGTGTTTTACTATGAAGTTTCAAGTGTAAAAAGATGATCTCATGGGTCTCAAAAACAGGTTGGTCTCATGTGAACCCTCCCTGTATATATGTGTGTGTATATATATATATATATATATATGTGTGTGTGTGTATATATATATATATATATATATATGTGTGTGTGTGTGCGCGTGAATGTGCTTGTGGTGTAGGGAGTTGTAAGACCTAATTTGGGTATAATACAAGTGTTGAATAAAGATGTTGGATGGGAGATGCCTCTTTTTTGACGAACAATTTCAAACAACAAGATGATCCAATAACTTCTGATACGTTACCTTAAATTAATCACAAGGTACCTCCATCCTGATTTATGTATTAAGCACGTATAAATTTAACTGCAAATATTCAAGAATCTAGAACTATGGTTCAGTTCCATAACCTGTTGATGTTTCCTAATGGACTTCTCCAGGATGACCACTTCCTTTATATAGACAATTCTCACTTGTTGAAAACTGTTGATCTAAACACAAGTTTTTTTTCTACAAAACCTTTAAATTCACACATGTAACATCAACGAATCGCTTACAAATTTATAAAATACGTCTACTTCTCCACCATATATACAGGTAACAAAACAGTTGCTCGCATGTTGCTTATGTGACAATTTTTTTGGCTCAAATCCCCCGTATTCGAAATCCCAGATGGTTTTTTCAAAGTACAGAGGCATGTGGGAATTTGAGGATTGCATCAGCATGAAATAAAGGGTCGTTCAGCTTACAAGACAAAAGAGAAGACTGTGAGCAATGGTTGCTGAAGCTTTCTGGTAGGAATGACACCCAACATGACAGAATACAAGGTTGGAGGCCTTGAAGATTAGGTTCCACACTGGGTGGCCATAACTTCTTTGCATCTTCATTCAAATATGTGCGAAATATCTTCATGGCTACAAATCAGATTTTGAAATACGTGTGAAATAGATTTGACATCAGCTCTAAATAAGAAAGAAAGAGCATAATTTAATCCGATTTACCATGGTAGCAGACCATCATCATGACTGCGAATAACTTGTCAGCCTCTGCATTTCCTGAAAGCAAGAGCACAAATTCCCTTTGGCAATACACCAAATAGGAAACCAACAGAAATATGACATGCATTTACAATATCTAAGAAGACTGAAAACTAACTAGCTAAGCACAACTTAGGAGTTCGATATGTATACAACAAGAACCCTTACTGCAAATTAATTGCAGTTTGACAAGTGTGTGAAATAAACTGCCGTTGACTCTACAAAGAGCATAGACACATCTCATTGCACTGATCGGGGCGTTCCATACATGATTTTCAAGAAATGAATCCTGTATAAGATATATAATTTTATAAACTCGACTATATTAGTTCAGAGACCGAATGAAAATTGAATTTAAAGCCACAAACAAGTTTTCAACACCAGAGGGGATGATGTTAGAATTGGGACATGATGTCATTTCCTCTTGAACCGTGACAACCTTGAAACTTACAGGAATTCATGACGATAGTTGCAGCATGATTCAACATCTTGCAATACAACTCAAAAGATGAAAGTTATCCCCTAAAAGTATACCCATCTAGAATGATCCAATTGGTAATACCTCAATACAGTGCGTTGTTACAGGAACTGGAAATGAGAGTCAAAACATCATTAAGTTCGTAGATATCCCAACCACAAAGGGTTCCATTAATACGCGGGTTAAGAAGTAGAACATGATGCCGAGAGCTATTGAAATCGGGAGAGCTGGCAAAGCATGACGACACACTGATAACAGTATAAGAGTGCACCCCAATCCAGATATAATAGCAAGGTAACAAGCATACACTGTCATTAAATCATACATTGCAGCTCTACCCACAAGAACACTATAAAAAACAAAGTCACCTAGGCCAAGCTTTATGCCTCTAGTTGCCTCTTCACCAATCTCCCTGCTTCTTAATTGTGGTTCCCTTTCGTTCGCCATGCCCAGAATCGCAGCAAGTGGTGACATATCCTCCTCATCTTCAACTATTTCAGTTTGTCGAATTCGATCAGTACCACCCATGGCAGCTGAAAACTCACTGCTGGCACTTGAACTAGACCTCATCCTATCTCGAAGATTTGGCACCAATGGGGAAGTCTCCTCTGTCTCATCTCTGCTATCCACCATCTCAATTGTATCACCATTTCTCGAATCTGTAGCATTGTTTCTATTTGGAGTCATCTCAACCTGAAGCTCCACTGAATCTGAAGAGACCCCGCCAACCAGAAGACCCAAACTAGACCCTCTAGGGTTCCTGGAAACAGTTGGCCGGGCCTCGTAAACCAGCGCAGGAAGTTCATCATCTCTACTAGATGCCAATTCAACCAAAATCTTAAGAGGTCCACCAGGGGCCAAAACAGCAACCAAATCATATAGAGCCAATGCCACAAGCAAAGTCCAAGTGGTCCACTCAGGCAAATTAGTAAACCAAGCAGCCACAATTATACCTAGAAGAACCATATAAACCTGCCTCAACACTATCGGTATCGGTATACCCTCGGCGAAAATAGAAAGGACTCCCACAACTGTGAAATTAAAAAGCAAAATGAGACAAGTGATGGCATCAATTGGGATCGAGAATTGTCGAATAATGGAGATGAAGATGGAACCACCCATGACACCGAGAACAAAGAAAGCGGAAAAACGCATGTAGTTCTTGAGGAAATTGGTGAAGTTGTAATAGTAAAGGAGAACGAGGAGGAAAGTGACAGCGGCGATGAGGATAACAAAAACGAGAGCATTGAGTAGCGAGCCTTCAATTTTCTGAGATGTAGAATCCGACGGAGCTTCGAGGTAGACGAGATTAGCGGCGGTACGGATGGGCTCGACGGAAGAGGAGGAAAAGGAGGATAGAGAGTAGACCAAAAGGACGACCAGGAGCATGCATATTGATACCGGCGACATTACGCCGATGATTTCCACTCCGATTGACTCCAAGATACTCCCATCCATGGCTGTAGATCTTCGAATTTGTGCTACAATTCTAGGGTTCTTGATGGATTTACAAAATGGTATTTGAACCGTTCTCCATCTTCATCATACGACTTGACCCTCTTACTTTTTCCCTTGCAAATTACATTTATTTTATTCTTATTTTAATAATGGGTTTTTTTTTTTTTTTCATTAAAGATAAAGTTGTTTATATCTATACTATATTATATGGTATTTGACAAAAACTCTTAAAAATAATTTTGTATGCATGAAATACTGTTTATTAATGTATATTACTTAAAATTTAAGATTATAAGTAAATTGTGCATAAGTACATTTCATATTTTTGAATTCATGTAACTAACTACAGATAAACATAATCAAATATTGGATAAACATATCATATTAAATATAAAAAAATTAGAATATAATTAAAATAATCATTGAGTTATAACAGAATACTTAATTATTATATTTATAAAAATTATATTATTAAACTTAAATTAAATTTTTTTGTTACTAAACCTAAATTAAATTATAATAAAAAAATTTGAATTAAGGAAATTACACCAAAACACAAGAACTTTTAAAAAGATTAATTTGATACTGATATCGATATATATTTTTTTCAAAAATTTATAATATTCTCAAATTTATATTTTATTCAAAAATAAAAACATTATTAATTTTTTTTTCTTAAAACCACATAAAACCGTATTATATCGACGTAAAAAAGGAATAAAACGAAACACTAAAATCAAGATATGTCTCAATGCATTGCACGAGTACCCTTCTAGTACAAATTAATTTATCTGTACAGATGAAAAAAGACTGTGTTTGATTTTTTTCATATATAGAATGAGCATATTTCTAATTAAGACTACATAAAACACTCTCCTATAACATTACTGATTAATTCACTCTAAATATTCATGTATACCTAACCGAATAAGTCATCTCTAAATATTCATATATACCTAATCAAATAAGCTTTTAGTCATATTAAGGTGCTAACGAATAGACCATTATATTATATATATATATATATATATATATATATATATATTGTAACTTTTATTTATTTTAGACGTGTAAAAAAAATTGTACCAAGCACAAATTAATTTTGATAACGTTTTTTTATAGATAATATCATATCAATTTTGAATTGTTAACAAGGTACTTATACAAAGTTTTCAATTTTATGCAACAACATGATAGAAGGCAAGAATATCTAAGATCATACATGATTACATATGATATACACGTTTAATGATATATGATTAAATACACCTAAAAAAAGGCACACGTGACTTGGTGAAGCTATATATTGCCATTGCAACATGTATTTAATCATATGTGATTAATCGTATGTATCATGCATATAATCATATATGATATTGAAACTTCCCACTCTTGCAAATTGACCAACCTGACACTAGTAAACTATATAACTAAGTTGGTCAACTCTGGTACCTCTGAGCCTGCATAATTCAAAAATAAAACTAGCCAAGGCACATGCAATCAAAACCAAAGTTATGTCAACATAACTATTTGATTTCATAATCAGACTCATTTGTGGGTTTAAAACTCTAAAGATTCAGCAGACTACTCCCATTACACACACCAATTGCTAGAAATGAATAGGCTTAACAACTTTACGGAACTACCACCATATTCAGTCGCATTATTCGCTATAGTACCTAAAAACTTCAAACAACTTCATTTTTAGGATACCCAAATGCAAACAAAACTTATTTGTACAAGGACATGCAGAGAACAACAATCAAACATGATCATCATGTTAGACCCTATTCACAAATGAATAGATGCTTGCGGCTTCTATCCAAACGGATTCCCACTGACTGAAGCTACAGGCCCCTGACCATGAATGTTCCTACAAAATCAGCCATATGGATTCAGAAATAGTGACTCAAATTGATGTTCTACCATACTCGAAAAGAATCATCTCATCTTGCACATAATTAATATTACAGCTAAAGACCAACTTAGATGGGCCAAAATCTTGCCATGTGCTTAAAACCCCCCACAGCTTTGAAATGAAAGATGTTAGGAGGAAAATTGATCATTTTACTAATTCAAAAGTAACATTTTCCTCATATTGGATCATTAACATTTTCCCATAGAGCATCATTATCATTTTACTCATATTGGATCGAAATAAGATGTTAGGAGGAAAAAAAAGATCATTTTACTAATTCAAAGTAACATTTTCCTATACAGCATAATTAACATTCGTCTTAAAGATGTGTATATTGAAAAAAGCATGAAATACTGATATCCTTGCAACAAATCGGAAGACAGTGCAAGGATATCAATTCTAGACAATTATTAGCAGAAATTAGCCAAGGAACATTTGCTTTGTGAGAACCTTCGCATTGTGTCATCCTTGGCTTCCAAACCGATCACCTAAGTTGGTATTTAAGTTACTAACTGTTTTATAAAAATATAATAGAAATCGATGATGAAAAGGTACACGGGATGGTTCTTAACCATAGTGGAGTTTTATGGAGGTTCTTATTTGTTGAGTTGGCGCTGATGTGGCAAGAAAAGGTGCAAAAAGGAGGTTCTTACCCAACTGGTGATTATGTTTCCCCTTCCCTGAATTGGGTGTGTTAAGGACCATTTGGGCAACCCAAAACATTAAATAAAATAGAAAAGAAAAATGGATCTCAGAATGATCATACCCAACCAATTTCTAGAAATCTGCTCGACCCTACCTAATTATACTCAACAAGAAAGCTAAAGCATCAATTAAACTACATATATACATACATATATATATATATATATGTGTGTGTGTGTCTGTGTTGAATAATCCTGTAAAACGAAGTAAAATAAAAGGGAGGCACTTACTGAATCTGCATGCTTGGTGCTTGCCCTGCCAGGTAGACTAAGGCATCTGCAGAACCATATTACAGTAAGAATAGATTCCGATAAAACAACAAAAAGTTGATTTCTCAGTTGAGATTTCACCTTGTGATTTACCAGGAGTATATGGTATTGCTGCACTCTCAGGAAACCAAGGAGTCGATATACTATGATTCGGTATAGCAGATTGCAAAGAGCTCATGTCCAAGAACTGCAATTGGAATTAAAAAGGGATTTGCATGATTCCATTGAGCAAATAAGAATGGCGGGGTAAATATTGATGATATCAGAAAATTTCATCATAATGGCCATAAAAGTCTTAGCAACCAGAGATGTTTATTAAACATTAAACACTATAAAAAAATATTGAACAGGTTGTGGGATATCTCTATTGCAACTCCTAGTCACATTTGGATCTATAGTTTGAAAATTATATATATATATATATGACTTACCATGTTGCTAGATTCAAGATCTGCATCACTAGGAAAATCGAATGGATTGCGAGATTTTGTATCAAGTCCATGTGATTGTGCTCCATCCTGAAGTAACGTAAAATAAGAGCTGATAGTAATGATATCTCTCTCTCTATATATATATATATATATGTGTGTGTGTGTGTGTGTGTGTGTGTGTATTAACACATAAGGCAGAAACTAGAAAATGAGGGAAGACAGAAAGAACAAGAACTTGGGGAAATCTGTCTAACAAATAAAAGAGAGATGTTCCTTGTTTGAATACTGTAGATTTGATGACAACCATTTGTCATACTAATAGCCAGACAGAGATATCGTTGTTGCTCCTTGTTTGAATTTTGTAAATAGAAGAGAGATGTTCATTCGTTTTCCCGAAGAAAAAAAAATGCTCATTGGTTAGTAACCTTTTTACCCTTATGGTAGTTATATTATGTTGGTCTCAAGTCCACATATAACTAATTAGGCAAGGTGGTTCTGATGACGAACACATATAAAAGAAGAAAAGAAGGTGGTTGTGATAAAGCGGGATCATTTGTAGTCATTGGCTTTGCTTTCACAAAACCATTGTGGTTGCTAAAATCCATAGAAAGACATTCTACTTGGAACTTGAGAACTTTATCCCAGTTTTTGCAACTAAAATGGTTTTCTAGAAAGCTAAAAGCCACATACCATTTATAAAAGTTCAAGCTTTCCAACTATAGTGTTTTTTACATTATCAGAACCTCTGCAACTACAATGGTTTCTTCTATAAATCAAAGTTAATCATAATGGTTACAACTGTTGGTCACTCGATAATTAAGGCTGAATAAAATGAAAGCATCCTACCATGACAGGGAGTTCAATTGAAGAGTCTACTGATCCAATGGCATGCGGTGTTGTGCTAAGAAAAGGAGCAGGTCTAGTATCCAAATCAGCTTCTTTCATCTTGACATTCTGTAAATCAATTTGATAAAGTCAAAAAATAGTTGATCACATGCAAACAATTCACTGTTATTTCTAGCAACGTCAATCAATACCTCTGATATTTCCCATGGCAAATACACATCAACACCTGAAGGATCTTGTACTGGAACTTGTTCGCTAGTCTTTATATAAATACTTTCGAAGGACGTGGTAGATTCTTCGAATGAACTCCATGACTGCTAAGAAAATGGTGATACATCATGTCTTGTCACTTTAAAATAAATCAAAACACCACAAGATTTCTTCGTTGCAACATACACATAGGAAGGTTATACAGATGAATACCTCTAATTATGTGAGCAAATCTCTTGCAAAAAATAACATACCTGATTATTCTTTGCATTTAGCGGATCGCCAAGATCATGCAAGCCTCCATGCCATGGGTTATGCATTAATGGCGAAGGTCCACTAGCACTAAAATCTTGATGAAATGACCAGTGAGAGCTTTTGTCCACCGATAAAGCTTGGTCAAATTTCCCAACCGAATCATCACTAGTAGAAGTTTCTGACACAACGATCGAACTTTTAATGCCCTGACTAGGTTCCACATGCCAAGGCATGTCAAACGTCGCCCATCCCTGATTTTCCTGAGTTATCATACCTGGTGATTTATCTTTCAGGGTTTCAGACGACTGCTGTTGAGGCATAACAGCAAATAAATCCAAAGATGAAGGTTCAAAAGCTTGGAACTGCTGATTTACACTCAAAGTTGATGCCACGGAATTACGTGGTGGCTGCAAAGTATTTATAGACAAAGCAGAAGATGTCGCCGATAACTCAAATAGGTCAATGGCTGAAGGAGCAGATGTGGTGGATTGAGGTGCATATGGTGCACTAAAAAGGTCTAATCCATCAAACTTTCCCGATTCTGATAAATGTGACACAGAGGGAAGAGAGTCTTTGTTATGTTGTGTCACTACTGATTGTTCTGGTGCTAGAGATGTGCTCGATTGAGGTGCATATGGTAAACTAAAGAGGTCCAAACCATCAAACTTTCCAGATTCAGACGAGTGGGAAAAAGAGGGATGAGGATGTTGCGTCACTACTGATTGTTCAGGTGTTGGACCAATAAAATGCTTGTCGACAGAGTCTGCAGACTTGAAACCCGTGTCATCCCCGCTGAGTTGCACAGTACTGCCAGAAGAACCAGTTACCTAAAATAAGATGAAATAAAATAAAATAAGAAAGTTATAAAATAAGAAAGAAAATTCAGTTCAAGTGGAATGGTGAAGAAATGAGCTTTAGTTTACTGCCTATATCAATGAGTTGGAGTCCGGCGCAAATTTGACATGTGTGGAACATGGTTTGCAGCTTGTTAGACTCATGCATGGGCCTCGGCATGTGTGAGTTTATGTCTAGAGTTGGTTATTTAGAATGCCAACCTTAGTATTTTTATAATTAACGAACTTTATAAATAGGGATTAGGAGGAATTAGGTATTATGCTGGATTTGATAACGCTTTATAGGTTAACGAGTGCGTGGCATTTTTGGAAACTGTTCTTGCAAAGCTCAGTCAAACTCATCTTAGATAAGGCATCGGGGAGAGACTGGTACCTGGTACCCCCTGAAAGCAGACCTGCCTTTTTGATTTGATTCTCGTTGTTTGTTTTCAATACAGTTTTCAATTTATCTTTCCATATGATCAAGAAAATGTAAGGTTGAAACATCACTTGGAGCTTCAGCCCATACAACAAAAACAACTAAAAAAATAATCAACTTATCTTATAAATGTGGAATTCTTGATTGTCTTTTATCTCAGATATTGCATTAGTAGCAGGTTGTGGCCTCCTAGGCATGGTTACATACATATATATATATAYACACACACACACACATATATAGGGGCTTAATCATTTGAGAACTCCATATATTGTGATAACCGTGGAAACTATTACCTTAAGGTATTGTTTCACATGATTTTTTCTCATCTAAGGCTAGCATTTAATGTATTGATGAACATAAATTTGTTTCGCAATGTGTTTGCTTCATATGTATAAGGTTCACAATGTGAAACTTCTTTACATGTAACTTTTGATTCACGAAGAGGCTTAAAAGGGTTCACATTGTGAAACAGACACATTGCGAATCACGTACAAATAATATACTCATCAATCACAATGTATCAAATCATATCACATTATTTCACAGCAAAATCACATAATTAACAACGGAGCGATGATCATAGACGTGCTAATCACTTGTTTTCGATTATCACAACATTGTCACATCGTTATCACAACAAAATCACACAATTATCAGATCATTATGACAGCTAAATCACATCATAAAAATCTTCAATTTATCAAAGTACTATCACATTATTATCACGGCAAAATCAGATCATTATCACAGCTAAATCACATCATAAAAAATCTTCAATTTATCAAAGCATTATCACATTGTTATCACGGCAAAATCAGATCATTGTCACATCATTATTGACAACGGATGCATAGACATAGGATGTCTCCGATGATACTAGCAACATTTAAAGGATAAGGAGAAATATAAGATAACAGAAAATTATGGATAAATACTAATTTATTTTCATTTTATTCTAATTTTTATTATGTGTTCATTAATTTGGAGGCCCAGTAGTGTTCTCGCATTTTTGTAAAACATGGGCATTCTCGTTTGAACCCTTCCCTATATAAATATATAGAAAGGGGGGTTCATTTAGGAACATTCAATATTTTATGAACCCAAGAACCATCCTTTTTGTTAGTATTCATGATGAATACCGTGAAAATATTAATGATGAATGCCGTGACAGATATTCATGATGGATAATAGGTGGTTCCTAAAATATTTAGGGTTCCTAAATGAACCTGCCCCTAGATATATATATATATATATATATATACACACACACACATATTAACGGCTTAAATTTCAAGTAACACCAAAAGCAAGAAAATGCATGCATTTGTAACCTGGTCCGGATCTCTTTTGGGGCTGCTGAATCCAAAGTCCCTCTGACAGGTTGGCGATTGRGTATCAGACCTAAATGGATCACCTGCACTGCTCACTGAAAAATCTGAAACTCGAGCATTAGGCACCTCATTTGCAAACCCATCATCTTGCCCATGATCACTTAAACGGCTTGTACTCATAAAGCGGAACATTCCTCGGTCCGATCCAGGCTTTTTAGTAAGTGCAGGAGCCTGTTTCCCATAACGACGTTCTTCATATTGATAATCATATGGTGGACTCTGAGAATAAGAATGATAGGAACTAGCTCGTCTTGTTTCATCCTCGTGGTTTCTAGTGTTCTGAAAAGTTGACAACCAAGCGTAACAAGTAAGTATGCAATAAACACATTTATGAAGATGTTCTATCGTACTAGATAGGCACACTACCAGTATATCTCTAGGAGGTTTTCCAGATGCCTTTGAAGCGAAAAATTTCTTATCCACATATACACTCTTTATGAATTCTCGAACTTTATCCACATTGCTGTATCAGAAAGTACGCATAAGAAGTCAATTTGACATCATTTATCTTCCAAAACCATATGGAACAACTTAAAAGTGCATTACCTGTTATCTGGAAGTCTCTGGCCTCGTGGGTCCCAATCTTTGAGAAATGTTTCCCTTGCACGCTGAAGAAGCAAATATCCCATGAGAAAATAAACAAACTTTGCCACTGAGGGAAGGAAAGAAGTAATACTTGTACCTGATTACCACCTTCTTGAAGGGCTTCAACTTCTTGTGAAGTAAACTTAGACATTGATACAGATTTAACACGGTGAGTAAACTCACGGCTGCAACATGAATTAAGATAACTTAAATATGATGTTAAACAATGACTGAAGAGAAACATTAGATTCCTGACATTTGGATAGGCCTATAAGTGAATGTTAACAAAATCCAATATGACATACCCAAATTTGTATTCATTAGTTAAACCAAAATTGAGTCAGAACTTAAATTTGACTGATGTTTAAGTTTGATGTTCGAACTCGAATCATCAGGTATCTTGCAAATTTGGATAATATTGGAAGCCAATTAAGCCTAAGTTATCCATATATGAATATCAAAATTATCCTAATTTAATTTGAATCTAGCTCTGAAAAGTGAAATTTCTATTTTTTGAACTTTAGCAATTAACAAAGTTACAAATGACAACAATTAGAAGAAAAGAACAAAGATAAAAAATGATAAAAATTTCAACTTTTGACAATTCTCAAACCCAAAGTAACTTTAAGAATTTGGTAAAACCATAACCAACGAGAAGTGAAGGGTTTATCTGTTTATAAATTAATTCAATACTTACAAAGGATGCTAATTGTCATACTTGGCTCTGTTAGTTGATGTTAGTTTAATGTACACATATATTAACTCCATCCATTCCATTTTTAAGTTAGAAGTGGCAGGAATAAGGATGCTCAGGTGGATGGTGCACCTATGGCTGAATTATGTTGGACAGGATACCAATTGAGGTCTTCCAAGCAAAGTTGGGTGTAGTGCCTATCACGAATAAATTGAGAGAGGGAAGACTGCAGCGGTTTTTTGCACATTCATGGGAGACAATTGTCAGCACTGATGAGAAGGGTAGACGGTGTAACAGTTGACCGATTGAGAAGGGGAAGACGGAGGAGGACGTGGGATGAACAACTGAGACTGGCATGGCAGCTTTAGGCATTTCCAAAGACATGACTTCAGATAGGAGTTTGTGAAGACGTAAGCTTAGGGTAGCAGATTTTGTGTGAAGACCTGTGGGTACTGTGGTTCGGGTTAGAGAGCACACAACTAAGACTTTAAGTCCTATGGTAGGTAGGGTGAGTAGCCAAGAGTAGCGTTTGTGAGAGTTTTGTCAAGAAGGGGTCTTTTGTGCCATTTATGTGTTGGGTTGCCTAGCCGACTAGTACTTTCCCTCTTGCTTTTGTTGCTCCCACTTGTTCTAGGCATATTTATATGGCATTGATTGTATGTCCTTGTTTGATCTAATTTCATGGCATTGACTGTACACACTTGATCTACTTGTTTAAGCATACTGCATGTTATTTAATGTATCTACTTCGTTTCCCAAGTTCGATTCAAGCATTTTTTTCAACTCTTCAAGTATTCCTTTTTTGTTTTTGTTAGTTTTAATCATCATAAAACTTTTTCCTTCAAGTATTCCTGTTTGGGTGGTTTTCCATTAAGTCCCGTATGGATAAAGTTGTCTTAGTGGATTAATCTATCTATATAGATTGGGAAGGTATTTGTTTGGGAGGGATTTTTCATAGATGGAATAAGCGTGTTTTTAATTGGGAGGGATAGATTTGGACAAAACTTGGCTTTCTGCATAAAGCTCATCCCTAGAAGCTTACTGAAAAATCCACTTTCTATATCATTAAGCCACTACCAAAAAGTCATGTATTACTACCAAATAAGTTGCGAATCCTATTAAGTTCATTAAGCTGCAAACAAACAGACCCTAAATGTTGCGTACATCTTACCCTCATAACCCACTTCGCATGGGATTCATTGGAGTTTGGTTTGGTTTATTTCTAGGTTCAATCCTTATAATCTTCGCCCAATTGATGAAACCCTTCTTGTTGCCTTCAAATATGTGTTCTGTACGAAATTCTTGTGCTTCTACATTGCAAACTATAAAAATAACGAAAGCAGGAAGCATATTTGTTTATTTTGCTCAATTGTTATATTTACATGTGCTCTTCGTCAGTAATGATGGTTCACATAAAAAGGAGAGAGTGTTACTAGAATGTTACCAGGAAAATGCAAAGATATTTAAGTGTATAATGTCAATACTCAATATAATAGCATAAGTACTTAAGATCTGGTTCCATATTTTATCTCCTTTTATTTAGTCAAAGATGATGAGGTTAGAGAACAGTTGAGGGGGAACTCAAGGGCCAAACAGAAATTATAAGCTCCAGCGATCAAACAGACTACTATCAAACTGCAGGGACTAAACTGAAAATTCCGAAGTGTAGTTCCTTTAATTTACCATCAACACCGGCATCATATCTACCAAATGCGAGCCAGCATTTGCAAGAGAAAGAGTCAATTGTGGCTCTTGATGTCCAGAAAAACAGCATTGATACCCCACCCCCACTCCCAATAGGGACAGCATTTGCAAGAGAAAGAGTCAACTGTGTCTCTTGAAGTCCAGAAAAATAGAAAGAAAAAAAGCATTGATACCCCACCCCCAGTGACCAGTTCCAATGAACTCAAGGAAGTCAAACAAAAAGCAGAGAGAAGGCATGGCACAGCAAGCCATCACCTACTCAATGTTGATCATGCTTGCACTGCAACTAGCTGTTTGAATATCAACAACTGCAGCTATGCTCGCTTTAGGTTGCCTGCTGCTCATGGCACCATAAAGTGGGGGACGGTTTGGGTTTCTTTGGTTCTCAAAATCTGATCTCTTATACCATGTAATGGAAAGGGGTTGAACAGCTAACGGTATTATTTGAGAAACATAGGCTAATGGATTGACACATAAGCAACAACACTAAGCATCTTTAGATCTCTAATACATACATCCAAGTTTTTCCAGCATTATGTGCAAAATGACATTGACATAAAGAGCTTAAGCTGAATGGAGAACTCACTGTATCCCACTACATGTCATGCAAATGAACGTCCAAAAATTTGTGCACACGTATTGAGGTCCCTGGAATCAAATTTTAAAGTCAAGATCAGGGTGAAGCAATAGAAGTTTTATCACCAAATTAAACGAATTAACAATTACTATACCAAAGAACTTGCTATGAGTATGACTCCATGCTAGTATGCTTTACATAAATAACGGAGCTAAAGAGATAGCCGATTATTAGTGGATGTAATACATGAAGCACTGGCACTTCATCCCTTCCATGTCATGACACAAGAATGCAAAGAGCTGATCTGTATCTCCAAGAAGAGTAACAATCTCACGATCAACAGGGTACACTCATTTAGCAATGAGGAATTGAGGATATCCCATAATGAACAAATGATCAAATTCTTCAAAGCAGCTATAAAATCACTTCCTTATAACCAAAAAACATTAAATTTTTTAACTTCTGTGGGCTGATGCTGACTAACTAGATAAACCGTCAAGTGGACAAGGTGGGTCTCCAACTGTTGAAACCCAGTTTTTACTAATTTGTTTCCATCACTAAAAGATAATCTATATGCAACGTTTTTATGATAGATCTGTAAATGGGAATCTCGAAAATACATCTCCTTACAATAACATAGCTTAAGGGGCTGTTTGGTTGGTTTTCCATTAAGTCCTGAATAGATAAAGTTGTCTGTGTGGATTAATCTGTTTGCATAGAGAGGTTTTTGCTTGGGAGGGTTTCTTTAATATATGAAATGAGCATGTTTTTTAATTGGGAGGGGCAGATTTGGAAATTTTTTGGCTTTCTGCATAAAGCTCCTTCTAGAAGCTTAGCGAATAAGCCACTTTCTATATCATTAAGTCCCTACCAAACAATCATGTATAGCTGACCGAATAAGTTGTGAGTCCCATTAAGCTGCTAACAAACAAGCCCTAACTACCACTCATCTGAATTAACATGATAAGGTTCATCTCCCGTAAGCCACATTCATCAATACTTCTCTGAATCAATGTCTATATGTTATTTTTCTATAGATACATGAATGAATACTCACAGTAAAACGAGTTAATCTTATAGACACTTGTCACAGAATGCACTTTCATCATTACAAAACCAACGAGTTTCCGAAAGCAAAATATTCAACTAAAAATTAACATGAGTGAAAAATCTAACAACCCACAAACACAAAACAGGTATAACTAAAAGAAATTATAAACTTTGAAAAGTATGAATATAGAAACACATACCAAGCTGTTACAATTGATGCATCTTCGATTAGGAGGAAGCTTCATTAAACCCCTAATAATTTTCTCATTTCGCTCCTCCTCCTTCCTGCTGCTCATTCTTGTTTTGTTGTTCTCACCAAAAACTGCTCCCTATCGTTCAAATGGGAATTAACCTCTGCGAATTTGAGGTCCAACAACATACAAAAGGGGGTTAATTGAATCTAGGGTTTTGGGTTTTGAAATAGCAAAGAAGAAAGGATGGAATCAGCGATATCCCTCTTCCCCACTCTTGCTCGATTTCCCAGCTATTCTCGTCAGCCCAACGACAAGATTTAGTGCTTGAAATTATGCTTTTAGCTTTGAGGCTCAATTATATATGCATTATTTGCATATGTCCACCCATTCAAATTTGGCCCGTTACTGATACCATTGCTCTATCTGTCCAGTCAAAACTCAAAAACTTAAAAATTTTGCACTTTGATCCCTAATGTTATGGAATTAAACCATCCCAACCCCTCAAGTTATGAAACTTTGTTTTCGAACTCGTATTGACCTGTATTTCGTCGATTCAAAATCTTTGTCATTAAATATTTTCTTTTATTGTAGGGACCCTATGCCACAACCATTACGAGGTTACTGATTACATAAAACTAATGCAAACAGTGTCACTGTTATAAGTATGGTAACGTATGTTTTTCATGATTTTTATTTTAAAGAATAGAAACAAGGTTTGGTGAAACCGAGACGATCGTAGTTACAAAATTTGAACTTGATTTTGATGTATTCATGACTTAAAAATGTGTTAGTGTATACAAGATGTGAGGATCAAAGTTCATTACACAAATAAGTGAGATTATGAACCCTTAGACATGTCTATTAACAGCATAATGAGACTCACAACTTATTAGGTCAGTTAAATGACTACTTGGTTGTAACTTATTGGTATAAAAAATGACTTATTCATTAAGCTTTTCAATGAGTATTTTGATTGTTTTTAGTAACATTATGACCCATTTGAGACAACAAGTTTCAAATACAATTGTTAAAAATGTCAAATTTATCCTGTTCCCTTCAAGTTAACAGCAAAAGAAACTCAAACATCTATCTTCAATAAAATAAATTAGAATCTAACATAATTACGCTAAATAAAAACGTAATATATATTACAAAAACTCAATAATCATCACTAATATGGAACATACTAAAGGATTCAACCGTTCCATATGCAGTTACTAGCAAAAAAAACATCGTATTTGGAATGCTTGAGTTTGTCAATCATAGATCCAACCTCCCACGCCTTTCATCAACATCTCTACGTTTCCGATACCGAAAGTAGATAAACTGTATAAGAATCTAGCATGACGTCAAGGATCAACAAGCTTACGAGAAATAGAATAAGATGGTCATCATCAAATTGCAATGTTATAAAAGATAAAAGGAAAAAAAACTTATTTTTTCAAGGATACAAAAGTATCAAGCAACATGCATCCGCTTGATTCAATCAACCATGGTAGATTAGGTTTTATTTTCGACCACTCCAGAGTACTCACAAGTATGCTACAAAAAAACATATATTCATAATAAACATCGATCCAAAAAACTTTAATAAGAAAATAATTACCACATCTATCTAAAAGAAACGGTAGTGTTTGAAGTTCACATAGTTTGATAAAAATAGATGATGATTAATCATATGTTTAAAATATCTTTAATTAAGGGGTGTTTGGGATTGCTTATTTGAAATAACTTGTGTTTTTCTACAAAAATGCTTATCAACTTATTATAAGTTAGAATCTTTAACTTCTTTAAAAACTCCTTATTACCGGTTTGGCACCGGTTTATCCAAACACTCAAAAATGCTTATTGAAAAGACTAAAAAGCCCACAAAGTGGATATAAAGCCAAGTTAAAAATCTGCAAGATGCAGAAAGAACCCCCACTTACCCCAAACAGGGGGAAAACGAGACCAAAACTAAACACGGCCACCACAAAGATCAAGAGAACTGGCCTAAAATTAGACGAAGTTGAAGAAAACTTACCTCGCTACATACGTAGAGTTTCCAAGAAGAGCAAACATGAACATTAAGGGATTCAGACCCTACACGTCCACGAAAAAAGCATATATGATACCTTAATTAATTAGTAAATACATGTGTGTGTTTGTTTGTACAAAAGAATTCTTTTAACTGTTAATCCCCAAAAGCATCATATAAAAGACAAATAAAGTATACAACAATATGTTAAGTAGTTGGCTTAACAATCCAGCACCCACAAGGAGCCAAATCCCGAAAGAAATTGTGACTCACACACTACAGTTGAACTATTACCAGTTTGTACAAGTATACAATATTCAATGTGTTGACTTCTACTCAAGGTGTCCTCACCCATGTGATTCTAACAATACGTAATATATAGAGAGAGTCGGGTTCAAACGGGAACAATACGTATTTAAGATAATAAGAAAACGGCAGAATCACATGTAATTTTACACTAACATCACATACAAAATCACATGTGATTCACGCGACTTTGTCTCGCAAACTATTGTTGCAGCCAAAGTCGCCTACACACCTTTTTTTACCGTTAATATAAAATCACATGTGATTTTGCACGTGATTTGGCCGTTTTCATATTCTACTAAATAGTTAGCATTCTCGTTTGATCCTTCCTATATGTGTGTATATATATATATGGAAAAGATGAAAGATTTGTCTGTACCTGCACATTTCCCCTTCTAATCTGTAGAATTTGAAGAAATCCAAAAATAAACATGTTAATAAAACCTCTAAATATATAATTTTCTACTATTGAGTTGGGATTTCTTACATTTAAGAAAATTTGTGGAAGACGTCCACCAATATAAATAGCTGCCATTCCCCAACCAAGGAAGGTCCCAATCCCATTACTTTCCATGCCCTTATGACCTTCCAGAATATTGCTTCTTACCTGCAATATATACACATGGTCAAACACTCATGTTTTAATTTACGTAAGACATCCTCTCTCTCTCTATATATATATATATAAGGTTGGGTTCGGGTGAAAATAAAAGTTATATTGAGAAGGGTTGGAAAGGATCTTCACCCTTGGATCAATCCTAATTGAAGAGAAACACTAATGAGATAAAGTAGATCAATTCTCATCTAAAGCCCTATTCATGGGTTGTATTGGGATTAATTATATCAAGGGTCCAAATCTCTTCTTACACCTCTCACCTTAACCCCTATTCTCACATGATCCTTTGTGTGTGTGTGCATATATATATATATATATATATAGGGTCAGGTTCAGGAAAACCACAAAAATGAAAGACCGAGGAACATTCTAGTGACCATTTGTATGATATACACATGATATTTTGTAGTGTTATGAACATAAAGACAATAAATGGGTTGTTTTCTTTACCTGTAAAAGCTTTCTTCCCACTTGCATAACAATTCCTTCATGTTGTTTTACTGAATTTGAGTGGAGGTAACTGTCTCTTTCAAGCTTAAGATTGTATGTGCAGAGAAAAATTGTCACAGTAAAAACCTGTATCACAGGAGAATACATCTTTGTCAGATTCGATGCACACTTTTTGAATTATAGAATATTCATATACAGCAAAACTCACAAACGTTCCTCACTTTTGGTGAGGTTTGAATCCTTAACCTCCAAAGAGGTTGGGATCTATAAGTAACCCAAATACCTTTGGGCTATTGACCCTTTGGTTTGATGCACAACCTTTCATATGAAGCAGAAGTTGAATACAACTCACCACACATAGCATGGTCTTAGTTTCTGATGCAGGTGCTGTATGTCTCGATAAATGTCCACGAAGCAAAGGTTCTTGAACACTTTCCTGATCGCATATAGGAGTAGTTGTTCTTTGTGAGGGGAAGAAGTTCACTGTAGGAGTGAGACTTCTAGATAGTGATCTAGCAGAACTGCACCAAGAAAGATAAAGAAAGTAAATAAGCTATATACATACATATATATGTGTGTGTGTGTGTATACATGTGTCTGTTGCATTTTTTTCCTGGAAGGACACTATTATAGATCAAGCATGCATCTTAAATTATAGCATGGGCTCTTTCTAGGTGACTATGGGTCTGTTTTGTTGGTTTTCCATCAAGTCCTATATGGATAAAGTTGTTTGTGTGGATTAATTTGTCTGTATAAATTTTGAAGGTTTTTTGTTTGGGAGTGTTTTTTCATAGATGGAAGGAGCGCACTTTTTAATTAAGAGGAGCATGTTTGGAAAAAACTTGGCTTTCTGCATAAAGCTCTTACCTAGAAGCTTACTGAATAAACCATTTTCTATATCATTAAGACACTACCTAACGGTTAACTATAGCTGACCAAATAAGCCCATTAATCGTTAAGCTGCTAACAAACATGCTCCATGTAATCTTGAGGTGCCTCTCAAAAAGTACCAAGTCAAAATTTATGTCTAATTATGTGTCACCATGCCAAAAGTTTACTGGTGAACGATCACTTCTGAGCATTATATTATAAACGTTTTCAAATGAATCAGATCTTGAAGTCTAAAGTCAGCCTATGCCTTAAAGAGAATGGTTGCATATTCTGATGGACTAATCTGACTACAATCTTGAAATGTCCTGCTACTTCCCTAATTAACATCAACAACAATCATGGTAAGAGCAGCAATCATTTATGGATCCATTCAGAAAACTCGGTAAGAAAATAGTAATACACTTCAGTGGAAGAACATTACGTGTAATATGCTCTTTCAGGAGAAGCATCGTCATCGACAGCAAGAATTGGCAGACTTTGAGTGAATTTTGACAGCATAGGAACCGTTGACTCATCCGGGATATCACCATTGGCCAGCTGTTTCTTGCTACCATCGTGACTGCATTCTCTTTTCTTGTCTGCTGATTCAATCTGGATAAGTTCAGGAATACAAAATGCAGCGCTATCAAGATTACATGCTCCACGAGTTGAGAGTAAAACGCAGGCCTAAGATCATGTGGCCCACATGGTTTGGAAATGACTTCTTACCTCGTGGCCTTGTCTCTTAGATGTACCATGATGACGGAAATGACCATAGTAAATTGATTGGGAGGAAAGAGCTAAGGTAGTCACGAGGTACAACTACACGCCCACCAAAAATAAATGAATAGAGAAATATATAGGTGCAATTTGAACTTATGACACTAGAACAAAAGTTATGGACACTTCATGAGTCAAAAACACTTACCACTGCCGTGTAATACTGTGTTGGAAGCTGCAGAGTAAAAGGATGAGATGAATTAAAATACAGCCATTCGCCATAGTTAACACAACAAACATGAAAATGGCATATCGTTAAACTATAACACAGCCTTCAACCTGTAATGCCAGCATAAAAGACTAATCTTTTACATAAATATTATATCAGATAGATGTTTCATTCCAATCACAAGTGATAGACAAAAGTTCAAATAATATTTTGAGATTAAAACAAGTACCATTGTCTGTTTGGTTAGGCTGAAAAAGAATATTCCTGTTTCTATATTGGATTTGAGCTGAAAGAACTAAGCCAATATAACCCCCACCCTCCCCTCCCATATGAAGAAGAAAAGATAATAAAATAAGAACTACACTGAAGATTATCTTTCATTCTTTCTACTTTTCCTCTCAACTCTAAAAAAACTGTTTAGATGATTCATTGGGGATCAGGCAGGTTAATTCCTTCCTCTCTTCACCAATTAACACACTCATTTCATTATTCATGTATCTATCAATTGAGGGTCAAAATCTAAGTAATAGTTGATAATGCCCCAACAATAAGGGGCGCAAGGGTAAATAAAAAGTAAGTAGGCGACAGCCATTTGCTTGTAGATTCAAATTCCTTAAATAAATCACACTATCGAGAGAGGTCAAAAAGTAGTAAGACCTTCAAGTGGGATAGTTTAAGCAGAGTTTAAAAGGTAGAAAAACTCACTGTAGCTGGCTCTAGGTAACAACCAAGCACATTCAGAATATCTCTGCCAAATAGAAAAAGAAGTAAATAAGAAAAGAGTAAAAAATGAAGATTTGTCAATTGACATGATAGAAGAGAGCACAGCATGGTTATTGAATTTGAAGAACAATATAAGTGGTAGCAAATGCAAAATGTAGATTGAATGAAAATCAAAATCTCTCTTCATGTTTGATATGAAATAGCAAAGATAAGTGTATTATAAGAGGCAGGGATTGCCCTTTTAGATGTAAGCCATACCATGATTGATATTCATCCTTGAGACTTTCTCTCATTTCTATTATGAAAAATGGATTGTGCTATACAACATCTATAAATGTTAGGATGACAATCCATCCAGAGTTGTAACTTCATGACAACATAAATCACTAACAGTACATGTTATGCATCTATAGTGAAGAAGATAAAAGTATTACCCAAGTATCCATGTCATAAGGAAGCCGATGGCAAGCCCTTCAGAAGATTTTTCTTTGAAATTTGTGATGATCTGAGGTACCTCTGCGACACCCCAACTGACAATACTAACTATTCCCAATATCAGCGAAATCCAGTCCTTCCTTGAACAAAGACAATACTTCATATAATTCCTAGCCCATTGAGAGCAAGGTTGACGTGTAGGGCACATTGGCAAATCACTTTTGAAGATCTTCATTGCATCCAAGAACCTGTAAGTATCCATAATATGCCCATCATATTATGAGATTTTAAGAGGTGGCATATGATTCCCATCAAAACTATTGCATGTGTTGTTGAAAGAGGTATAATTTCACATTTGGTCACAAACAAATTGCTTTTCAACTTAAAGAAAATTTTCATAACTACATCAAACTTTGTGAGAGAGATCTTATAGCAAATCTTCATGTAAAAAATGTTGGGTCTTAAGTTTTAAAAAGTAAAAAAATCTGCATCAACTTTGATTAAAAGATCATCTGTTTGATCATAAAAGTCTAAGGGCTTGTTTGTTAGTAGCTTAATGAGTTTCACAGGGTTCACATCTTTCCCAATCAGCTATATATGATTGTTCCGTAATGGCTTAATGACATTGAAAGTGGCTTGTTAATTTTATGCAGAAAACCATTTTTTTTTTCAAACTTGTCCTCCCAATTAAAAAACATGGCCAAACAAAAACCTTATCAATCTATGTAGACAGATCAATGCACACAAACATCTTTATCCATTCAGGATTTAATAGAAAACCAACCAAATAGCCTTCTAAAAGTCCATGTCCCTCGAGCAATAGAATTGTTTAAAAATGTTTATTTTGTTGAAATAGCACTTTATTGTTTAAAAATAGTTTTTTTTTTGTGGCCATAGAGGAGGTTCAAATACGGTGACTCTGGGTTATCTGCAAAACAGTAGTTGTGATGGATCGCATTGCAGTTGGATATCCAGGTTAATAGAAAAATAAAAAAAGGAATCATACAAACAAAACAAAGGGAAAAACCCACAATCGCTTCGTTGTTCCCGTAGAAAATCAATAGGTCAGAAGTAAAACACCTTCAAAATAGAGTGGAAACATGAAAATCAAATGCATTTAAACCCTCGATAAAATCAAACACAAAATTCCTACACTTTTTCGCGGGAAAACGAGAAATTCGAACTACAACGATGGAAACACAGTAATGTCAGTACCAAATTACTAGCAACAAGAACAATGCGCACGTGGAGGATTCAACATTATAACCCAAAAACCAAAAACTAGAAACTAGAATCGAATCGTTTGAAACCCTTTAACCATAATTAATGAATGAGTRGAACAATGATATTGGGAATTATATAACATGAAAATATAAGAATCATAAAAGCATATGATCATACTCCGATAGCGTTGAATGCTTGCCAGGCCAATTGCAACTTCCGGAGTTGTATAGAATCGGAGGAAAGCCTGCAAGCGAGAATGGAGCAGGCACCTTTTTTGGCGCAGCTTTTATGGCTTTATAACGGCTGGGTGGGTGGCATTAGGGCGACCCCACCCCACGTCAAAATATGGGCTTCAAAATCCAAAACCATTATAATATATATTAAAGAGTCAGTGGAGTTATTTTTAATTATTGTTATATGAATATCTCAGAATAAAAAATGTTTGGATTGTCATCGTCTTTGATCTCAAATTTATTCATAAATCACGTTTGATAAAGAAATTGATATGATGCATCTTAGTACATCTCATCCTTATATTCATTTAAAAGTGGAGATCTATTCTTATACTTCTTAGCTGAACTTTTTTTCTAGTTGAAACCCAACTTATATATATATATATATATATA